CCTCTGTGAAATGTTGATAGATGGTTGTGTAATCACAAGTGCAATCTTGACCTAACAGAAAGGTGAAGAAATAACGCACGTGGTTACCATGGAAACATGACGTGGTCAAAAGCGTTGCGTCAGCGGACTGTCAGATTTTGGTCCGCGTAAGTACGGTTGAATGTAACGATATTCCGACTTCTGTGAAGTCATATTCTTGTCACGTCCTCTTGCATCTAGACAAGAGACACCGCCACTGCACCACGTGAGAGTGTCGTGACTGATAAAAACGTGAAGTGGTTTTGTCAAGTGAAGAATAAGGAGTCCCTTATCCGGGATCTTTTCCCTTTGGCATAGAAAATATCTCTCTCGTAGCATATCATTGGAATCGAACAGGTTCCACCCCCTACGGCGGATCCAATAAACACTAGATAAAAGATCACTTCAACAAATTCGTTGCCATGGCAACAACGTCTCAGTAACCGACAGACTAACTGATTGTAGGTAATTACAAAGGTGCCATCATGATATATATCTTGCCTATCGCCAGGTGTATATGTCGAGTGTATGTCATTAGTCGTCATACCATTGTCCGAGGCATTTCAGTTTTCTGTTCCTTAAGTGTTTAGCTACTAATCATGTACTGAACTTGCTATGTGATTTATGGTTCTCGCTAGTTTCACGGTTATTTATAATATGCATATTTGATAGCAACTGGAAGCATACACATACTCGAGGCAACACTTTTTCTTCAGCAAGCGTTGTACCGCCGACTTAAAGTCCAGTAAATACAAACTTCTTTCGGCTGTCTATGTGACTTCTTTTCTGACAGGCCTATAAATGACGTCTACTTAAAGGTGACCAAAATGTTCGCCATCTTTAATCACTCTAGAAAAGAAAAGTAGAAATTTTGAATTTGTTCCTTTCTAGTCGATCAACGATTCTTGTACTTGACTTTAGTTTCCCTGCCCGATGCCATAATATTATATAAATGACTCTAATAACTTGGAGCTTGTTTACCTTGCCTGTCCAGCAGGCATTAGTCTGTCGATGGCTATCCCATTTATTTGATATTTGAGACTAAACTAGTGGAAGTTTATCTATTGTCACCGATGACGTTCTGTGTACATAGCGTCTCCACTCGCCTTCAGGCTGTGTGAGAACATTATTGACGTTCACCGACTGGCTTTTCTAAATGGCGTCTTTGAACTGTTATCACGGCATTTGAACCTGAACAGGACATCTATAAATGGACCGAAGCTTCACTCTTTGTAATGGAGTGTAAACAAGTGCTATATACCACGGATGTCGGACACTTCGGCACCTGGACACTTCGGCACCTGGACAGTTCGGCATCAGGACAGTTCGGCACCTGTACACTTCGGCACCTGCATACTCCGGCATCTGGACAGTTCGGCACCAAGCTCAGGACGGTTCGGCACTACAATGACAGAATGCTGCTGTTGATTGCTGAACCGTTCTATGACTTCCAGCGAAGATAGTTATTATGTAAAAAAAAGCAAGGAGTGAAGAAGCCATCCAATATGTTATGCAGAACAGATACCCAAACCTGTTATTATTTCATCATTGTGGCTAATAAATGAAAACAAACTTTGAAAGTTGTAACAGGGCAGACATATTAAGGTTATAGTCTGTCACTGTTTAATGTTATTTTGATGCAATATTCATCTTTGTAGATTGTTTACCATTAATGTTTTGATGTTTTTTCCCGCGCGTAGGACACCTCCCTAGCAACAGTAACTAACAACACTGGGACCACAACACTGCCTCTTCCATATTGCTTTTATTGTTGTACAACAAAATCGTTGCGTACTCGGACGTAGTAATTAAATAAAAGATATGGGATAGTATGACTTTCGCGATAGGGTCAGGTAGATTAAACACCGTTTCACAGTAATGTATCGGGCTGTCCAGGTGCCGAACCGTCCTGGCGGCTTGGTGCCGAACCATCCTGGGTCAGGTGCCGAACCGTCCTGGGAAGGTACCGAGCCGTTTTGGCCAGGTGCCGAACCGTCCTAGATGGTGCCGAAGTGTCTAGGTGCCGAAGTGTCCAGGTGCCGAAATGTCCTGATACCTATACCACTGATGTTGGTTGACGGAAGGATTCAAGATTTGGGAGAGGTGTCAATTAGATCTGCAGTATTATCGGATTCACTCGTGAACTTGCGTCAGCAAAGACTACAGGACCATGTAACAGCAGTGAACTTTCGAGTTAAAGTCGCAGATTTGTAGCGAACGCTGAAAGAATAGGTTAAGTGAGGGGTACACGCACTACATGTAGGTGCACCTGGCTGTGACAAATCCTTCAGTATCCGCCAAATACCGAGATGAATGGAATTTTGCACCTAACAAGGTAACTTGCACCGTCCAATTCGTTAATGCTGACAAATCTTATAATGTGTCAACTCGGCTGCAAATCTGAGTCTTTCAATTTTGACTAATTCCTTTCCAATGGCCTTACGCACAGCGCTATTGTGCCGGTTCCCCCACAACCATAGAGATCGTTGTACGCCAACAACTTGGTAGCTAACCTCATTACGTCTTGTTGTTTTCCTTCGTGATTGTGTACCGGCGTTATGTTACCATGTCACCTTTTCAAGGAAAGGTGCAAGAGTGGTCCTCGGAGGGTCAAAGTGTGCATTATTCAAGACAGTGCTTAATTCTATAGAAAAACGTACACGTAAAAACACTTGCGTTTCCTTGGAAACCACTTACTAGCCGAACTATACGTTATAAAGGGGTGCCGCTGCGTTGTAACCAACTTCAGTGAAAGTAATACTGGTCAATATTTAGGGTAGGTACACGGCAGGGGGTTCCAACTTACCTGTGTGGTTGTTTGGGGATAAACTGAGGAAAACTAGGCCGGCATAGAGGGAGACGGAAGACTAGCAATGGCTTCCAAATCCGCCGAAGTTTTGTGTGCTTGGCAAACAACATGAGCACTTGTTTGGTGGGATTTGGCAACTGAGAAAACGTACTGCTTTCAATGGCTGGGGTTATATTCGCTATAGGTTTCGTAATTGTAAGGGATAGGAGATAATACCTACCATGAGATCGTAGTATGTTCCCAAGGGCGAAGTCAGATACTGCACGAACCCGTGCTCGCCTCGCTTGCAGGCTACCCCCCACTTGGTGACCGGTAGCTTGCATCAAGGTACTCCCCAGCTCTACCATCCAGGTTCACTCAGACGTTCTCCAACCACGCAAACGGCGGACTGTTCTCGGTAAAAATCCTTCCCAAACGTCAGATCCAAATAGCAGGTCACTACGTGACTAGGTCCCGTCAGTCATAGTAGCAAACACCCTCTTTTGTTTGGCCGAGTAACTTCTCTACAACCCAAAAACGCGCGACAGTCTTTAGTCCTTTACGTCTACCGTGTTTTCTTCGATCCCGATCAAGCGATACGTGAATATAAAGGACACAGGGCATTAGTCACAGGAGCTGGAGCGCAGCCATTGGCGGACGGCCTGTACAAAACGCCACTCTTTGGACCCTCACCATTCTTCGTGCTAACTCTCTTGGAGTGGTACAGGAGTTGTGGCCACGGTTGAGCGGATGTCAAGAGACAGAACTTTGCGTTTGGAAATCTCGTGTATATTTTGGTAGCTCGCCGGGCAACAGCAATCCAAAAGGTTGGTAGGCGGAGGCGGTTCGACACTGAGGACGCGGGCAACTCGAAAGACAGTTGCGGGAAAATATGCTCCGTCTTGTAGTAGAGTAGAATTTGTGGCTATTGTAATCTGTTACATGATTTCCCGTCCCGGACAACGTTTTTTCTCTTGTTGACGCTACTTGACGGTGACTCTCGTGTTAAAGTGTCCGTGTCAACAGTTCGCTACTGTCGGCGGCCAGCGCGTCGCGTTACCAGGCATTGGTTGCCATTAGCAACGTCATGTAAACTGAGTTAAAACCACTCCCAAGCAACCAATATTCCCATAATCAAGAACAAATTTATTTAGGAGACGAAAGGCATTAGCGATACTAACCAGTTCCATTATAGGCTTACTGGGCCTTTAATGACTCCAAGACAAAGGCTGTGTTGTTGGTCATTATGTACTAACATTTGAAAAGTGCATTTCCAGTTAATATACAACTGACCAAATAGTCGGACATGTCTTACAAGGCAAGAAAAAATTTCCTGGGATTGTGCGAGACTTTTGCCTCAGAGTGAGCGGCGTCCGAATAAAAATAGTCACATGTGATCTGTTGAACCAGAGGAACTACTAGCACTACTCAAGTAACCAATGGTGTGATTGAATAAAGAATGCACCGGAACCATGTAAATTGAATTAAACCATCGAAGGAAAAATCCAATGAATGAATTAAAACTATGAGGAGAGAAAAAGGAATCTCTGTTTTCCTCAAGAGCAATTGTCCATGAGCAGCTGGTCAGACTTTTCATCGTACAGTTACATACAAAGTGGAAATTCTTCTCTTGGATGGTATTTTACATTTTTTCCGAGAGTATTTTGACGTTACCATGGCGGGCACATTAAGTACCTACAGGTATGTGTGACGCAACCGTTACGTCCCTCAGACAAGTTAAGTCCGTTACTCAGCTCATGAGTGGCTCACTGACGTTTTATGGCATTGATTGGGAAGAGTCTGTGATGCGGACGTCATTCTCTAATATGCACAGGATTAAGGAAGTCAAGTTTGCACTTAAAACCAGAAACTCAGTAGTTTAAGACGTCGGCTCATCCTTACGTCAAAGTCAGCCTGCCTTTGAAATCGGTAGCAGAGGTCACCGTCAATATTATATTTAACCTGTTGCTTAATGTGTACACGTCGCGCCTGAATGGGGTAGGATAGTAGACTTCACCGTAGTATATCTTCAACGTAAAAGGTACACATGGAATTGGCGAAAAGGATTGTAGAGGGCATGTCGAAAAACGCATGCTAAGTAAACCGTGTCATCAAAATCGGTTTGCGGTTTTATCAATAACGCTGCGGTACAGCAGATTCTTCATTGGTACATTTGTATTACTGTATTTTTTCGTTGTTTTCTTGCCGGTTATGAACTTGGCCTTTTATAGGTGTATGGGCTGTCTGGGGGTATGGTTTGCCTTTTACATTTTCAATCTTTCCTACCGAGGCATTCATGCATACTCTCCTTGATACAATTACTAGTAGTCATGGGTAGGTCAGTACGGGATGAAGCAACATGTCATATATTGAAGAAGCGAGACACTGTGCGATTAGACAGCTGTTAGAAGCGTCTCCGATGTGCAGAAGCCGTCAGATAAAACAAACGATAACAGTCCCACGGAATGACAACTTGTTTGGGAAGCAAGCAAACAAACTCAATTCTCGTGGTAATCAATTTGACAGGTGTTTTGAAATTTTTGCTTGCGCTGAACAAATGCACTGGAACAACAAAGTGGCCCTGGACAAGCGCACCCATAATTACATGAGGCAAACATTGTTGAGTCGTCATGGGGACGACGAATATTGTGTCTGCACGGACGTGCAAACCTTTCTAGGAGAACAGGCTTGTCTTTATAGTGAAGGGTGCGTGTTTTACATCGTTTGCTAATGTAGTGCTACTTTTCGTAATTGACGGCAGATTGTGTGACACCTGCTACTCGTTCAGCTATCGCATTGGTCCGTTAGGACCAAGTATTTCAGCTAAAGTCGTGACCTGCATATGGTAGATGAACATTTTGCCGTGCGTTTTGCTCCTGTGTTATTCTTTCAAAGAGTTCACCCCATACAACATGGCAACTGACTCAACAACAGCACGTTTGCCCCAATTTCCAACGGTCGGTCTTGCCTACCTCTGCATCACTAGCTCCAAATTACTGATTGTGCTTTCAATAAAAGTTGGGTAATCAGAAAACGATACTGTTGTCCTTCTTAATTCCTGTTGGTGACGAGATAATGTATTCAGTCCCAGGTGTCGGTTTCCCGTCATCTACATGTAGCTTCTAGTAGGACGTGCCATCTAAACAGTGCAGGCGGACGGCGCTTGTGAGGGAGAGTTTTTGACACGGACAGAGGAGGATTAGTGTAAGAGCATTACCTGGGCACAACTGAATTGTGCGCCAGGTGTTTGGTAACCTACGGTTCCGTCTAAACACAAAAAGATGCATCTATTGGTGCAACAGAGGAAAAAAGGTGTTTGATGGTACCAACCACCCAAACAAGTGGTACTACTATGTACCGTTACATGTAATTTGTTTAGAGAGAGATATTTCATTTCTATAAGATAAGGTCAGGCTGGCATCAAATTACTAAGAGTTGGAAAAAGTAGAAAAACATTGTCGTCCACATATGAAATGCTTTATATTGTTTCAGTACTTAATTCTGCAGATGTCAGAATTGTTCTCCAAAAACATGCGCATGTCCTTTCCCATCTCGTCTATACGGTTTACTTTCTTTCTCTTCTTTTCACCTTCTTCCCGTCTGGATTTTTCAGGGATGACTTCCCCTTCTTCTGGGGTTTCGCGGGTAACCTGGGAAGTCTGTTGACAACAGCCGAGCTGCGGACAGGTCCCAGTCTGGGGTTGAGAATCCGTCTGTTCCGCGGTAAACCATCCATGGGCCGGTCCAAGTCAGCACCCAGCGTCACCACCAGGGTGTTCTGTCTTTTCATCTGAGGGAGGATAAAGTATGATTATTACAGCTAGCCCATCTGCTGACTGTCTACAAGCGTGTATGTAATGTTACGTGAGCGCAATGAAAGACCTTGGATACCAATCAATATCACAGTAATGAGCGCTGGCAATGTTGTGGTTAATTTGTAATACTCGATACATAACAATAGCCTGGGTACCATCCTGGTTAGTTTACGTCCGCTCCCACAGTCGCTACCGACCAGTCGCGATCGATCCGCTCCCACAGTCGCTACCGATCGGTAGCGACTGTGGGAGCGGACGTAAACTAACCAGGATGGTACCCAGGCTAACATAACAATCCCCGCGCCCGGTTTAAGTAAGATTTATTATCTCATGTCATACACATACATAGAAAGACTAATCACAGCTGCAGCTTGAGCGGTTTTACATATGTAATGCTCTTGGTTTCGCAATACACAGAGAAGCGTGATGACGAATGTCTAAAATAAAATAAAAAATGATTTAAAAGTTACAGCGACAAAAGTCTACTTTCTCTTGACTGTGTATTTTCATAAACAGCAACCATGTAGCTCTCATCAAGTGCTGTGCAGCAGTACCCTATCTGTTGACGTGAAACTGGGAGATGTTATGACGTCAGTTATTCTTACCGTGGCCATGTCTCGCTTGAGTTGTTCAATCGCCATCTGAACGTTCTTGCGTTCTTCATCGGCCTTGTGGTATTTCTGAGATTCCTGAAAAAGCAGAAAAGATTCTTTATAGTTGTGTCATGACATGTATTTTAATCCGAAAGCGTAAAAAGTGTCAAGTTTGTTGTTGCAATTCACAATCATGTCACAAGGTTGCGCTTTTGCCACCGGCGGTGCAATCATAGACGCATTGTAAGCTGGCACTGTTGCAGGTCTAGCTTAAAACAGTTACCAGCCGTCTAGACTATAGTTGGTACATGGATGCATATCTTGCTACTAAACCAGATATTGTATGAAATATTGCAAGTAATCAGAGGATAAAAACTTTTCGACATATGACACGCCCTAGTTGCTGCTAAGCGCACAACCCCCACCACAGTGCGGCAACTTGCCTGGTCTAATCTGAACTCAAGATGATTGAGCTCTGACGTCAAACTGGTCATCTCTCGTTCCATATCGCGGATGAGTTTCTTCATGGCGGTTTCATTCATGTCGTCGTACCTGCGCAACACCTGCGGCATCTGCCCGCTCTTCATGCTCTGTTTCATACCGTCCAACTATACGGGACATAAATCGCAGTTTAAACCATGAGCTTGCCCTCACCACCAAGGACCAAAATACATGCAAGTCAAGTAATTATGGACCCATCAGGAAAATACCAGAAGACATGAAATTGCGTTCTGTTCAGTCTAGGCAAAACCTTCATGAGGGAAGTTGCGTCTTCCTCTGACTGTGAATCTAAAAAAAATATCTTTTGATTTTAGAAATGGAAGGATCTAAGATTTTGTAGATGGCCCTGGTTACAATTACTAGAGTAAAGCAGTACCACATGCAGTACGAAGTACCTTTTCCTGGAGCTCCGATATCCGTCCGCTCAGCATCTTGTTGACGTCAGCCTGAATGTCGTGGCGGGTTTTCCACTCGATGTCATCCCCCGTCACAGGCGTCTCGGCCTTTTTCTCCAGGTCTGTAACCTCCTGGGACAGATGCTGGATGGACTGGTCCAACCTCTCTTTCATCTAGAGAAGAAGGCCAAGCTTCATAATCTACATTTTCCGAAAGCTATGCCCATGAGCCACCTCAAATGATCAAGACTTGATCAACAAGCAGATCTTTTCCCGCCCGACTTTGACAAAACAAAGGAGATAAATATAGAATTCTCATGCATATGATGCGCTAATGTCTTTTTATTTTTATTTTTATTACATTGAGTGAGAAAATTTAAGTGGACGTTTTGGGTTACTGTTACAGACCTGCTTTTCATGGCGGATTTCTTCCAGTATGTCCGTAATGTCGCCTTCTCCTCTCTTTGCCATGGGCTACTTTGTCCGTGGTATAACAAGCGACAGAAAGCTCAACAAGATCTGTCGAACTGTATGACCGAAAGACGCAAAGCACTTTTTATTTCTTCCTAAACAACAAGTAGTCACTGTGTAGTGCACACTTTTATATATATTCTAGAACATTTTTGTCGTTTGACCCGAGAGAGGCTAACGCCATCTACCAGTTGAATCAGGGAGAGACTCTGCCCTAGCGTTCAACCATTGTATGTACCGTCCCTTTCAGTGTACATGTATGTAAATATTACAGACTTAGTAACGTTTTTTTTACCATTTCGCTTCTAATGATTGATCGCCTCTGATTTATAACACTAGGCAAGTGTCGTGACTTCTAGTGACCCCGTACTAGAGCATCATGGTACTGACGTCAGGGCGGGCGAAATTCAAAATGGCGACATTTCAGAGGCGGCGAAAAAAGAGCAGCTCCGAGGCTCAACGGTGTAGCGTGAAGATAGACGGGCTTGTTGCACCACAGGTTTGCTGTCGTCTGACGTCTGAACTTTTAAAGTATCTCCTGTACGAGAGACAACAGATACCGCTGCCGTACGAGCAAATTAAATTCGATCTCAACAGAGACGAAACCGCCAGGCAGGATACAAAGGTATGTAGCGGCGAGTTGAACACAGCTGTGGTTTTTGCAGTTATGCGTGGGCGTTTGGCCTGCAGCTTCGAGCTCAGTGGATAGGTAAATACATCATGACGTGTGTTTGGCGTGCTGTTACGCCCGTACTGTCATAAAAAATAGAATTATATATAAACAGTCGCCACGGCTAGCATGTGTTGTCTGTTGACTTGTTTCCCTAGCCTCCTAGACCTAGGGTTAACGGACCAACATCACCTTTGTGCATGATTGAGAAGTTTCTCACACTTGCCTCAAGGAGCCTATGCATAACACTGGCCAGACAACATGAAATGCAGACAGTACTACAGCTTATGATGTAAACCAGCTTACGAGTATTTGACAGGATTCTAACTAGTTATAACGTTGCACAAAAAAACTATGCTACTTTGTTACAAATTTGTAGTAAATCAAATGTTTCCATTCAATTCACAGGGTAAAGGAATAACGCCTAAACTCAAAAGGTCCAAGTCACTGTTTCCTTCAAGTGAAAGAAAGCGCTGCAAGCATGTTGTGGACTGCATGGAGGAGCTTCTACCCCACCTGGAGGACCTCTTCTCCCTCACATTTGTCCCTCAGGTCCTTATCCTTATTGGTGCAACAGCAGTCAGTCCAAAGGATGCATACATCCTCAACTTTACTGATGCATTGACAACATCCAAGGAAAACAGCCTGAGTGCCAAAAGTTGTATCAGGAGCCTTCTCAGGGAAATGGTCACCAAAGACTTTCTGCCGATATCCTCCATGCCTCCCATTACTAACACCCTCCTGCTAGTAAAGGCACACAGAGACTGTGGGCTGGACTGGTTTGTGCCAAAGCTGACGTACAAGCTGGGCTCCCGAGGACAACAGTACGACATCAGCCTTGTTGGAACAGCACACCCAGGATTGGAGCAGGTCCATGTTGAAGAGCAGGGGCCGAAGGATGACTACATCTGGTACCAAGCCCCTATTTCTATCAAGGGCTACAAGGAGAAAAGTGTTAGAGCTGCTAAGCCTGAAGATATATGGATTTGATATGGACTTAACCAACTTACAATGCAATATCATGTTCAACACCAGTGACAGCAAAATCCTGTGTGAGTTTGAGTGGCTATCTAGCTAAGTTTTGTACTCTGTCAATAGGGTAAAATGAAGTGGCTATTATTTTGGGCCACCTCGAAGAAAAAATTCCTATGCTATAAGTTTCTTCACTTTTTGTCTAATTTGTCTACTTTACTTTTTGCTTGATGAATGTAGCATGTGTGAGACAGTGTGGCACATTTTGTGCTTTTTACTGAAGTACATGTATGTCAACTCTGCTGTATCAAACAGTATATTTGTTGCATCAATGTTATTGTACATGGGTTCTATGCATTCAGAATGATAAGTACTGTTTGATGTTACAAAATATCTTCTGAAAGGTTAGTAGATGTTTGGTGAAACCGCATGTTTTGTCATGGAGTTTCTTGTTTTGATGCCTTGGCTGTTACTGGAAGTCTTTTTGTAAATTTGTGGCTGTTTTATGATTTGTATCCTTGTGTTGGCAGCCTATATTCAAGTACATGTACACTGTACTTTGTTGTCTGAACACAAACCTATTGCCTTCTTTATCTGACTCTGATGCTTGTCAAAGAATTTTTTGCTGTATCTAAAACTACATGTAGTATATAAGGGTTAGTAAGTTAGTAGTTAGCATTATTTTAAGATAATTTGTGGAATTATGCCTTCACATCATATTCCAATAATATTTTAACTACTGTTAGTACGTACATGTGAATGCTTTTCTGTACTTGTTTTTGTAACTTGCAAAATGGAAAGGTCTTTGTAATTTGGAGTATATGGCAGGTTTAATTAATGGAGAAAACAATCTTTAGACGATGAAAGCACTGATGCCTACCGTAGTATGTTTTTGCTTTCTTTTATGGTGTAGCATTCATCCATGTTCAACTTTATTTCAGTGTGCTTGAAAGAAGACATGACTTAACCTGTAGTCTACGTAAGCTTTCATTACTATTTTACACACAATGTAATTTCAAATCACATCTTCTAACACAATACTCAGGATAATCAGTGTATGTTCACAGTGTATTTTTGTGAGTTTTTGCAATGTCCTTCGCTGTTGATGTACTATTGCTGCTATTGCTGATGGGTGTACCAAGCCCTGAATGATCATTGTACCAGACATGCCTACATATCACCTGTATTACACCTAGTTGTAATATACTAGCGTTTGCTGAGTTTGGAATAAACACAACATGGGGGTCAAGATCTAGTCTCTTTGCTTGTTTTATTGTCCATGTATACTTAATATTACCTTAGAAGAAATAAAATGGTACACATCTATATAGTGATCTATTTTAATTGTACCTTTGAGACAAATAGTGCTTTTAATAACTTGTATGATTCAAATTCTAAGTCATCAGTGCTGAAAGGCTAAATCATTACCTGGAAAGGTAGAAAATCTTACAAAAATGGATCAAGAATTGACAACAAATTCAAATCATGCCTGAAGGCATAACTGAGCAGTGAGTTTTGTATATACTGATAGGCTGACATTTAATTTCTTAACCTGTTCTCAAAGATACATTTTGTACAGCTCAATACTATTTACAACCCAATTATTGCTTACAGCACTGTAGAGCATTTGAATAGTAACATGTTCTGCCTTTGCAATCCTAGACAAAACCACAATGACCCACATTTCTGTATGGTCATTACACCATTACAATGATCAAACTTCACATACACCATATCAAGCTTGTCTTTCTGTTTGAAACATGGCCTCAAATGCATTTGGTCGACAACATTGCCCATAACATGCACTAGTTTCTTTTTGAGACCACACCCCTTTTGCTCCCTCCCACCACTATTAAATATAAAACCTGGAAACAAAATACTTGTACCAGTGACTGATGATGTTAATATGTAGTTTCTCAGTACATGCAGAGAATATTACAGTCAATCCACCATTTCAATTTATGACTAATTTCTGTTAGTATACAAGGCAAGGGGAAGAATAACTTCAAGCTCCTGAACAGTGGCAGTGTACTGAGACTTCTGATTGTGTGTACAGAAATCACAAAGCAGCACCTATTCATAAATTCTAAACAACTAAATGCCCCATGGGGCTAAAAGTTAAACATTTAGGGCAGTTTGCTGACTGCAAACAAAATACAAACTAAAGGCAATATGTAAAACTTTCATTGCAACATGAAAAAAATGGCAGTGACTCTTTACGTGTACACTTGTTAGATGTACTCAACATGTAGCCATACATAATATCTATTCAGTTGAATAGTCTTACTTGTGAGGATAATTTTCTTGCACTCATAAAAAACAGTGTTGAATCAAATGTAAAAGAAATAAAAAATCTATGACTAACACATGATAATCATTGATTTATCTTACAGCAAGACACCAGAAGGCTCCAGACATCTTCTGTGGGCATGTTTGAATATTCGAAAGTGAGATATTGGAAAGGTAATGTAGTACCAATAATCATTGATTAATGTGTATGTAGAGACTTCAAGGCTATAGTGATAAGATTTTTCAATTGAAGTCAGGCATCAATAAGAATGTGATTTAAGTACATGTACATACTACATGAATTAACATTGGCTTCACTTTCCAAGTCTATCGCAAGTCTATTTCCAAGACAATCCAGTATTATCTACTGGCCCATTCACTTTGTACATTTAACCTCAGCATTTTTGCTATATACTTTCCATTCTGTACATTCTAAAAGCCTTCACTCAAAATTACAAGTTCCCTGTTGCCAATCACATTCAATATTTACAAAAACATCAAAACTTCTATGTACAATTTGAAGATCTTGATTATGGATTCCTGACTATTATGTTCCTTAAGTCTCAAATTTTTGTTTTCCTAATTTTCTTTTAATTCTAGCTTTTTGTCTCGACCACATGCTCGGTATGTAACTCTAAACCATCAGCTACTGTTTATTTTTCAAATATATGATTTGTAGTTTCAGCTGCTCTTTGCTTTCTCCATCATCATCATCACATATTTCACTGTTACATTAATTCATAATTCTAACCATCATTTCACAATTCTGTGAACTGAACTGGAGTTAGAGAAAAGACAAATAGAGCTAAATGCCTGGTATTCTTATACTAGCAGTGCTACAAATCAGCATACTTGAGTACCATTGGCAAAAAAACTCACTAATCTGTCTTTGAATAGTGGGACCTTTCCATGAAAAGTCCACACTTTCTTATGATTCTCTAGAGCTGGTTCAAAACCAGAACCTCAACAGGCTTTCTGTCAGGTCATTATCAGCTCTGTAGCTGGTTACATGACTCTCAGCCTTGAAAAAACATCAAGAGCATCAGCAATGGTAAGTACCCAACAGTGACTACTGTGGCTCCATGCCGGTAGAGTGAGGTGTTCTAATGCCGGACCGTGTGAGGCATGTCCCTGCTGGGGTGGTGGTACTTGGATGGCCGTCTGAACGGGTTACTGAGAGAGAACTGCCTCTTCACTGCAGCTGAGCTGGTGATCCTTTCTCCTGTGGAAGACAAAGCTTACTGTTAATCTCTTAGTGCAAGGAAAGTAAATCAGTGTTTGAGGTGTGTAAATCAGAAGGATGTGCTGTAGATTACATTGACTGGGGAGAAAGTGACGGCAGTACAAGTTACCTTCATCATTGAATGTAGAGAGGCTGAGTCGGTCAAATCTGTTTGTCAGGGATGGCTTCACACTGACCTGTCGGCTCATCAGCTGGGAGGGTAGAGCTCTACATGTGGCAGGAACAGCACAAGTATATTAGTCAAGACTGCACTGAACATCTTTACCATTTTAAATTAGGAAATATGAAATTGCAACCAATGGCAACAGTTTAAGACAGTACATATATTAATTTTCAATCTTTTTGCCTTTTCATCTCACTGACTTGTATAGACAGTTTAGGAAGTACAAAAACAACACATCTATGATGGCTTACCCTGAAGTGTTGATGTCTCGCCTGTTGAGATCCTCCACACAAACGTCTATCATGGCATCCATCATCACAGCCTGTAGGAAGAAAGAAAGATGCTTATACTGTACATGTATTTCAAATACAGAGAATAGAGATCTACACTCTACCAATGCTAGTAAATGACTTTTTGCAGAGCACGAAACAGAATAATGAATGTTAAGAAAGATAAAAGAAATGTTATCTTGGCATGATGTATTTCAAATCCAAATTCTTATCTTGAGGTACTCTTTACACCATGTACCTGTTTGGAGAAGATCTGCAGGAGTTTGTTGACCTTCTTGTTGTCTTCTTCAGCATCAAACTCCAGCCACAGACAGGGGAAGCCATTAGGCCGGTCCACAGATGGCTCTGTGTACTCCCATGACAGCTCATCGTATGCAAGGCCTAGCAGAATGGCCTGGATATGGAAATAGTATAACAATTAACAACATGTACTGACAAAAATTCAATCAAATGATAAGTGTACAAGGATAGTATAGAAATACATTTCTAGCCACAGAAAACCAAAGAACAAGGTTGTCACTTAACAACCACTGACAACCAAGAAATGAACATGTGATGTTCAGTACCTGTCTACTAAAAAGAATAATATACCTTCTTCTCCAAGTCCACAATGTGCACCATCTCCCTGTTGACAGCTACATGGACGGGTCTGTCTGGCATCTCCCTCATGATCATGCTGTTACAGGGTCGCTCAATCTGTCCCTTAAAGAACACACTGCCGTAGTACGGCAGCTCCCAGCACTTCTGCAGGAACTCCACCTTGTGGTCGGTGATGTGCGTGGCCTCCGACACGTGCTGGTACCTCTCCAGGAGCTTCTGCTCATTCATGGCGCGTGGGGAACGTCCGGGGAAGGACCAGCGGTTCTTACACATGTGGCCAGGAAGGAATTCTGATATCTTATCCCTGCAAAAGGAAGTCAACAAATATTAAAGTTTAGTTTTGATGACGTGTACATACATGATAAATACATACTAAGCCAGTCCTTCCATTCTCAATTTGGAAACACGTATCCTTTGTATATAATGTACTAAGACTTCACCCATACAACTAAAGCAGACCACAGTGACAGTCATCTGCAAGGACTCTAATTTAATGAAGGAAAACTCACTTGAAGAAACCAGGCTGGTGGATGTTGGGGTCGAACTTGCCATGTTCAATAAAGGACAGGAGAGCTCCAAAGTAGTAGACATCATTCTCTGGTACAGGGTACCGTCCCTCCAGGATGTTGTACTTTGCCTCATCAAACAGCCGATGGAGGATGGCAGGATCTGTTATCTACAGGTCATGGGCAGAATGACACATCATTTTCAAGTATCACATAAAATTGGTACATGTATGAAAACATGCGTGGCTTTCATCAATGCGCATATTTTTACAGTTAGCACTGAGTCATTTTCCAGGGTGCAGATAAAGTACATGTATAAGCCTTTGACAGTCAGTCAAGATGTCATGATATCTTTATAGAAATGTACTGTCAAGATACTAAATATTGATTAAAAGCTGGTGTAAGAATTTATCTATTATGGTAACCTTGTTTGTTCCACAATCAAAATACAATGTGACATGTAATGATGTATTACAAAAAGAAATTTACAAGGCTTACCCTCTTTTCTTCTTTCACTGACAGGAAGCAGTTTCTCTGGTAGCACAGGATGGGTTCCTCTGTGGAAACACAGGGACAAATACGGTAAGATACAGTCATGCAAATAGAACTATGCTATTATCTTATTTCCAAAGGTCACTCTTCTTTAAAAAAATGGGCCGAAAAGTATATACTCAGGAACTTCCTTGTTGGTAAATCAAGAAAAAAACATGTTATATTGAATGATAAACAATGTTATGATTTTTAAAACCAAGTAATTGCTATCTATCTGTTGGTAACACATAGTTTGACAATTGACAAATTCAAGTGTACACTCCACCTGCCAAGAATTTATAACACATTGGCAGACAGATCATGTAAATTTATCTGCATAGTCTAATCTTTGTGGCTTGTGTAGATTGGGCAGGAAGCGGTACTGACATGTTAAGATTGTATCTACACAGTGTCTGGCAGTTTCAGGCGCTCAGCCCATTTCTCACTGCCCAGCCCACAGCGTTATCAATATTTAGACCACTTAACATATTTTACCTGTCACTCGCCAAGGTGAACAATCAAACAGTGCTGCCACCTTTTATTTAGTATACCAGGCGACTCTTTTGGAGATAACCATTCAGATAACAAGGCCTAAATCCCCTTTGTATTATCACTACTAGTATATGAATACGTACTAGTGCATAGTCAGCTGATATCTTGTCTCATTGACTGAGAACGTTTCTGAGAAAAACATATGGGTAGATGCATACTTCCGTCAAGTTCGGTGCCATTGTGGTAAGCAGGAAGGCCTTAGGTTGTTTCTTACAGTGTTCGACACCTACCATTCTCACCCCAACAGTAAAGGTCATGTACCATTGAAGCTAGTGGTAAGTTATTCAATCCCGTGGTTTCTTGGAAGTGCTCATGGTGTTTACACCTGCATGGGAAACCTTTGTGATTGAATTAGAAGCTATAGTGTTGAGGCACACAGACCTTTGGTGACCTGTCCTACTGTACACACTTTGAAAAGTGTCAATATCTATCTGTCGTCAGATCCAACATCAATTATTGTTTTGGTTTCTTCTGACATCTTCCACTCATCAGGTGGCAGATTGAAACATCATACATTCATGAGCAAATTTCAAAGGGATTGATTTCCCTAACCCATGCCTAATAAGGCTGTCTCCTACCCACTTCTCTCCTCCCAGCATGAACTTCTGAAGACATACCATTTGATAGAAGTTCCATGATGTAATAAATATTTTATTTAACAGCTGATTTCATTACAATTGATCCTGGTAAACTGGATCAATTTCGGAGGTATGTACGTAACGCAGACTTAACATAAGGCATTCCCATCCATTATTCATTCTCAATACAGCAAAGTTGGGGCTTATGTAGTATGAGAAAATAATCTTGCCTAGTTCTCTACTGTACAATCCCAGGCAGTCTGGCTGGTTAACAAGCCACAAGCTGTGTCTGTGATACAGACAATGTGGCCACTGGCCAGGTTTTACCTTAATAAAAGAAGAAAGGGACAAAACAAAGAACTTGCAATCTTCTCTAGGGTCTTTGAATCATGGACATCTAAATTTCAACTTGGCTGGCTAGGTGATGTCCCTCCCTGGTAATGTCATCAGCATTCTACTGAGCATGTGTTTGCTTTCAAGCAGAATTTCTAGTTGAGAGGTACCTTCAGTTGATATATTGATCCTGACCAAAGTTAAAGTCAATGCTGTTGTACCTCCACCCACAGGAATTCCAGTCTGGCAATGTTTCTAAATGGTCTTTAAAATGAGCTTTTCATTATTGCACTTGGCACTGTGTAGCGACTGCCTGCATGTTTTGGCTCAGTGCCAACTCTTGGCCTTGTGGTGTATGATTCATTCTGACGTCACCAATCTCACCACCGTGACTGGTTTGCATGCGTCCTTCCTTACTTTTTGGATTGTTCTATAATTGAACATTTTGGATGAAATTTGAGACAAAGGAGGTGTACAAACATTTGAAAAATGATGAGTACATGATACCAACGAAAGAACAGTATTGGAAGTGGAGGGGAAGTGGAGTGAGCTAATTTGTAACTGGACTCTAAAGTGTACTTGATGTGTTTGAAGCATGTACAGGGATTAGAAGGGTATTAAGCTGAATTTAACCGTGTTGACCTTCTACATCAGTGATATAATTTCCTTTGTAACCCTTTGGACATGCTACAAATGACTGTGAACATATTAATTTAATTGTACTAAATCTGGAAATTGCTAGGAACAGCTGATATATCCCTTTCTGTGGATATTCTATGATCTGACAAGTAAGTAAGGCAGTCATTAATGTCCTCCAAGGAAATGTTATCATCAAATCAATTGTGGCCTTTTACTTTAGCCAGGTAATACAACTGGCCTCCTTGTATGAATCAGAGGTGCTTGGTCAAGGTATACAAACACTTCTGTCACAATGACTATCACGCTTCCAATTCCTAAAAATAGTCTGTCAACGCAATCTTAGGTGTGGCATCTACAGAACTCAGATGTCGGTTGATAAACACATACCAATTGTTACGTGATGTCTATCTATTTTAACAACTACCTGTCAGAATAGATAGATGTCTCTACCTCAGTTGATATGTGTTAAGAGTAGCTGCTGCTAGTTCTTGCTGGTTAAAAGTTCCATCTAGTGTTCCAAAGTTACATGTACCACATGAATAGATGTACATTAGCTGTATGTATATGTGAAGTTCGTGACAAATGCACCATTTTTTGTGAAGGAGGGGCTGTGTTTATAAGCGGAATAAGTCAGAGACTGGCGTATGTATGACTCACAGGGGCTATTCTACCTTCACAATCAGTTCTTTCAACCGTAGAATGAAGACTGCAGACCGTCGACCTTTAGGGTCAGTGAACCCATTTATACCATTGTCAACATAAACCTGCTCTCCACACCTTTGTGTTTGCTCTGCACTGAGAACAATATGGTTTACCCAATGGGGCAAAATGAGTGGGATGGGCATGGCTTGACAAATACACACCTTATGTCTACATCTGTGTAATTATAGCCTTCTATTAACCATTTCTTCTTACTTGATTGCTGTCGAACTGTGACATTTCACAGGAGGAAGTTAAACCCGAACATCACCACCATTAACAGCTTTTCCTAGAAGACTGACATTGTGTAAATGTACTCTCAGGATAAAGGGCAGGCACGTAGGTGGGTTGGGTCATAAGTGTAGGTTACAGCTAGTAATCATTATTGTCATGTGGGCTCAGATAATAAGCGGACACAATGGAAAGCTGTCAATTTAGACTTGGAGGAAGAAATCTTTTTCTTTGAGCTGGGGATTAACAGCTGAGTTTTCTACTGAAGTTGGCAAGAGTTTGTAGGCTTTAATTCTTTTTTTTACTTCAAAATCAAATAAAATGGTTCTGTGCATCTAACTCATCACAGGTTATCAATCTTGACATATGGCATGATAAATGGTTGAGTGGGCAGATATGGTAATAACTATCTGTTTTTGTCAGGTACGCAGTGTGCCATAGCAACAGGAAAATGATTTCATATCTAGGGTATTGCTTTATAAATTTTGTAACAACATCTCAGATATGGACACGTATCAGTTTTGGAGAACGAGTTCTAAAAATGCAGATCCAAAAATATAATTTCTGCTCATAAACTACAAAAATTTATCATCTCTAGCAAATAACAGCAAACAATTTCTAACTGCCATCAAGATATGAGCAGAAACTGATGCAACTGCAAGAATAAAGTAAACTGGTAGCTTTCATTCCAATCTTAGGAGCCCGCCCACCCACCAAATTACATTAAGCCTGACTCTCTCTGCTCCTAAGAGGAACAGATTGCTCCATCCATCTTCATGGTTACTCACAATTACCCTCACCCCACCCACTCTTTCATTCATTTATGGTGAAGTAGGCAAGATTTTATTAACTCCAGACACTGGACCATGACTGGAGAGAAATGTATTACCAAGCCTGGGTGACTAATGGAGTCGCAGTAATTACATTTTACTTGAAGAATAGCAGTAACTACTCCTTTGGACCCATTCCACTGTCAAGGTAAAAGAAATATTGAAGTCCAATTTCCCATGGAAGTACAGGTAGTCAGCTTTATGCCTTATGACTGGAATTTTTCACATCAGCTGCATTAATGTATGGATTTGCATGAAGAAAAAAGATGCTTCAAATGAAGTCTCTTTACCTTAATGGTTGGGGTTTTATACTTCAGGTGGTGAAAGAATAGCCTGGGTACCAGGATTTTCAGTTCTAATTTCACTCCGCAACACTCGAAAAAATCATGCCAGCAGTCCCAGACATGATTTTTTCGAGCATTGCTGAGCGAAAGTCCAAATGGTACCCAGGCTAGTGAAAGAAGATACCACTGAATGTGCCACCATGTCTTCTGTTTCCTAATAAAGAGTTTACTCTATCATCTTGACTCAATCAAGTAACGGTAATCTTGTGTACAATGTGTACGTGACTTTAGACTGGCCTTGGTCGCCCTCCTGGGGGGCATTTTTAAAGGCCACATTTCTATACAGCTGGCACAGCAGGGGAAAAACACACATGGGGGGGGAGTAAAGTACATAGGATTATCATTCTAGACTCAACACAAAAACTTGAACCAGTTGTTTTGACAAACCCATTTACTATTTCTTTGTCTGTTGGAGAAGGAAGTGTTGTGGGTTGAAGACAAAAGGATGAATACATCCTGTAAACATTCACTACTCCCTTCCTTTCCCACAAGTATTTTCTTCCTACTGTAGGTCATAGTTTGCCAACAAAGTCTACATCACATACTAAAAACATTTTCATACAGGTGCACATCCATGTCTGGCCCTGTTGGCCACTCGACTGCACTTTTCCACAATAATCCTTCAAATGTAACAAATGTACTAAATGCTGCAGAATTAATTCCAGGGTGACGGACATGTGAAGGTTCCTACCTTTCTCAATGTCCTCTGGTTTAGCACCTGTGAACTTGGTGAGAAGCTGATACCATTGTTTGCACAGCTTGTAGGGCTTGTGATGAGGCTTCAACTGCAATTCTGCAAGGAAAAACAAGTCAATACTGGATGTCAGTCAAAGGTGGATACTACATGAAAATGTATCTGTATTGACCTTCTGCCTGATGAAAAATTAGCCCATATAATCCCTTACAGGTGAATTAATTAAGCAGGAAAAAAGGATTTCTCCCTAAATCCTGTTACAAGTAGTGCATAACTTCTTTTTTTTACAGAAGCATATAGCATCTCAGTTTCCTGTGGTGGAAGTGGTAGACAGCAGCAAAATGGGTATCTGTTCCCAATACCTACACTTCTATATTTACCCCATACTAATGAAAAGTAGGGACACTGTATATATCAGATATTTACTGATGCATGTAAATGTTGGCATGGTGCCTGTCACGAGTACATGTTCATGACCTAAGGAGTGGTAACCTGAAACATCCTGTGTAGCAGGAACCAAGGGTTCCAGGCATTGTATGGATCTGGAAAAATGCCAAACATCACTATCTACTGTCCTTATTCCTAGGACTGTTGGCTCACTGCCAGGAAGGTATTGTTAAAAAAAAATGTTTGAGGGACATTCTAATTCCACATGTCACTTAACACTCATTTCAAGCTTTCTTTACCATACTAAATACGGTACAGATGTAAATTTAAATAAAAAACACTCATATGCAAAATTAAGGCCATTGAACATTCATATGGGGTAGGAACACACACATACATGGGAGACAACATAACTCAGGCAGTAGCAACTATGTTCATGATCAGTTCCCATCCTGACATGTTTGCACATGAAGACAAGATGCCAGGCCACACATGTATAGAGTTGATTAACCTGCGGCTCTGACAGGCCATGCTTGCATCACTGTAATCCTACGCTGATTTCCACTCTATATTAATGAGGAGACTGTATGAAATGGAGGCAATTTTCATGACATCATCTTTTTGGGGATTGCATTGGGCATAGCCAATAATGTCTTTGTTTGCTACTCCCCTTGACGTCTGCTACAGTATTAGGAGATAGATGTAAGATGGCAAGGTTATGGAATATCAAGAGGCAGCTCATGAATTTGTGCATGTCCAAACTTATGTAAAGATGAAAACTGAAGGGACATTTTTCAAAGGGACCAAGGTCAACATGTATGATAGACTGAGTAGATCTAATGGCCAGGGTTCTGGCTGATTCTGGGCTGACTTGTGATCGATGGATGTTGGTTTAACTCCATCTCGGCTTGGAAGATTGCTTGGTGATGCCAGCTTACAAAATCAATATCATGGTGGGCACACTCAGAGAAAATATGTACTTAGAACAGAATGACAAATTGCTGCGGTTTTCCATATGGCTGGTGTAAGGGGCAAGCCCTTTATCCCAAGTCTTTAATATCATTACTGGAGAGCCAATTTGGCGACTAGATGAAGTCAAGAGATTTACTGGGAACCAATTCCAATGCTCTTATACCATCCTGGAAGTTTATAGTCATGACTTATATTTCTGCACTCCTTCAGAGTTTTGAACCATAAAAAATCAATCTCCTCGCGACTCATAAGCCAGTGAACTAGCCTCATGGGAACTAGATAACATTACTGCTTTATTGGAAATGGAATCTTTGTAGGGTTGGGTGCCAGCTCAGGATGGGAAGTGAAGCAATCTTGAGTGAGTATCTGGGTGTGGGGAGGAAGAACTGATGGTTCATTCTGATTACAGGGAAGTTAGAGGAAGCGCTGGGGGAAGTTGTGGACTCCATGTGAACAAATGTTTTGAAAACATCAGTTCAAGAAAACCACACTGGCCAACATCACAAATGTGGTGCCAAGACATACATTTGTTCTACATCCCTGTCTGGGAGTCCTACAGACAGACTATTTTGGCCTGGGGGATTACATGCCAGCATAGGAAGCTAAGAAAGTCTAGTCATTACAAAAATATCTACCGGTAGCAGGATAGTTGAAAGTAAACCTTCATAAAGACAGAAATGTGCATTGAATTCAACAACTATGAAGTACTGTATAGGCTCTGCACTGTTTATGAGGCCTGATGATGTTATGAGAAAATTAAGGGGCAATCCTTCTCCAAACAGCTGTTGTTTTGGATGCTTTCTTGATCACATTCCATAAAAGTTCCCTTGGTGGCAATCATATTTTCTGTTTTTATGCTGACCAACTGGGAAATCTATTTCTTTCCTGGCAAGTAGAAGGTGGGAGCCTGTTGTAAACAGAATGAATCTGCTTTTATTATTAGCAGGTGAGTGGGTGTTATTGGCAGAATCATTATGATGGTAACAGCTGGCAGTCATAATGGAAGACCCCTTTTATTATGAGAGGCAGGACCACAAGACCCATACTTACGCAGCAGTGGTGAGGTAAGCCACAGACAGAAGACCTCGGAGGCCTGCTGTGGGAGATCCAGGTTGCCTTGGACCAGCTTGCTCAGTTCTCCAGCTGTGGTGTGTTTGCCATTATCCAGGCAAAACTGAAGGCCACATTTGTCCATAGAGTATACACATAGCTCCAGATCTGTGCACAACAATGGGGCCAGAGGAAACCAGTAGTCAGACCTTTATCTGGAAAAACCAAGCTACAACACATACCCACATATCACTCAGTCTTACCTACAAATCTGATCTCAAGAGAGCAATACCGCAGTTTTCTTAATTAAGTTCAAATCTCACTTCAAAGCTTCTTGTTTACATCAATGCTAGAAAGTAGACACAATGGGCCAAAGGCTGATCACTGATCCTTTAACTTCTTGTTTACGGGATAAACATACTTCTGCTTGTTGGACTGATGCTGCTCTGTCGTCCCAGGTCAGACGTGGCGTATGAGCTGTCCGACTGTCGCTGCTCGATGTGAAGCCTCTGGAGCGGGATACGTTCCCGCCGAGTTGGGAGGGGGACTTCATTCCCGTTGTCTTCAGTGAGTGGCTGATTCTCAAGGTTCTGATTCGCCATCTTGAAATGTAGATTTTCTACTGAAAAAAATAAAAAAATAAAATACAGCAAAAACTGTAACAGATGCCAAGTATTCTCTTCAATCTTCTAGTTTTCTCATCTAAAGCAGACATACTGGTAGCAAAGTTACTAATTGGGCAAAACAGGTACGTAAGCATACCGGGGGTAGTATGCATACAACCAAGGAGGTTTAAACTCCATGATACAACTTGTTCCTTAATTCATAAAACAATTGGATCCCTCACTATTGAAATACTAGATTATTTAAGGAGATAGTAACACTGGCATGACGATGTAGCTATAATGCTACCAGTAATACAGTATTACATGTAGCTTATCTGTAAAGCAACATTGAAATTCAGCAGGAAGGAGCTGATCTTCAGGTACAATGTCATGGTGCCCCACACAATCAGCCGCTGACAAGGGGACAATACGCAAGTGACACATTATTCAAAGTCCAAACTCACCAATTGCGATGAATAATGGACTAACTGTCAACTACGTCAAGAGGCTAACAATTTTGTGCTACAATTCACAGACCAACAATATATGTGCTAGTTAGACGTCACAGCACCGGATATCTTACCTCTTATAGAAAATTATTCTGGTTTCCTCCAGTTTTGACCAGTTGTTGAATTTAAAAGCATGACAAGAATAAGATGTGAATGGCCTGAACTTGTTTACTCACATGCTGAGTGATAACGGACCTACTTGCTGGCACGCACGACTCTTATGTAAATACCCATGTAACTAAGACACGGGTTTGAACAATGCAGCCCACCCAAAACTGTTGACTCAAGGTCAACAAAGCGGAGAAGGACGTTGAACCGAAGGTAAAGTTTCCAAAAAGAATGACGTATGACTGACGCACCCTGATGCTAAACCTTTTGGTGAAGAGAGCTATTTCTATAAACTGGCAATGGTGGCTTTATGAATTTATAATTTATCACAGGAAAAAGAACTTAAGAAAAATAAGCAACCAAAACCAAGCATACAAGTACTAGTTTATGACAATATTCAAGTCATAAAATCAGTTTATGCACTTAATTTGGTTAATCAAACCTGGTAGTACAGTATGTATTCTAGTTGAAATTTTTGTAGTGTACCAGCATTTTGTATGACAATATCCTCTGTTCAACATGAAAAAAAAAAATCAAGACATGCCTTTAAGAAATCTACCAGGAAACTATATTGACGTCATGACGATGGTAAATGGCACCAACAGGTCCATTGTGACCTGAGAAGACTGAAACCTGATACTTTAACATTGACCACAAGGTGGTCACACTTCCTGCAAGCAAACCTTATGGCACTTACTCACGTCAAGGTTCCTACGGACAACAGTAAAATGTTTGGGTGGGCAGAACTGAGGGACCTTTAGCGGCAGTTACCGGTAACTACTGTACATATCTCGACTTTATCTCTGGTGCGATTATTGGCAAGGGGAAGCATAATATCCATTTCTATTGCCATTAGTATACTCCTTGGTATATCATATATAAAACTGGTACTATTCAGTCAGAAATCAGCAGGTACTACCTGCAACCAATCCCTGTGTACAAAAGCAATGAACATCCCATTTTTTTACAAAATGATTAACACACACTGTAATCTTCATTTGGTGTGATTATTTCCATCCCGAAAGGAGTTCCAAAATTGCATATATACGTCACTGGGCCACTCCTTCCGCTGTATTTTGGGCATGATACAAAGGAAGGTGTCTGACTCCAGTCGTCAATTTGCCTGAAGGCTTTAGTTTTAATTTTACAAAACAAAACAAAGCGATTCCCCCTAGACTCCAAGAATAACTCTAACGTAACAGAGTGACTTCATACTATCAAATAATTCATATTCCTTCAACAGAGTACAGCTACTCCCAAAATCTAATATTTCATACAACAAAGTTAACACTAAACTTAATTGTTTTGCGAAAGCTTACCAGAGAGTTTCACCTTATCTCACTTGTGGTAAGTATAGTTAGTTTTTACTGTGCTATGTACACAGGTTAGCTAAAGCTGTCATCAATGTCAAACGTCTTAAATTAACTATACCATATAACGTTACAGCGTTACAGCGGTGTAAGGGAAGTCAGTGACCATCATACAATGTCCCAAAACCGAATAACACTAACGTTATATGTACAAATATAACGTCCTTGTAAAATACATTATACTAGTAACGTTTATAATCGTTCTTGGTTTAGAACAAACGAACTACATGTACTATTATACTAACGCTAACGTTAGGTGTATCGGTTTACGCTGTTTCCAACAAGGAAGTTTCGTTATTTCAAAAATGGGCAAACGACACATCACAAATCTTCAACGACGTCTTATTCCAGAATATGAATAATTTAATTCTGGGCTATTCCCTCAAGACTATTTAAGTGAAAAATAGGTGATTTAAAACCAGCTGTCGAAGTGGCAACATAATTTCCCTCCACACAGACATCTGGTCCGTGCTGAAAATTTATGACTCACAACAAGACTCTGCTAAAACCCGTGGAATAATCTGCGATCCACATCTAGCGAATTGGTACACTAGTAACGATCAACTTTAAAACACAGAAAGCTCCATATTTTACCTGCTGTAGAGAGATCAGGCCCTATGTAGTAGTCCTACTACGGAGGCGGATTCGACTCGACAAACAGACCCCAGCAGACAGAAAATTTGTGCAGCGGATCCAGTCGAGCTGCCAACCGCCAGACCTGAGTCACACGTCTGTCACACAAACACACCTGATCCGAGAGGCACAGGAAGGGGATAATCACGGGCTTACCTTGATTGTAGTGCTAACGACCAGGCCGTCAGGTAGAGAAACCAGTTTTCTGCGAAGAATCGCGGCGGCCCGACTTCCCAGTCTCCCTGACGTGTGGTGTCCGCCCCCGCACTGCGCTGGCCTGGAACCGATCTGAATATGTAAAGTTAATATTAACCTTTCACCGGACTAGTCCAAAACATCGTTGGGGGGAACTTAATATTAAACTGTCTTAGCAATTAATAGAGCAATATTTGATACATAGATGTATTCTGAATTTATGTAAAAGAACTATTTTTTATAAATTTAGGGTCATAGAATATAGACTTTAGGATTTTCTGGGGATATCTCGATGCAAATTCGTTGCAGACTAACCTATTTTGTGTTGGACTAGTCCGCCATTCGAGAAGATGGCGACCGGAGCTGACATCCACGGGAAGTTGGCGGAGTATCGGGCAAGGAAAGCCAGAGAGTACAGGGAGGAAACACAAAAACGGAACTTCTGGGGAAATTTGGGATATGTGCAAGGGGATACACAGGTGTGTAACGTTTCGATGCCAAGTAAATTGAGGATGCTTGTGTTTGAGCAAGCATCTTGGTTTTTGAGCGATCGAGGGAACAACGTCGTCCCTTTTACTGCCACGCGTCATCGAAGTGTTTGTTTTGGTAGCTGTTAAAGTTGTCCCTGAAGTAATCAATCGATGACGCACTAAGAATTTTGATAGCTGGTCAAGAGGTTCAGTTTGACCTCATTAGTGCCGGTCTGCAGATTTCCTCAGAAATGTTTGGCTTCTAAATTTGTTGTTTTAGACGTACTCTCGTCACAATGACGTCACCACAGGAAGTAAATAACAAAACAGCGTTCGTGTAATTGTTGTCCATGTTTGGCACTGATTTGATTTATTTTCTTAATATCTTTACTCAATGACACATTTCCCAGGACAACCATCAGTTCTCCACGTCATGCACAACTTATTACTATATCAGATTTCCAGTCAGTTGCTAAAAAAAATTGTCATAATAAATTACTTTTTGTACGCAGTCAGCTTTTAAAAAGACACCCACTGCTGATTCTTAGATATCACTTGGATTACAAGGTGTGTACTAGTGGATAGATAAAATATAGGAAATGCCACACACATTTCTCATACAGATTACTAGTAGTATGTTACTCATAATAGTCATATGGAAAAAAATGATGGTCAAAAGATGCTAATCAGTATTGATGAGGAACAATGCCTATGGTACTGACTACAATACCTGCTAGGACTTGTAACTTGAGCTGATGTAGGCAGGAAGTGATGTGATGTTGTAACACACCCACCAGTAATTGTAGTCAGGAGGAAAACACCTACAATAATATTATGGTACAGAAAGTGAGGGGAGGAAGAAATTTTCCCACGATTCCAGGTAGGAAAGGGAATAATGGGACTGACGTAACATAACAATGATCTCACTAAAGTGACTGTTTTTGAGGTTACCCACAAAACTAACAAAAAAAGAAAAGGATATGATGCAGCAACTTTCACACTCACAGTTCTGTCTAGACATGACCAGCAATCAGACAAATCTGTTTAGGAAGTTGTTGTGATTATGTCATGCAAAGTTCTATAAACATATTGTAGTAGTCCAACTGTACATACAACAGCTCAGTCAATGATATTAAAAGCATGAAACTTGGTATGTTGAAGCTCCATATACTTTTCAAAGTTTCATCACCATCTGAGCAATGTTTGTGCCACTGGCCTGGACCATAGCTTAGAGTACAGTGCCGGGTAATGTTACATTGGTCATTGGTGTTGAACATCAGACAAGGCTATTTTTACACAGACAGGCTTTCCTGTTATTTCCAGGAACAGGAGGTGAACAGTAGCCGCCTGAGAGTTCCACATCAGATCTCCAGGATCCTGGCCCAGAACAACTTCCTCCTCACCAATCCAACATTCCTCAAGTTCATCCTGTGGCTCATCCTGCTGGGCTTCTTCATAGAAATGGGATTTGCAGCTGTGTATATAATTCTATCAATATTCTATGTTATGTATGTGAATATGAGGAGTGGTGACCGTGGTTCAGGGGAGCTGAGTGCATATTCTGTTTTCAACCCAAACTGTGAGAGGTTACAGGGAACACTGACTGCAGAACAGTTTGAGAGGGAACTGACATATAAGAAGCTTGATGATTGATTGTACAAATGTAAATAAGCTGATCTGATATTTAGAGGATCTTAAATCATTATGTAATTCACACTGTACCGACTCCCCTAAAAAGTTTTGGTCGCACATAAAACACTTGAAACAGGAAGCAACTGGTATCCCTAGCCTTAAACTAAGAGATAAATTAGAATCAGATAACAGAATCAAAGCAAACATACTTAACTCCCAATTTAGTTCTGTCTTTACTGAGGAAAAAGAACAACTCCCCCACCTCCCTCGTAGTACCATTCCCTCAATACCAGAATTCAGCATTAATACTAACGGAGTTATCAAACTCCTGAGTGAACTGAATCCACACAAAGCTAGTGGACCAGACGGCCTTTCAGCAAGAATTCTTAAACTAGCGGCCGTAGAGTTAGCCCCAGCCCTAACCTTAATATGTCAGAAATCTCTAGAATCAGGCCAAATCCCGTCCACTTGGCTACACGCAAACATCACTCCCATTTATAAAAAAGGTGATAGGACGAAACCTTCTAACTATCGTCCCGTCTCTCTCACTTGTGTTTGTAGTAAGGTTATGGAGCACATTATCCACTCCCAGATAATGGACCATTTTGATATGTATTCTATCTTAACTGAAAACCAACATGGTTTTAGGAAGAAACATTCGTGTGAGACTCAACTTGTCCAAACCACAAATGACTTAGCCTTTCCTTAGATTCCAAATCACAAACTGATCTAATCATAACTGATTTCGCCAAAGCCTTTGATAAGGTTCCCCATAACCGTCTTCTCTTAAAACTACATAATTACGGCATCCGAGGCAAACTCCTCCATTGGATTTCTAACTTCCTAAAAAACGTAAACAAAGGGTAGTAGTTGGGGGGGAACATTCAGACTGGGCAGAAGTAGTTTCAGGAGTACCCCAAGGCACCGTACTAGGGCCTTTATTGTTCCTAGTATACATAAATGATCTGGCCGACAACCTTAACTCTAACATCAGGCTTTTCGCCGACGACTGTGTCATTTACAGAGAAATAAATAACGACAATGACCATAACCTACTACAAGATGACATAAACATGTTAGACGCATGGCAGAGCAATTGGCAAATGGAACTACACCCTGATAAGTGCTACGTCATGCGCTACACCCATAAACGCAAAACTAAAGTATTTGACTATAAACTAGGGAGCCATACACTAGCTGAGGCTAACAATCACAAGTACCTAGGGGTTATCCTAAACAACAAACTTTCTTGGACTGAACATATCCATCATATTACTTCCAAAGCAAATAAATCATTAGGTTTTATTAAACGCAATCTCTATAGCTGTCCTAAATCAGTTAAGATGAATGCATACACTAGCTTAGTCAGACCCCACCTTGAATACGCTAGCGCTGCATGGGATCCGTACTACAAGGAACATATTCACAAGATAGAATCGGTCCAGAAAAGAGCGGCCAGATTTGTCTCTAATACCTATGATACTTATGCCAGCACTACCAAATTGGTCACAGATTTAGGGTGGGACACATTAAAGGACAGACGCACAGCAAGTAGACTCACATTACTTCAGAAAGCAAGATACTCAAAAACAGCCCTTCCGGTCAAAACCTTGTTGACGCCTATCCCGCGCCAATCACGACACTTCAACTCCAACTCATACAAACCCCTAACGTTTCACAAAGACTGCTACAAATATTCATATTTTCCACAAACTGTCAGAGATTGGAACATTTTGCCCCAAGAGATAACCGATACTGCGGAACCCACGAAGTTCAACGCTGCAGTACTACAACACCTGAGGAAGCAGCAATAACGCATCGCACAGCTCCCCTGCACGTTTTACCCCAATCTAGGGGTGTTGTGCAGTACCCGAACAAGACAAGACAAGACAAGACAAGACACTGTAGAAACATTTCAATTACAAATGTATACTCTTTGTAGCTTGACATTTACAACTACTGTATTAAAGAGATATTTTACCTTTATCTTGTAGATGTCTGTGTTTTGTTGCATACAAATTCATGGAATCACAGTATCATAGAGTTACCTTAAGATGGAAATTTTGTAGGAGCCTATGATGCTAACAAATATCTTTGTGCCGGTATATGCCAAGTTGATTGTGGAATAAAGTTTCATGGCTGTATGACTCCAAAACACATCTTTACTGTGGCTGAAAATATTATTGCAGAAAAAAAGATAATGAGGGTCGGGCAAGGTGAAGGACATTATTTTTGTCCATGTATCTTTATGCTGGACGAGGATGTTTAAGCCTTGTGTTGAACCTCCTTTTAAACCTCCTTGGTTGACCAAATAAACCTGCCAGGTGACCCAGAACTGCAGAAGCGCATTCGGTGACCAGAAATATCATTGCAGAAAGGCGGCGTAAGAATGCTGCAGTGAGTGTGCTAACCGCCAGACGCCCCCATTGATAGGTGCGAAGAATAAAAATTGGTGCAGTCCAGGAGGTGTCCGAACATTTTATCGTGATATAGTTACCACTGTTTAACATTGATTTTGCTAAAGTACAAATGAAAAAATTAGTTTAGTCTTAAAAAGATAGAAATTAATAGTTACAGTATGGCCTAATTATTTTGTACCAATTACAAGTAACCGACCAAATGTAACACCCCCCTGCATGATATTGAATTCGTCGTGCTAAAGCAACATGGCTGCCCATTCTGCGAAAATTTTAAGAGCATGGATTCATTGACGGTCTTTGCGTAAATAAGGTTACTTAATGCACGTCTGGAGCTTGTAGAGGTAATTCCGATGTCCGAGCACACAGGGAGCCAGTCTTCATCCCACGGAGGTGACCGTGGACGGCGGAGGAGCCGCAGGAGGGGCGGTGGGGGGAGGGAGGGGAGGGAGACCAGGCCAAGGAGTCGGGTAAGGAAGGCGTTGAAACCATCGTGTTACCCATCAAGAGATCGTGCTTGTCAACAGGACTATTCACATAATGTTTCGACAGGAAAATGAACATGTTGTAACAAATATAAAAATCATGTCTTAATATTGCATTCCAGGAGAAAGATAAAGACAACAGTGCCAGTGGTCCCAGTGGCAGTGGCCCTATCAAAGCTCCTATCATCTTAGCCAAACCTCACATTGAGAAGGTAAAACAATGACACATACCTTTCAGTGCGACCAGTGTTGGTGTCAATGGAGGATAAAGGCATTTTTATACATATTTTTTCAGATAACAGTTGATACTTTCCTCAAATTGTTTAAATGCAATAGAGTGTAACCTCTTGAAAAATTACTATTAACGTTAACATTGTTAAAGTAATAGTTAAGATTTAATTTTTTCATTTTTCTCAGAATCGAGACTCCAGCACCAGTGGCAGTGGTTCATCAGACAGTAAACCCATCGTCCTGATCAAACCCAGGGAGGACACCTCATCTGCCTCCTCCCAGAGTACTGGAGTCACCACGTCTGGCACAGCTGCTGCACAGGTCGGTAATGGTCTTTGGTTTACTGCTATGTCATAGTCCCCAAATCTCTGCTACTGATTTTAGCAAGTAGAGCACATTGTAGTCATAGTGGTATAGTAGGCATCCTTCCATCTCAAAAGATGATGGTAGCAATGTAGGTCTTGTGTTGTGGCAGTGTACAGCATCTAGTCTGGCTGACCAGCCCAAGGACGTTCTATGATCAGCCCTATCCTTGCATATCTTGACATTGTAGTATGGTGTGTAAAAGGTGACTACAATAACAAGATAGAAGGAGTCACATTTTCCCCTCTGCTGTTCATAGGCTGCTCCCAGTGATGGTTTCCATGGAGACCAGAGTGGGCGTGGCCAGCCCACCCAGCAGCCAACTTATCAGATCCAGCGTAACGTGTCATCTGTTGCAGCTTTCACTGAGAGTCAGTACTTATGATATGGTTTACTTGCTGCTAAGTCTTCAATGTAGGAAGGCATAGAATAGGCTTTTTGTTTGATCATCTTATGTAAAATTTCCAGATGCTTAAAATGTGTGTGTGCACATGGGTGTGCTTAAAATTGCATGTACTCTGTATGTCATTAATTATTTCCAATGCAAGAACAAGACATGACATTCTCATGCAAATGATTGTCTGATTTTAAGAACTACCCAAAGAACAAACCAATAATGTTAACAGTTTTTAACACTAAATGTTTGAGAAGCACCACCTGTATGTTGCATGATGTGTATTGTGCATTACCAAAGTAAGTCAAGTAGTGATCACTCAAGTATACTCACCAGGGGAGCTCCTTGTCAAATTTCTAACTGGTATAACTATAAGGGTCACATGTTGAACAGTTGAACTGTATCTCTACAAAGTCAACACAACATTGTGCTAAATTGCCTTCCTCTGTTCTCCCCATCCCAGGCAGCCAGACACGGCTGGCCCCTCCACCAGAGATGACCCAACCTGTCAAACTGGTGGATGACAGTCTCAACTGGTGTGACAGTGGTATAGATGTGAGTGGGAATGCTGCATTGTCTACTACTTAGCATTTTGATTCAACATCACAGTGTTGGGTTCAATATTGTTATTTGTATCTTCAGTGTTCTATGGAAATTCTATATGGCTGGCTGGTTTTTATACTTGTGATACTGGGTTCATCAGTGTCTATTGTCCATGTTTAGATGCTACTGGATCAGACAGACTTCTTGGTGGTTGGAGTGGTTGGGATGGAGGGTGTGGGCAAGTCGACCATCCTGTCACTACTGGCAGGGAACCATCCAGAACAGCCTAACAGGTACATTTCCCACATTATGAATCACTAACAAAAATAACTGATGTGAATTAGGGTACATCAGTAATAAAAAAAGGAAAAAACTGCAGTTTGATTGACATGGCATTAGAAGATGAAACTGCATTGTTGTCACTTTTAGACCCCTTTAAACACTCCAAACTTTGTTGCAGGAGCTTTGTGTTCAAACCCCAGTCAGAAGAAGCACTGGAGACAGCAGGGCACCAGACAGTGGGGGTGGACTTGTTTGTCACCCCTGAGAGGATCATCCTCATTGACACACAGGTCAGGACAGGATGACCTTTCTGGTCTTATGAACGATTGCATATGATTTTTACATTTGCTTCAAGGAAGTACAACATTTAGTCTAGTTCAATAATCTTATAAAACTCCAATTCGTAAATTCAATCTAGCAAAACATTTTGTATAAATCATGAAGGAAGATATGTGGGGCCAGGTAAAAAGGTATTGCAGTCTTGACAAGCACGATACACAAATCTAAATGGTTGTACATAGTTCAGCTAAGATGGAATTCCTTTTGTTAACTCTGTATCTGAAGTCTTGTATGTAAGGACCATGGACTGAAGCTAACATTATTAACAACTCTGGACTTGATGTAAGTGTTGTTACTGTTGTCTCTGTTTAAAAATGCATTCCCTCCCTCCCAACAGCCCATCCTGAGTGCATCAGTCCTTGACCAGCTGATCCACAATGACAGGAAGCTGCCTCCTGAGGTTGGGCTGGCAGAGAACTGGGCGGAGGTGCTGTCCCTCCAGCTGACGGCCTTCCTCATGACGGTGTGCCACGTGGTGCTGGTGGTACAGGACTGGTTCACAGATATCAACTTGTACAGGTGGGGGCTGGTGTATCTTTATGTCATTGTACATGAAATTGAAGAGGGCCTGCAAGGGGGGGTAGTGATTACGAATTACGCAAAATTTTCGCCGCCTATTACGAATTACGTTAAAGTTTCAGAGCTGATTACGACTTTACGATTTGCGGCTAATGTCGAATTACGAATTACGTTGATTTTTGCGGAGGCTGCCTACGAATTACGAAGTCTAAAACGGCCTGATTACGCCTTACGAAAAAGGGCTTGCAGGCCCCCATTGAAATGGTGAGGTGATCCTCAATCTCAAAGAGAAACTTGGATCAAATTTTATTTCCCAGCTGAGAAAAACTGGTGCAACTAATGTAAATGTTGTTTGGAAAACAAATTCAAGAACATAAATATGGGATTGCACTGACCTCTTTACCAATTACTTCTGTTTCTTTCTTGTGTGATTGCTTTATGTCCTATTCATCAGAAAACTAGAAGGAAGGGTGGGATCTCTCATTGAAAGTTGTTTTTCATGTTAAAAGCTGTTTTTGCACAAAAAATATATTCATAGTAAAAGCACATAAAGCCTGTGTAATCACACCTAACAAGTGCTCTGTTCCCCTGTGATACCAGATTCCTGCAGACAGCGGAGATGTTGAAGCCGCCCACCCCGGCTCCCAGCCATGACGCCCCCTCCTCCAGTGTGTCGGCAGACGAGCAGGGGGACTACTTCCCTGCCGTGGTGTTTGTCCAGAACAGGGCCACACGGGAGGACTTCCAGCCCAGCAGGGTCCAGGCCATGAAAACCACTGTGGACAGGCTACTGCAGCATGCTAGTATGAGGTCAGAGTCATACATGCAGTCCTTTGGTCTGAAGTCAAAATTCTAAGTTAAGCACTGGTACTTACCCCACAGGTTCTTAATGTACAAACTGTGTTTGTGTATCAGTATTAGTTGCCCAATTAAAGACCAACCAAACTTTGGACTTCAGATTATTCATGACAGTACAGAAAGCAGCCAACAGTAACATTCTTCACTTACAGATACAAGAATGCAGTGTCTATGAATCTGAATGGACTGGTGCCTGCTCGGCAAAAGAGCCCAAGTGGAGATGTTAGCCTGTTCCTGTTCCCGGACTTCCCACACAAACCAACTAAGCAGAATGGCAAGGTTGACGGTAAGTTTGCTGAGTGTGTCAATGTGTACAAGGTTTTTGATGTGCTTTTTTTGGTACAGCATTGAACAAACAATAATGCTTCCTGAGGTGTTATTACTTGGGTGACCATCAGTTATCAGACCCTATTGAACAAGTAGCTGTTTAGTGTACCAGTAGTATACAGTTCAGTTGGTAACCTAGCATATGCTTGAATTTACTGGTAGCTTTTTTCCTAGGAAGGAACAGTATTAGGTGTGTAACCATACTGGTGCTATTTTTTAAGAGACCCAACCTCTTAATCCTTGCACACCACAGGAATGACCTTGGTCCTGAACCTGGTGCCAGACTATCAGGGTCACCCCAGCCCACAGGCTCTCACGGACTCCTTCAGGAACCAGATCTTCTCTGTGCCGAGGACTCCTCTCACCCACCACTCTCTCACCGAGAAAAATTGGTAGGTCAAGAATTGTTAGATCAGGCTGATGCAAATATATCATTCTAGAAAGCACATTTCCTGCTACCGGTAGTACAGTGGAAAAGGTTGTAGCTTGGTTGAGCTGGCTTCTTCCCCAACATAATGTTGGGGATAGCCTTGTTTCCTTTCGTTGCTTTATAGTTAAATTATACATTGGTTGGTTGTCTCAACACTAGCTCTTGTACATGAAGGTTTCATGATGAACTTCTCTTCATGTTCCCCCAGGTTCCACTATGCTGCCAGGACATGGGAGGGTGTGAGGAAGTCCAACCTGATGGCCGAGTACAGCCGCCTGCTGACCTGAGGACCAGACTACTGTGAGAGGACACCAACACAGCAACAGCTAGCTCTGCCCTCCCAGGGAGCAGATGCCAGGAGGAACAACAGCTTGGCTGGCAAGCGAGAGAGAGAGAGTAGAGGGGCTGCAGAGCTGGATACGACCAACAGCTCTCACCTCCTGTACAGCCTCTTTGGGGAAATGGTGGTCAGGAAACTGGAGTTGCCTTGAGGCATAATAAGTAACACAGGTCTACCCAAGAATGGAAATGTGGAATTTGGCAAATGATGATGAATAGGCATCAGAGAATGAGACTATAACAACAGCTGAATTGTAGCTTACTTAAAAAAGCGCTGTCACACATGGCTTCTGTGGGTGAAGGTTCCAGTATGTTGTCTTTAAGAAAGTCATTTGTAGTAAATTGGCTACATTGATATCCATATGTTATGCTCAATATGCAAGATGTATGATGTTGTAACTGTGCAGTGTACTGGTACCAGTAGGAAGATGTTGAACAGCATCCAAACTGATGCAGCGATTTTGCAATCAGCAGGAGCAAAATTTTCACTGTATGAATGAAAACTAAGCAGATGGTGGGAGGTAAAATCGTAACTTCCTTGGGGATTACCATAGTCCATGTCTGACATCTTATCTTGTGAGGAGACTGGGGATAAATAACAGACAGCTAGGATCTAGTTTTGCTATATTTGGCCACTGCATCCAAATTGCTTCAGGATATCAGCAGGCACTGCAATCTTAGTCAAGTAGTCAACAACCAACCAAGAAAAAAAACACCAGAAGCAACTCTCTTATCAAGAACTTTATTTCTTGATTCCATTTGATATGAAGATATATTGTTAATTATTATTAGATGTGTTGGTTGACATTGATCACTTTTGTCATGCACTGACATAAACTAACTGGAGGAATATTGCCTCTGCACAATACAGGTATGACTTATATAACTACAATCTGCTTTTCATTTGGAATGTCGACTCAAATTAACAGTATAGCAAAGTTCTTCTGTTAAAAGCAAGTTGAATCCCAAGATGTAAAAATGTGTCCCAGCTTGAGTTTACCTCAAAGAATTGAACTGCTACATGTATAAGTCACATCCATATACAAAGGCCACCTGTTGCAATAAGGAACTGAAAAATAAAAAAGCTGACGGAGTGAAAGATTGGCATTAGCTTTACTGCTCATATTTTCAATACATGTTGTATACAATAGTGTGTCTAGTTGAAATAGCCCAGAAATAAAAGTATGTTATCCCCATCTAATTTTTCTCTGCCAAGTCTTATTAATACTAGGTAGCTATCGTGATGCAACTGACAGTTGTATTCAGACAACACTAAAACATTTTCTGTGGTACAATAAAGAAATGGTACCGAGTTCACATGTAGTGTATATGATTTCCCAACTGACAGCCTCGTTTGTAGTATACTTTCAAGCAATGAATCCATACAAAGACTAGCCTTTGCTATCTGTGGTAGAGCAACTATTTTCTTCATGTACATAGTACATTGTACAGTGTATCTCCAAGGACCCCCATCTTACCGTATAGACAAAAGGCTGGTGTGTAAAGTACTATTACAAGTATGTGCCTGTACTGCAGTGTATGGCATTTATCTGAACTGGATCTGGCTGATACGAAGTCCTATGCAGTCCTTGCCAACCTCTGAAACCTGGAAAGGGAAAGAATCATGTGTTGATACTAAGATATAGAATAACATTTTATGAGCAGACAAGGTTTTTGTGGTTTGCATACAAGTGGGATCTTTGCTACACAGAAAACTTCAAACCATACAGCAGTGATCTATACGTACTCATGATTACCTCACACGCAAGTGGTAGCAAAGTACAAAGCAGATAAAAATATGCTTACCTTGCAGATGGTACAGACTGACCCCTTGAGCTGTGGCTGGTAACATGCCCCACACAGGGGACATTTCTCAACTGGCTTCCCTCTGTAGGGTAAGGAGAAAAACACAGGTCAGAAATTGTAATTTGGACAACTACAAATTTATTTTGCTTCAGAGGGAGAGCAGCCATAGCCCATAAAATGCCCAGGAATTTACAGGGTACTGTACATCATCCAGAAACATTTAAATGCTGAAACAAATTTGAGGAACTAGTGAACTCACCTATAGATTGGCTTGTATGTAGATGCACAGATGTCAAATGGATTGTGTTGGTCGTACTCCAGCTCATGTGTATCAGTCAGGTTCTTCTCACAGGCCTGAAGAATCTTCCGTGTCTAAAAGGAAAAGCACACAAGGTGATGTAAACAACAGTGAGCTTCAAAGTATTGCTAGGATTTAGATGTTTATTGGTAAGACATGAGGGTAATGTCAATAGCTGCAGCTGTGACCTTTCTCATTGCACAACAAAAGAAGGGAATCAGATGACAATTATGTCTACCTGCTGTGCCACCTCGGGTTTGGGACCCAGCTCCAACAGTCTTCTTGCAAACGATGCTGCTGTCTTGAAATTCTTGAGTTTGAAGAACAAGTTGAGAGCCGTCCTCAGGGTGAGGATGAGATGAATGGGCTGCAGCTGAGTGTGGGTGAAGTATGCTGCCATCTAAGGGGGAACACAAACAGCTAGTACACAAGACAATGGTAACTGATAATGATTTTAAAAGTAAATCTAATGACCGTATGCTTTATTGATGGTCTGTAGACGGAGCCATAGCCTGGTAAGATTGATGTTTTCTCATTGACTTTAACTGAAGTCAGTATAATGTCCAACCCTGATGCCATCTTTCCACCATACAGAAAATGTACTATGCTCTCTTCCCTTCCACAATAACTAGTAGGAGCTTCAAAGAGATGACTGACCTCACAGATGCGTTTCTGGTTGTCCAGTGTTGCCTTGGGCTGCTCCTTGCGGGAGATCTCCATGGACAGGCCTACGATGTACTCCTTACAGATGGCAAGCAGCTGCTGTGCCTGGATAAACAGAGATAACGAGGCTTACATTTGCAGCACCCACAGTATAGGTTTTCATTAAAATTAAAAAGTAGGTATAATGTTCTACATCTTAAAATGTGTTAGGGTCTTGCCTCAGAGATTTCCTGTTTGTTCTCCACCACCAGGAGCGGCACACTCAGCAGGAGGCTGCGGAAACGTTCCACTGCCTCTTGGAACTTCCCCCCCGTGGTCAGCTGGTAGCACTGCTGTAGTCTCTGCACAAGGTCGTTCAACTTCAGACCTACTGCTGCCTGGCCAGCACGGGCACCCGCTTCCTTCCTACACAGCAAAACATCAACAGCAAGTTTTTAAGTGAACAACAAGGATGTGAAAAATGTACTACGCAGAGAAGACCTACATTATGAGTCATACTGCAGCTGGTCTTGTTTGTGATGAAAACTCATTCAAAAGGTTAACTACCTTTTTTGCAGTTTCATACATTCCACAATGGAAAAAATACTTCATTGCACAAAAACACATCAACTCAAGCTGAACAATAGAAAGACTCACCAGTTTCGGTGTGGATAGCCAAATAAATTAGGCAGTGACGGGACGCCGATGTAGGCAGTGCGAGCACGAGCCATGGTCAACATGAAGATGTTCTGGTAGGTGGAGAAGTCCACAACTCCCACCTGATCGTGCAGCAACTGGACACAACAAAACACAAGACTTGAAAAACAGTCAGATATTGTCAGAAACTCACTACTCTGCTGATGCTCTTAGATTTTCTATGTGGGTGGAAGAGTGCTTTATTTTAATCAAAACATTTCTCACCAAAAATAGCATTTGTTACAAGGCTTTGGAAGCTTCTATCCTTCTGAAAAGAAATGTTTTACTATCAAAATATTCCCAACATACTGATCAAACTAAATGGACTAAGACTAAATAGAAAGTTCTCCAGTGAGCTGCTTTGACTCACCCTGAAGGCAGTCTCGAAGGATCCAGCTAAGATGTGGTCCACAGGAAGCTGGGAGTTGTTGCACCAGACCTGCCCCTGGCTCACACCCTTGGTGGGTGGGACAAAGTAGCCCTCCTCATCCCCTCCCATGGCCGGGCCTGGACCAACATCCTTTGGAACACAATGTTAACATTTGGTCAGCATTCAGACATGTTCTTTTTTAGCACCATGGCATCCTCATGCAATAGTGCTATCTTCCATCGCTCGATTCAGATTTATCAAACTCAAAATGAGTCATTCCTTACATTTGTATAGGCCATGTAAATCGATATTACATCAGTAATAGATCTCCAGGCAGTCCATGTCTTACCAGGTCTGCAGGCAGTTCCAGGTCCTCGTCCCCCACGTCCCAGCCAGCGTCCTCTCCATCTCCACCCAGCCCCTCCTCATCCAGACCCTCACCTGGTGTACCCCAGCCACCCTCTGGGACGGGAAAACAAGTGTAAGTGTGATGCAGATCATACACTCACATATCATAATGTCCATCTCTAAGATGTCTAAATGCAATTCTTATGTCTTCTTACTATTTGAGCAAGCCAAAAATGTCTGCATCTGTTGTAGATGGGATGTACATGTAAGTAACTGAAGTACTGAAGGATTACACATGCAATGGAATCTGACATGTAATATTCTTCAATACTCCCTAAAGCCTGGCAAGGCACTTGTTCTCCCCAACCTACCATCATCAATGATGAGCTCTGCATCATCTCCCCAGGCTCCTCCAGCCACATCCTCGATCTCGTGTTCTGCTGCCAGTGCCTTGCCCTTCTGGGTCATGGCGCTCTCGAAGAAGCCCTTAGTGACTGTCAGGAGAGGCCAGTTGGTTTCCCACTGAAGACAAGGTGGTGGTGGGGCCATGAGCTTGGCACTGGAATCCACTTCAGGCAGCTGCAAGGTGAAAGACAAAAAAAGCTCATGTAGTTCTTCCCTAATAGCAGTTACTGTTACTGTCAATAGCCAATTACACATAACTTGTTGTTTTAATACATTTGGGGCTGAGCACTCGTATGTTTTTACCTTGTCCTTTTCAGGGTCAAAGGTCTCCCGAATGGCTTGAGCTTCCTCCTCCAGTCCGTGGGTGGCAGCTGTCAGGTAGGCTAACGATTCTACAGGAAACACCAGGGAACAGCTTTAATGTACATCAACTCAAAATATTTCACAATACAGTCCCAAACCATGGGCAAGTTCTGCAAGGTTAATTATATTTATAAGAGCCTATGTCCTACTACTGCTACTAAGGAAGGGAGTGATCCATTTTCAGAAAAGTACTTACTCTGTCCACAGGCACGTAGAATTTTGGTTCTCTCGGCAATATCTCCCAGGAACAGGGCATTCTGGTAGTGTCCACTGGTGTCCTTCCTAATCTCAGCTGCACAGAAGTGGAAAGTAAAACAATATAAGCATAAATCCAGTACAACATCTAATGTTACATGCAACAAAAATGTACTTCCACCCCATCTAAGTTAATGATTTAGACACTATGTAGACAGTACTTCATAATCTCCAAATCCAACCATGGAAATAATCAGGAAGTATTTGAGATGACTGACCGATCTTCATCATTTTGCGCAGCTTGTCGAGGTTTCCTGTGATGAGATAGAGGAAGGACAGCTTGTCGAAGTTCTTGGTTCTCTGGTAGGCCATCTCCACCACCTGGTGGTTCCCCTGCAGCAGGGCCATCTCACCCAGACGGTTCCAGCAGTTCTTGTCATCAAGGGCCTTGGCAGCCTCCAGGGCAACCTAAAGAGACAAACATGTACACATGTAGCATGATGTAACAATTCAAAAACATTCCATGTTTAAAACTACAACATGAATGTCAGAATGAAAATAACACATTAGCTTTCTAAAAATGGAATTTACATTATTACATGTATTAGAAATATTACACCAAAACTGTTTCCATACAGAAGACTTTTAACATTGTACTGATATGACTTAGTACACTACTATGGTACCTCGATGTTGCCACATTCCAAAGCCAGTCCAAAGCGGGTCTTCTCGTCCTTGACGAAGTGCAGGGCTACCTCGGGGTACCCCTTCTTCTGTAGGTAGGCAATGATGGACTGACCCACTAGCTTGGCATTCCGGACCATGTGTAGAACCTGGCCAAACAGACAGAACACAGATTTGTCATAGTTGTCTCACACAGTTGCTTTATTTATCTCATAAGGTTCCATGCCTTGTAGAAAACTTATCTTCTGCAGCTAGTGCAGTTGCAAGTATACATTGTATTTCAAAATACCATTATGAGAAAATTCAATCTACACTGCCAATTCTTGGGAAGAGACCCCACACGACACTTGGATCATGCAAAAACCTACCTCATCATATTTCCTGTTGATGAGAGCCAGTTTGAACCTGTACTCTGTAGGGTCGATACTGAGGACACGTGGCCGACAGTCCCTGTCCAGGCAGTACACACTGCTGCCCTTCACACGGGTGATGTAGATGGGCAGGTCCAGGGTACGGATGATACCATAGTCACTACACACAAACACATGTCAACATTACCATTAGTTCTACCCTTAATGAGCTGTCCACTGGATATTCATAGTCTGTCTCTGTAGACTTCTCTGTAGAGCACATTTACTTTCATATTTGCCCAGTAATAAGCATTAATGGCTCTTTTAGTTTATTCAGTAGTAGTAGTAGTAGTAGTAAGCCTTTATTTAAACTCGAAAGCTTTTTTAGTTTATTCAGTAGATGTTTTAAACATTGGTGCTGTTCATAAAAGTGGTTCCAATTGGTCTTTCTTTCTGTATAACTATCATATGGACAGGCAGAGTACATTAAAACAAACCAATCTTTCCCCTTGTTGCATTATACCTATTCTACGTACATGTGATGAACCTACCCATTTGTGATGGCATATTTGATGTGGTTGGATGTCGTGTAGATGAAGACGCCGCTCTCGTCCCATGCTCCACTCTTCACACGGACATTCTCATGGATGGTGCACAGGCTGTCCAGTTTACGGTTGCAGATAGCAATGACTGTGAAAACAACACTTGCTGTAATACTCACCACATGAAACAGATTCCTAGCCACACATTGTTTCTTCAAGAAAAAATCTCTGAGATAATGATGCAATAGATATTTTGAGACATACAAACTTCTAAACATAAAGCAAATGAACATCAGTTTCTCCATTACATTTCTTAGTATATCTCCAAACACAAAGGCTGACTCACCATGCTTGCTGAGAAGAGCCACGTGAGACATGTCACTGGACCAGATAACGTACTTGACCTTGGAGACACGAACAGTGCCCAGGGTCCTGATGGGACAAACAACTCAAATGGTAAGTCTTTACATGACACATCAGTACAGTAGTCTGACATTGTGCTTGCTGAACAAATATTTCTCTTATCTCTATGCAGACCTCATTACTCAATTTACTCTTTTATCATCTAGTGTTCTTTCCTAAATGCTGTGTGCTAAGCAGAGAAAGCTGTATGTACTATTTTTAATGTCTTTGGTGGTGTGACTCGGCCAGGGATCGAACTCATGACCTACCGAATGCCAGGCGAGCACTCTACCCATTTGGCCATTGCACCAGTTTGACTTGACATACACAAGACAAAAAGAGAATGTTCAGCAGAAACACTGACCTCTTCTGCTGCACATCAAACAGAGTCATGCTGTCTGCATCCCTCAGTAGTAACATCCCAGTACCAGCATAGAACACATCATCACAGTTAGGCACCTGCACTTTCTTAGTGATCTCATTCTTCAGGTTCTTGATCAAGATCTACCGTGTGAAAAGCACAGTTTGTATCCGTTACAGTCATAATGCAGCATGGAGACAAAGAGTCCCTACAAGCTTTAGTAATTGCATTTTAAAGACGGATTAATTTGTCTGAGAGCTACGTGGACAGAACAATGCTCAATGCAAATCAAATCAATGTTTTCCCAGTATAAAGCCAAGTTGGCAAAGGAATATCTACATGTGGCATGTTGAGATGGCAGAACCTACCGTATGTGTCCTGTCCAGAACAGCAAACCTGTTCCGTGCCACCCACACTGCACGCAGACCAGACGAGCGCTTGCCCTCCGGTGCGTCGGGGCTGGAGGAATCCGTGTCCTTGGGAATGGCGTACAGGTCATACGTGCTGTTCTCAACGTTAGGGGTGCGGGTGGTCAGGAGCACTGCGTTTTCAGCTGGGTTATGAGACATGCTGTACACTGGGTGTTTGGAACCACTGAAATAGGGACAACAAGTTCATTATCATAACATGAAATTCCAATAGATATGGTCAGTCACGAACAGAAAAAATTCTCATTCCCCCATGCCAACTTTTTCCTTACCTTCTCAGCTGCATGACAGCCACATCCTTGGAGGAGTTGAAGTCCAGTTGCCTCAGATAGCGCTCCTTCACGTAATACAGGATGTTTCCATTTGTAGCGTAGGCTGGACGTTCTCGCTCCAACTTGAAGATGACCATCCCACTGTCATGACCTGTCACACAATAAAAGCGAATCTCACAATTCAGTCAGCAATATTTGACTTTATAAGGAACAGATAGATCTTTCTATTACCCACACTGTATTATCTACAATAATATGCAGAGAAAGGACAAAGCTCTCCAGAGTAGGTAGCATTAAGAATTAACCAATGGCTACTATTATTTTCACAACAGCAAGAATTTTAAAGAACAGTATAGTTTATTGATCTTATAATGAAGCCTTGACACCTGCATGCCATGATCTACTACCTACCTGCTGCAAAGATGTTGAGGGTGGGGTGGGCTGCCATCACCCAGAATCGGTCATGGTCACGACGGAAGGTCTGTACAGCCGTCCTGGAGAAACAATACATGAAGGACATGAGCACACACTCATCTACTTACATCACCGTCACACAAGAGGGAAATGTATTTCAGTAGACACTTCATGACTGTTGGCAAACTGCAAAATGGTCATGCAAAACTTAAATAAAGATGCAGGTGACAGGAAATAAGGTATGGCTTGCTTATACTTGATATTGCACTGTGGTAGTAGCCCACACATTAAAGAACTGTTTTAGATACTCATAATACAAGGATCAACATTACAAACACATCTGTGACAGGGCCAACTTTGTACCAACATATGACCAAGATTTAAATGCTCCTCTTGAAAAGAAATTTGGAGCCTGCATTGTTTGTAAAAATTACAACAAATGTTTAATAATTTACATCAAATGAGCCAGTGCAAAAAAACAAAAAACAGACCGATCAACAAACAATTCCAGGCTTGTGTTGCTATGCCAATCAGAATACATATGCGAAATTTTTGTCAGCTGCCCATTTTACAGAACTTGCAAGAGAAGACACAGAAGGCTCCACAGAGCAATATCAAACCTTTGTCCTCTCTTTCCACTACTAGGCAGCAGTAAACAAAATTGTGGCTCAATAAGTTAGGGCATGGAAGACAAGAGGAACTGTCCAGAAGAATCAGAGACTGGGGACATTAACTATCAATGAAACCTGAGCCATGGATAAAGGAAAAGTGCAGGAAAATAAGCAACTCTGATCTACACTACACTTTCAGATATTACTTGCTATCTTATATCATAAATGTCTCAAATGGTATGAATATGGTAATTAAACATGCATTACACAGCAAAACAAAACCAGTGATACAAGCTTATTCAATGATTCCTCTGTGGCTTATCCCTAAAAACCAACAAGCAAAGGCAATATGATGCCAATATCTCAACACCTACCTCTTGGACATGTCCCAGACCCTGATACTCTTGTCCTCAGAGTTACTGAGGATGAGCTCCTGTCGGGGGTGGAACAGACAACAGGACACGTTGTTGTAGTGGCCGCGACATGTGTCCACTTCCCAGGCCTTGGACTCTGAGGAAAACGAAGAGAGAAAAAACTATCAGTGTAAATAGGATAAACACATTACATACCTGAAAATCTGTCAATCCAAACGTTGAGTCAACCTTTTAACAATTAATACCAATTGTCTTTGATCTAACATTTAAACTATTATTCTGGTACTGCGCTTTAATGACACAGAGTGTGTTTTGTATAGTTTTGTCTTCCTGTTTACACAGTGCTTGTTCGTTCTAATCACATCCCACTGTTATCCCAGACTCACCGTTCATTCTCCACAGCTTGACCTGCCTGTCATCAGCACCTGACACAATCAGGGGCATGGAAGGGTGGAAGGCTGCCCAGTTCACCCCACGGTCATGGCCCTGGGGTAAAAAATGCAGTTTCTTAATAATGTACATACGACAACAAAAGTATCTGCTATCAGTCTAATTGGAAGGAACTGTGGTGAAGGCATGAAGAACACATATGGATAAGAAACCCAATGTCCAAAAAATATTTGGTACCTTTACAGAAGATGCAACTAAGCAAAAATGGATCTAGTAAAGTGCAATTTTACCTCCAACACGTGCTTCACAACTGCATCAGAGGTCCCAAAGAGATCTGGTGTGTTGTCAGGCCGGTGCTCCACACCACCTGGTCCTGGTGCCACGTTCTTCTTCCGCAATCCTAGACCAGTGTACACATTGACAATGTAACACAATGATTTTCTCACATAAGACCCCTTACACTGAACACCCGCAGGAGGAACAGCTGTGAAATGAAAAATAAAGAGGACCAGAGCTGGCAGATATTTCTTCTTTTTTTTTTACATGTAGTAGTACTGTTGAATCAAAGAACTTAAAGAACCTTTAGAAAATAATTAAATTATGGATGGCAAATTTTCCAATGTAGGAATTTTACAACACAGTCGTTAAGAGATGATATAACATTTTAGAAACAAACTTCAAATATTTTCAGGCGTCCTACCTGCCAGCTTTGTTCTTAGAAACCATGATGGAAAAAACAAAAATGTAGTCAACCAGGACAGTGTAAACAAAACCATAAACAGAGCCAGATAAAATCATAACAGTAGGAGTGAAGTTGAGCTGTGCTTTTCTACAACACTTCGTGGAGTGGTGACAGTCTTCCCTTTCAACTGCTCCATAATATCCTGAGCATCCCTCTAATACTCATTATTAATGTGGGATTCACTGAACTATCCAATGTTTACAATATTCCTAGGTCGTCCCACTTAGGAATAGGGATGCTAGGATAAGGGTGCAGTGTCCAGGTGTGCTGGGCTATCTTGTTCCTACCAGCTATGTCCCAGACACGGACAGTCTGATCCAGAGAGGCAGAAACCACCATGTCTTCACTGGGATGGAACTGGGCACACATCACATAGTGGTTGTGTCCTGTCAGCACACTGTAGAAAGGGGAGGCAAACACAGTATAATTTTAAAACAAGAATACATGTACCTATTAATCCTTGAGATCAAGCCACTCTCAACTATCGATACAGGACCAGTATGGAAATGTGTCTCTGGTATGAATCATTATCAAATGAAAGCCAAGCCCTAATTACATTTGACACAACATTTGTGTTTCATTGACTTCTATTCCATTTGCTTTCTCTTGTCTTTACTCAGTGAATTGTACTAGTCAGACTGTTGTTCTGTCATGTGAAGGTCAAACAGTTATTGACTCACCATATACAAGTCCTGGACTGCCAGTTCCAGACTCGAATTGTCTGGTCATCTGAAGCACTGATGATCCATGGGTATTCCTGTAGAGAAAAAAAACCCACATCATTTTCCCATATTCTACAAGTTAAAATATTTCTTAACAGGAACTAGCATGATTCAATCATTCAGTTACAGCAGTAGATATGATAGCTATATACACTCAGCTATAGATCAGGATGCATATTCACTGAAGAATTTCCTTTTGTAGTACACACATGTACATGTATCTATGGTGTGCTTTCATTATGGCATGATTAGGGCAGGTAATAGTGGAGACATACATGGTGGAAGAAAGTTGTCCGGATGTAGTCCAAATGGCCCAGCAAAGTAAAGAGGCACCGGCGCTGCTTGTAGTTCCAAACCTGAAATGGAAAAACACCAGAGTTGTGTCATATTTTGTCGACTTGAATTCATTAAAGGATTTGGACTACCGGTACAGTCTATTGAATCTATCTATCAGTTCAGTTCATCCTACGTATGCATATGAGGTGGATCTATCCATAGCAGCTCTATTCAGATCTTATCTGTACAAGTTCAGTTCATTTTAATGCACGTTTGAACATGAAAACATTACAATGAGAAAGAAATGCTAGCTTGTTGCTGGGGATTATATATCAAAAATACCTTGATTTTGTAGTCATCTCCTCCAGACACAAACAGGGGCTGCTGCTGATGGAAGCTGATGCCACGGACAGGTCCTGGGGAAGGCAGCAATGTTACTAGTATGTTCTTGATGCTACACACAATATCATGAATAGTGAATACATGTAATTCTAATCCAGTGATACATTTGTACCTTTATTCAGTAATCATCAGTATACCATAAAACTATCCTGACATCAAGGAGGGAGAAACAGGAAAAGTTCACCAGGGTGGAGGTTTCATATTAGCCAAGAAACATGGCATTAATTCCCGTTTTCTCGGCAGATGGGCATTATCAGAAGAAGAAGAAGAAAAGTGCTAATGTCTTCCCATGTCAAAGCCCAAAATGTAACTATTGTAAGGGTGCGTCTGTCTTACCATCATGTTCGTCGAACTTGTCGATGAGAGTGCACATGCGGTAGTCCCAGAGCTGGATAACCCCATTGTGCAAACTGGCGAGGATCCATGGCCGCTTCGGGTGGAAAGCCAAACCTGCCAAGATATATTCGTCATCAACAACCACACGTCTGATAATTATGCTGCAAACCCCAAACTCCCTGACATGTTTCATCTAGCAAAATAGGTTTTCATCGATCAAATTCATTTGTGTCACCACAATCTTTGTCCTGTTAGGTAAGATAAAGTAAGTTTGTACACAGCATTTTTTTTTATTCTGACATACCGGCAAAAAAGATACCCACCTGTATCGAACTTAATTATACCCCCCTCCCCCACCCATCTAACGCCAACATCGAAAGGAACTCAACTCACCCTTCACGCGGGCCGACTTGGTCTCAAACTTGGTCAGCATGGTCTAAACGTAAACTTAGGTTCTATATCGTGTAAGAAAACGAAATCCTGTGATCTTGCGCGTCAAATATTGGTGAAAATGTCCCCGGTTCCGCCACACAGCTCAGAACCGGAGCAAAGATGGCCACGTCAACTCGCACCACGTCTCACGCCCACAATGCACCGCGCTGGACGGGCAGGCTTCAACTTTGACCCCCACTTCTGTAGCAGACGACGTCCTGGTCAATCTCCTCAGACTCCTTCTGCAGTTTGAAAAACAAATGAAGATATTGGTCAAATAGGATACATAATCTGCGAGAGGAGTTATCCGGGTTGTCAGTTTGTAACTCTATGATCAAATAAATAAATTCTCCGCCAAATTATGCCAACCCTATTTGACCAATTTCTACTAACTTCAGCAACCAAAGGTTCGAAAGGAGTCTAGTGGAGACCAGTGTTGGGCGGGGCGTACAGAACTATGAAAATCATGTCAGCTATGTTTTCATAAGATATATAATCACGTGTATGGCGTAGCGAATACATACTTCATAGCATTTAGTTTCAGCCAATTTGCACTGTTTTAGCGCCAGGAATGAGAGAATTTAACCACAACAGTAAAGGAAACACCACACAGTTCAGGACCTGAGGGTAAACCGGGGACGGGCGGCGCTCCGGGCGACAGGAAAAAGTGTGAAATGTCTGTCCAAGAATATACAGAGTGGCGGAGTTATATTTGGCCACCGTAGAAATGTTAGCACCCGACCAGGGAACCGGGGTATTCTGGTTTCGTTGTGTCAGCGAAGGAATCCATGCCCTGACATGGCTGACGACTAAGTAAGCTGCGCTTTCTCCAGCGGTCTGGCCTCTAGGTTTGCCGATACCTAGTCATTGTACAAGCTTGGTCTTACACGTCTTCTAACCTTTGCACAACCTTGGTGTTATACCGGTAAGTTCGTTTGGAATCTAATAATCCGCAACGATTCCGTGCCGGGCATTTACTGCATGTTTTCTCTCTTAATACTAGGTCATTAGAGTGGTCACAGGTCAGTCGATTAAGAATGTCTTGAGAGCAATACTGAAACACGTAAAACACATGTTATTTCCTAAAAGCGCCAGATTCTTACATTAATTTCTATGTTTATCTCTGAATCCATATAACACATCCAATGAGCGACAGATTTAACTTTTCTTTGCAACGTTTTCTCGGAAACTCATTGATCATAGATTCTATGCATAGAATTGATAAATTTGGGGAAACCAATTTTCAAATTATCTTTCCGTTTGGATATTAGGATATTTTCATCTCTTTCTTGAAGACATCGCTTTGTTCAATAGGGAATGATGACGAACATCAGAGCATACCGGCCACACACAGAGGTCATGGCAAATGAATGTGTCATGAATAAAATAGATGGGAGTCCCTTTATAGTTGTAACATAAGTGGATCTGTGTGAAAAATGGCAACATGGGGGCGATAGCCCCTATAATTTGTGCTGTATGAGTACCATAAATATTAGTCGAAGACCGAAACGCGCCCTCTACACGAATACAGCGGTACCACAGTCCACAGAGCTGCAATGCGGACGGTCCGGAGATGGTACGTAGACGCCTAGAAAAGACTGAGAGCGATATGTGCTCTGAGGTCACAACAAAATATTTGGGGGGAAACTATTCATGTCATTGAGTTTGCAGTCAACGACAACAGATGGGCTCCTGTACGTCCTATTGAATAATCAGCTATTTTGTTGTTTATTTCAGATTATTGATATAGAAGAATTGGCAAGTATGTGGCCTTCACCCGCTGTGGCCCTGGCAACAGCATATCATCTCCTCCTGATCGCAAGGCAAAATGTAGCGCAAGAGGATCTACCCACGGTGTCCTCCCTGTCACAGACCACATCACAACCGCCATTGGCCAAACCTACAGCAATGGTCATGCCGACCGCCGACCAACCAGTGGTTGTCAACCCGGTGGCACCTGCCCCTACACAACCAGCGGTCAGACGTCTCCTACCGACCAAGCCGCATCCTACTAGACCCGACGATGCCGAGCCGTGGGAGATCACATGCCCGAGCTACTGCGTCTGTCTCAAACGTTGGCACTATTACTTAGAAACGAAGGTCAGGCACCTTCGATGCGAGTTCTGGAGCACCGGCTCGACATATCCGGAGGAGTATCCTGGCACCACGGAGTCCGCTCGTATTAAGGTGCATGGAATGGACACTCTACCATCAAGTGTTTTTCATGGAATCTCAACAGCAGAAGTTATCATTCTAGAGATCGTTCAAAACCCCGACATAACACATATTCCGAAAGACGCTTTTAAGACTTTCAGGGCACTGGGATACTTGGATCTCAGTGAGAACAACTTGAAAGAGATCCAGCCGTCTCTATTCGTCGGTGTCAAATTTCTGGACAAACTGTACTTGCAAGGTAACAGCATCAACAAGTTGTATCCCAATTCCTTTCGTGGCCTAGGTCGACTAGACACTCTGAACCTTGAAGGGGCTTTGGACATGAACTTGCCGGATCGTCTGTTTGAGCCTCTTGAGTGGCTTGAGTATTTGAATCTGGCAAACAACCCAAAGATGACGAGTCTCCCTAGTGACACGTTTAGTCATCAGTGGAACCTGCAAAGTCTCCTGCTACAATTTAGTGGCGTAACAAATCCAGAGGAGGAGCTCTTTAAGCCACTTAACAACCTACGCCATCTAGAAATAGATGAAGGCCAGCTCAACAGCTGGGATCCAGACGTGCTGCTGAGTATCGAGTCACTGAAGACATTGGAGGTCCACTGGACGCCCGGAAACAGCACGCTGCATGTGTGGGATGCGGCCGTGCACTACAAGGGCAAGTGGCACTTCGACGTCTGCCCTGAGGACCCGTGTATCAACGACGGCATCTGTTTTGTCGGGTACGTTATGCTCACGCGTTTCTTGATCGCATGTTAGATCATTGTACAATCATTCCATGTGTTATATAACAAACCACCGTATATCGTCATGTAAGAACATAGGTGCTGTCCTTGGTGCTGAATCGGCATCTCATGTACACCAGAACTATCAGGGCTCTGCGCGAGATTGCGTATTTACACTGTACTTTTGTGTTTTAAATTTCTGGTAATTTGCATCCTGAATTGATATCCTTTATTTGGAAGGAATTCTATATTAGGTATATGTTTTCTGCAGATAAAAAGACTTCAGGAGAACTACTAATCACTGGGCCGACTATAGAGGAATCCTCTGGTTAATAATTCAAAATTTAAAAGATTATCATTCAATAGGAGGTCTCTATAAATAATCTACTTTTGTTTTTGTCTATTTTGTAGTGAGCACCGACAACAGTGTGAGTGTCCCACACCACGTGCGGGATCGACGTGCCAGAGCCTCCACCCCGGCCTACTGTTCCTGATTGTGGTGGTAATCCTAGCTATCCTGGTGGGGGTGGCTATACCGATCTACCGTGTGGCCACCAGGAAGAAGCCGGAGCCCCCTCCACCCAAGCCCAAACCAATCATCCTGGAGCCGGAGTCCGAAGAAGAAGACGATTTCATGCAGTCGAAACCAGATGAGGATCCAGAGATGTAATGATTACCAGTCGCGCATTCAAAGTCCGTAAACATATAACTTGTGTTACAAGTACAAATGAGTGCAAAAGTACGTGAACTAAATACATCTGCTGCAATATACGCTACTTTTTAATGTAGTGGTGCATTGGTCAAACTTGTGCAAAGTCACTAGTAAACTGATACTAGTAGTCCTCTCCTCAACACCAGTTATATGCTTTGGATTTACGTATACATACCTACTAATTCCTCGCTCGGTGTATATCATGTCCGTTTAGAATAGTTTAGAAGAGTTTGATGATTTAAGATATTAAAGCTGTACTTGCTAGTACTAGTGATGTTTAAAATGGAAAAAAAGATAAGTGAAAGCTTTGTAAATAATAAGATTTAAACAATGTTAGACGTAGCAACGCTTAACTGAAATGACAAATTTATATGCAAAAAGGTGAGAGCCTAAACAGCTTATGAGTTTATGAAATTTACTTCTGCAAAATGTTGAACAGATACGGCGATTGAGCAAAGGTCAGACGTTGTTCTGTTACGTAATACCAATAAAAAGTGTCATGTACATCGGAGGTAAAGCATTGTGTATTTTGTTCTAAGGATGAATGTTGACATGTCACTCTTGTACGTACAGTCAAATTAGTACTGATTATTGAGCTTTTAAGCCAGGACCACACCATGACTACCACGATCCTCTGTTAACGGTTCCTTAGTACCACATAGATTTCTATCCAGGCAGGCCAATGTCATTTATCTTGGTTATGTAAACACTCAAAGTCCTGCATACTTGTGTTTCACAGTCAGCAGGTCAAAGTGCGTGTCAACATACACCCTTTGTGTGTGTCACAGCACCACCCTAATTAACGACTATTAACGACCATGTTGGCTCACCAGGTAAACGTTGCATTCTAAAAGCCATGATTTAGTAGCCAATATTGAATCGGTCCATGTTGTTCGTGTTTAGTTCACTAGTACAATTTGAATTTATTACACCCGTGCAATTTCTCACAATGATCACATATAGTGACAGGTAACAGCGTTGCAGTAAACACAGCTGTCCTGTCTCACATGTTTCATTCTCTATATGGGACTTTGAACCTTATAAAACTGGAATAGTCATTTAGCAAGCGTCACAGATCCTTGACAACAAGTGGTGCGATAGGAAGCGATTCTTTGCTCTGACTTCGCATTCGCCACGGTGACACGTACGGCTGAGACCTCCACAATTTTTTCTCTATCGATAGTACGTACAATTGTGACAGAAATGTGGCTAGCTTTGGCCGCCATCATATATTTGGAAGTGTTTTCCCTCTCTTCACATGTGAGGGGATCTGTCGTGAGAACGACTACGGAGTCACAACCATGGAATGTAAGTTGTCCAAGAACGTACATCAAACCGTGCGAGTGTACCGCAAGGTGGGACGACTTCTTGTACAGGCAGGTAGGTGTTGTATGTCAGCAGATATACCGTTCCTTGTATGATTAACGCGATACATATGTACCAGTACTTAGACCAAAATCGGCCGGGTACCACGGGATTTGACGTTACAATACAGTACACTAGCAGGTATCAGGTTGTCTTATGTATTAAACTCAAGCTCTCCGTCTTTTGAAAAATACACAGTTTATTGACGCGTAGAACAGCAGTGTACACCTGCTGTTTGCCCAGCAAGGTAACAAATATTCCATTATTTTATTTTATTTGCTGTTCTGCAATCATCAACCAGGTGAAAACAGTGACGTGTTCCGGACCGATCAATGCTACCAACTTCATGCTCCCAAACACAACGGAGTCGCTGCGACTTGAGGATGTGGCCGGTTTGGAGCCGGTGATGTTCGAGGGAGCCGCAGAAGTAATGGTATTCCAAGTGAAGGGGCTCACGTCTGACAGCGTACCGGCAGACATTTTGAGAGGCATGGGCAATCTGAGATTCTTTTCCCTCTCGTTCAACTTAGACTTGATGTCATTACCAGACAGGTTCTTCGGGAATCTCCGAAACCTCGAGAGGATCGACATTTCTGAGACAGGACTTCGGGTGCTGTCCGTGGACACATTCGCGAACCTAACTGCTCTTAGGTTCCTAGACCTGTCTAGAAACAATATAGGAAACCTCCAGGATGGAGTGTTTGACGACTTGTCGACACTGTCGTTCCTCGACTTGCACGAAAATAACATATCTTCATTGCCATCTGTCGGACACTTGCCGGGCCTATCAGAACTCCATCTGCAACAAAACAGTATCACAACCATATCTCCATCTGCTCTGGATAGACTCCATTCTTTGACAAAGCTAGATCTATCTAGAAACGTGATACAGACAATCCCAACGGGTACACTGAGACAGCTGAAGCGATTGTCTTTCTTAGATGTTGGTTACAACCCTATCGTAGCTGTGGGCGGAGACACGTTCGAGGGACCGACGAATCTGACCGATCTGGGTCTGGACGACCATCAGCTAGACACGTGGAATCCTGAAGTTCTCTTGAACATGACTTCTCTTCGGTATCTGCACATCGGTTATGTCCGTTACGACTGGAATCAAGTTATGTACGAGGGGGGCCGGTGGTGGTTCAGTTGCCCACCTGACGCATGCGTGTTCGGTGACTGCAACATCGCTCATCACCAGCCCAACTGTACCTGCCGCCAGGGGTTTTCCGGTGACGCATGCGACACACCGATTGGTCAGGACGAAGGGTTGCCGACTTGGGTAGTTGTGGTATCGGTGACAGTCACAGTAGTTGTGATGGTGGTGACCGTATTTGGGTGTGACCGGTTCTGGAGGAATAGAAAACTTCGGTACGAAAACGTTTGAAGTGGCACCTTTCGCTCCTGGCTGGATTACAAATTGAGGGCTGATGACGACTTATTATATGTAACCAAAAGAAAAAAATGATACACAAGAAAAATCTACTGACTTTTTTTTTAATTTTAAAACTTCGGTTGAGGGTATAAACAGTAAAATCAAAAAGTAAAATCACGTGGTATCGTGGTATTGTTGTAACAGAATCATAAAACTCGCAATCCACTCAGACTTATCATCCACCAGTCACTACTGGGATCACTATATTGGCCTAGTCTACCGGTAAGGCCCTTCTCGTATGTATTTGTACTGAACCCTACCGTTTTTACTACTTGTGCACCTTGTTATTTTAATTGTTTGTCTACTATGGGCCAATTTGCGCCTGAAATAAAGAATAAAGTAAATTGTAATTGGGTCATCTCAAAGGTATATTTCCATTGATATAATAATATGCGCTGAATCCACGTGCATACCAAGGGTTGTAAATCATATAATGACCTATGAAGTTAGTTTTTTAAACTTATTTCTAGCCTACGTAAAACAGAGAGGTTTTACAAGGATTCATCCATAGAAGCAGATACATAGCCTTGTCATTGCTGTAGGAACTAGGCGTCTAAAACACAATACTAGTAGTTTGAACTGGTATAACATTACATGGCTTGCACTAGTCTGAAATGTCAGGAAACGTTGAGATACTTGTCCATGGTGCCCATCTCAGCTCTTGTTATTTGTAAATGTGTGTGCCTGCAGCTGTTTAGTTGTTAAAAAATCAGGTACTTGATCAAACTACTGCATGTTTTACATTGGGGGCGTGGCACCCAAAATAGACAAAATACATGCTTGTGTGTTCTATTTTGTCTATTGATACATAGCCTTGTCATTGCTGTAGGAACTAGGGGTCTATAACACAATATTAGTAGGCAGCAAAAAAAAGATAAAATATATGCTTGTGTGTTACAATGCTTTAAAGATATATGGTTGCAAGGAGAGCATTAAGATGACTTAAACTTGTTTTTGTTGAGACGGATGTATGCACATCTCCCTGCCTCATTCCAAGAGTACCCAAGTTTCCTGTGTATGATCCTTGAAGGCTCATTATAGTCTTCAATGAAGAGGAATGGCAAATAACCTTTCTGGAGGCAGGTGCTAATCAGGTATTTTGAAGCAAGCTGAAAGTAACCCCTTCCCCTGTTGTCTGGTAGTGTGTAGCCAAGCCCTTGTGAACCATAATAGTTCAGCAAGATCCACGACACAGGATTTCCATCCTGATCATACACACAGGCTGAAGGGAAAGTGGTGATGTGATAGTGAGTCCGTTCTTCTGATTCAGGAGTGCCCCCATGTCGCCAGGTGCTGCTGACAAGATGGCTGTGCTCAGGTTGGAGAGGTGCTACAGTCACCTTATCATCAGTCCTGGGGAGTGAGAGGGATCGGGGATGTCATAACTGTTTAATATCTTTGACAAGGGTTTCTAGCACCCCTCAAAGTGGAACTGGCACAGACCACTATAACTTACATAAGCTCTACAGTTCTGCCAGTTTCCCAAATTGGACCTTTCCATGGCCTTATGAGTGTTGTTTTATTTAGATTACAATGACTGTCAACATTAGTACATTAGCTGGTATAGTATGGTATGGTACGATCAGTGAGCTTTTAACCTCCTTGATGTAGTACAGACTTACCTGTCCACTTTCTCCAAACTGGGACATGTCTTGTGCAGGTAATAAGCTGTGTCACAGGGGAACATGTCCTCTGCAGCAGGGAGTGGGAGACCCTGGTTCTCCAGGTGTTCTCTTAGAATGGACAAACCACTGAGGGGAAATGCTGAAACAGCCAACATTTTTGATGGATCAACTCGAATCATTGATATAAAATTTAGCTTTTTGTCTCTCTTTCATATGAAAATATGAAAAATAAGGAAATGGTAATGATGCTGCGAAGATCATTATCAGACTTACCAACCAACAAAACCGGTCTGGTCCAGTCAACAGATGTTGATATTAATAACTGTCTAAGGCAATCCTCACTAGTCCAGTGCAAAAATACGGCTGAGGAACCCTGTATAAAAAGGGAAATTGAAAGAATCATCATTTTGTCTCACTCTGACAGTACATGACTGTTTGACTGGGGCAGACCTAACATTACCCTTGTTTTTACAATTGTTTACTTTCTATATTGGAGGCATAAAAACTTTCAGACCTTTCCCGACAACATTGACAAACATAAAAAGTATATATTGCCCTTTCTAGTACTCATTCCTGAATAAGACATTTCTTGTCACCTTATTTTTCTATATATTTTTCTAAATAAAACAACAGAAACAGAAATTAACCACATATTGTATCAACTGTAGTCCCCAGCCTATAGCTCTTTTAAGTTTCTTAGTCAACAAATAAAATACCTCCTCAAAGGCTAGCACAGAAGTTTCTTCCTTATCATGAGTCCACAGGACGGCTGTATAGTCCGGCCACCTATCCACTTCGAAGGTTATTTTCCAAGGGATTTTACCATCTAGGTAATGCCGAACAGTGCAGTACAACTGAAATAGAAGACCAAACTTTATTATGTGATCATGAATAAAATGTCCAGGTAAAAAAAACTTCTAATCTAAGGTTTGAAATGAGACTCATTTCAAATACCAAATCACATTTCTTTGATTTATCTATAAGTCAGAATTTGTTATAATATAGTAATCCCTAAGCAGATGCCACGTTACTATGTTAGGCCGTGGAGGTTAGGCTTGCTTTATATATATGCCATATTTTGTACGTCTTTCATGTTTTGTACGTCTTTCACGAGAAAGAGAGTGAGGCATGGCGAATAATACTAGTACCCCAGGCTCTGCTCCTGAAGCCTCGCCAAAAACGCGCCTGCCGGGGCCATACAGCTGTAACGTTAGCTACTGTAATTCACTATGTTTGCGGTAGCAAAAGTTCAGGGTCTGAGAAAAATGGAGGTATTCACGGAACTATGGATGTTCATGGTGGCGACAGGTGCAGAAACACGAAATTCAGCGAATTTTTAACGGTAATGTAAGTTCGCAGTACAGAAGTGACCGCAAACATAAAAGTACCGTAAAAAAATAAGGAATTACGGTACGAGAGAGAGCACGTTTGCAATGGGACCTCATATTACCTGGGCTTGTAACGTTTAAGAGGTCAAATCCGTTAAAACATACCTCATACATGTTAATATGGAAACATGGATCAGCAAAGTAGAGGTTTTGATAATCAAAAACAGTGAGGCTATGAGAGGAATAACGGTCGTACCATTTGCTTTGGTATGGGACGCCATGTCATCCCAGCTCAGCACCCTGAGCGAGTCCAACAACTGCTCGAGTTCCGAACGCACCAAACTTCGGGCCATCCCGGTCATGGGCGCAGCGGACGAGATCGGCAGCACGAGAGAGACCTCCTTGTATTAAAGGCAAAACGACTAGTCAGCTAGCCGTTATATTTCTGATTTATCAACTAGACGTTTTTTGGTCCAGTGTTACGCCGACCAGCTGGTAATCGGTAAGGCATGCAGAAAAGTGACCCTTGACCCTTGCGCTGCTGACTGGTGCAGTGTTTACTACAGAAATCAGAAGAAAAACAGATAACAGACCAAATCTAATTTTCCAGCACCACTCTTTGAGAGGTCTCGGGGCGACCAACTGCCCCCCCCCCCCTTTTTTTAGCTGGCTAACCGCCCTGGTATGTTATCTGTGTATTCATCCTTCTAAAATCTAACTCCATGGTCTATTTGCCCAATTTCTACTCTGTATTCACTGTGGACGAAGACACTTTCGAGGGACCGACGAATCTGGCCGATATGGGTCTGGACGACCATCAGCTAGAAACACTTGAGGGTACAAACAGTAAATTCAAAAAGTAAAATCACCTGTGAGTTTGTCATGGGGTCATCTTAAAGGCATGTTTCCATTGATACAACTTAATATGCGCTAAATCCACGTACATAACATACCATTGATTGTAAATCATATAATGACCTATAAAGTTAACCGTTAACGGGGGGTGCCCTAATTCGACCCACCCCTAATACCGAACTAGTTTGAAAAATCCTTGTTGCGGCGTTATGCATGGGAGCACGTGCCTAAAAATAATCACAAGAATGGACAATGTTTTTGTGTTGATATCGGTTTGAATGCAGGTTTTGCTTTTCAAACAGCCACTTTGGAGCAAGTCGCGTAATCGTAAAAAGAGGACTTGTTTGGGACAGAAAACAGTTGTAGATTGTTTTAGTCATAATTTGTGTATTATAATTTCTAAACTCTCTTCTCAGATGCAGATCGACCCGTAAACACTAGTTCGGAATTAGGGCACCCCTGTTGCGATAGAACGTTCCACCGGCAAAATGACCAAAAAACTGCCGTGCGTTTCGTGAGCCATTACGCTTGGGTGCAAGGCACTGCCCCGGTGAAGTGAAATACACAGCTGTGCAGCTTAAATCGTTGTGATCTTTATCTGTCAATATTATATCTCATGTTGCGCGGGTTTTTGTTCAGATAAACTATTACCAATGAAAGGTCTGTGCGTTTGCATGGAACATACAGTAGGTCGGAATTGGGGCACCCCATGTTAGTGTTTTTAATTTATCTCCGGTATATCTAAAGTAGAGAGATTTTACAAGGATTCATCGGAATTTCATCCATACAAGTAGATACATAGCCTTTTCATAGCTGTGTGTACTAGGCGTCTATGTCACAATACTAGTAGTTTGAAAAGTATTATATGAAGCAGCCTATATGTATATTAATTTGGTATAACATTACATGACTGGCACTAGTCTAAAAAGTACAGGAAATGTTAAAGATACTTGTCCATGGTGCCCATCTCAGCTCTTGTTATTTGTAAACGTGTGTGCCTACAGCTGTTTAGTTGTTAAAAAATCAGGTACTTGATCAAACTACTGCATGTTTTACATGGGGCGTGGCGCCCAAAATAGACAAAATACATGCTTGTGTGTTCTATTTTGTCTATTGATACATAGCCTTGTCATTGCCGTAGGAACTAGGGGTCTATAACACAATATTAGTAGGCACCAAAAAAAGATAAAATATATGTTTGTGTGTTACAATGCTTTAAAGATATAAGGTTGCAAGGAGAGCATTAAGATGACTTAAGCTTGTTTTTGTTGAGACGGATGTATGCACATCTCCCTGCCTCATTCCAAGAGTACCCAAGTTTCCTGTGTATGATCCTTGAAGGCTCATTATAGTCTTCAATGAAGAGGAATGGCAAATAACCTTTCTGGAGGCAGGTGCTAATCAGGTATTTTGAAGCAAGCTGAAAGTAACCCCTTCCCCTGTTGTCTGGTAGTGTGTAGCCAAGCCCTTGTGAACCATAATAGTTCAGCAAGATCCACGACACAGGATTTCCATCCTGATCATACACACAGGCTGAAGGGAAAGTGGTGATGTGATAGTGAGTCCGTTCTTCTGATTCAGGAGTGCCCCCATGTCGCCAGGTGTTGCTGACAAGATGGCTGTGCTCAGGTTGGAGTGGTGCTACAGACACCTTATCATCAGTCCTGGGGAGTGAGAGGGATCGGGGATGTCATAACTGTTTTAATATCTTTGACAAGACTTTCTAGCACCCCTCAAAGTGGAATAGCACAGAACACTATAACCATAATGTCCTTGCCATAACCTACTTAAGACTAACTCTTCTCTAGTACTGCCCCCTGCCCAAATTAGACCTTTCCATGCATTCTGGCCGTTTATGGTAGCTTTTTGTCAGTTTACAATCACTGTCAACATTAGTATGATCAAGGGTTCAGCTCAGATTTTCAACCTCATGTGTTATGATGTAGTGCTTACCCGTCCACTTTCTCCAGACTGGGACATATTTTGTGCAGGTAGTAAGCCGTGTCACAGGGGTGAATGTCTTCTGCAGCAGGGAATGGGAGACCCTGGTTCTCCAGGTGTTCTCTTAGGATGGACAAACCACTGAGAGGAAATGCTGGAACAGTCAACATTTTTGATAACTTGAATCATTGATCTTAGTAGTTGTTTCTCTCTCAAAAATATGAAAAATAAGTAAATGGAAATGATGCTGTAAATACGATAGATATTGATGATAACAGTACATGTTGAAAGGCTGACAGATACCACAGGATAGATATGATTGAATCATCAGGCTTAACACGTTAGTACTTACCAATCAAGATAAGTGATTTGGTCCAGTCAACAGATGTTGATGTTAATAACTGTCTAAGGCCATCCTCACTAGTCCAGTGCAAAAATACAGAATCCTGGTTAAAAAAGGGAAATTGAAAGGAACATCATTTATTTGAAACATCTGTTTGAAATTGTCAGATATCATTATCCTTGATTTCCCTTTTTTTTACTTTCTTCATTGAAGGCATAAAAACTTTCAGTCCTCTCCTGACAACATTAAAAATCATAAAAAAGTACTTTTCTTTTACTTTTTTCCATCAAATACATTGTACTAGTAAAACAACAGAAACAGAAATTAACCAAGTATTGTATCAACTGTAACGTTACATGTCCCAGGCTTGCACTTATAGTCCTTTAATAGGACTTCTTAGTCAACAAATAAAATACCTGTGCAAATGCTAGCACAGAAGTGTCTTTCTCATCACAAGTCCACAGAACGGCTGTATAGTCTGGCCACCTGTCCACTTCAAACGTAATTTTCCAAGGGATTTTACCATCTAAGTAATGCCGAACAGTGCAGTGCAACTGAAATAGAATAGACCAAACTTTATTTTGTGATCATGCATAAAATGTCCAGGTTAAACAATTCTTATTTGAAATGAGACTTCAAAACATTTAAAATATCAAATCACATTCATATGGTTTATTTGTATTATAAGACAGAATTTGTTATAATAGAGTAATCCCTGAGGCATGCTGAATAATACCCCCAGGCTCCGCTCCAGAAGCGTCGCCAAAAATACCACATAACAGGCGGGACCGGACCGTACGTCTGCAGCTACATGTATTTCCCATGATGACCCTAACACGACGTCTGAGATCACTGAAGCTCACATTTTGTGACACACATATCACTGTGAAGGCGATGAGGCCTCCTTTGTACGGGGTCCTCATACGTACAGTAATTCAACCATAACGTTACATGTAGATATAGAAACATCAGCAAATTTAACAATTAGAGACGCTGGTTAGAACAAGGACAGTTTATTACGATAGAAACTAGAAAGGCCAACATTTGCTTTGGAGCAAATACAGCGATGGGTTCACCACATTTTACGACATGGCAGGGAAAGAATGAGAAACACAAGGGAAAACAATGATTTACATTGATATAACTATAATATGAAGTAACATACAACTAAAACAACAGTTGGATAGCTATTCCCTACTTTATTGGTTAGGATTTTTAATTGCATAATGCAAACTGTTGATTTTCAAAATAAAAAAAAAACGTTCATGCCCCGCATTCCAATGCTGGAGCAGAAAAGCTTGAAATACCTACCAAAACACTTGAATAAAGACATACTGTCAGTATGGAAATGCTCTGTGCAGGTGTTAATCAAGTTAAATCCCAACAGCCAATCAGCAAGAAATGCTCTGTGCAGGTGGAAATGCTCTGTGCAGGTGTTAATCAAGTTAAATCCCAACAGCCAATCAGCAAGAAGTATAGAGGAAAGCTGCATGCCTATTGGTTGATGCCCTGCATTCCATTGTGATGACTCATGCCCAGACGTGGTAAACACGGCACACTAACACAGTAATACATTTGCTATAACACAGCCAAAAAACTCAAATAAAACCATTCTAAAAGCCTGTATCACAAAAATTTTTAAAACGCCTAGGGGTATTTGCCCACTGTACCTCCATACCAAATTTCAGGACCTTAGGCCCTAAAATGAAGAAGCTGAATCCATTTAAAAAATGGCAGGAGAAGAAGGAGGAGAAGGAGGAGAAGAAACATCAGAAAAAGCAATATGGGTTCACCACCACTTCGTGGTGTGGTGAACCCATAATTACGTTACCATTGCTTTGGTATGAGACGCCATGTCATCCCAGCTCAGCACCAGCGAGTCCACCAACTGCTCGAGTTCCGAACGCGCCAAACTTCGGGCCATCCCGGTCACGGGCGCAGCGGACTAGAGAGGCAGCACGAGAGAGAGACCTCCTTGTATTAAAGGCAAAACGACAAGTCAGCTAGCCGTTGTATTTCTGATTTATCAACTAGACGTTTTGCGTCCAGCGTTACGCCGTCAGCGTTCAGCATTATGCAAACTGGGATGACCCTTGACCGTACTGACCTACTGGACCTACTGGCTGGTGCGGTGTATACTAGCTAGCGGCCTGGGTGCAAACTGCAAAGTAAAGTTTGCACTGACTGCGGTTGACAATCAGACGAAAAACAGACAACGAAGGAGACAACGGACCAAATCTTATTTTCCAGCACGACTCATTATCAGGCTTCACGGCGACCAACTGTGCTTCTTTAGCTGGCTAACCGCCCTGGTATATTATTTGGCCAATTTCTACTCTTTCCAGCCCCCTAACCTGAAGCCTGCGACGGTAGTTGATCATTGGCCGACATTTCGCAGGAGCAGGACAACGATCGGCTTACAGTCCTGTCGTGTTGAACACTACGGCGGCTCATACACACGATCAAACAAGACAGACGAACCATACTTGTGTCTAAGTCAGTAGGCGTCTGCTCAGCAGTGCCTGGCAGTAAAGTAACCGTTGTACACCTTGACCGTACTGACCGAGTGACGTCAAAGATAAAATTAATTGCTCATAATTATTTCGATGAAGGTTAGACATCCAGGTAATACGATATGCCAAAAAAACAGTTACTCAAGCAACTGGATATGATTTTGAAAACGTCAGACGTTTCAGCTAGTATCCACTAGCTTTCGTCAGTGACTGAGAGACCAGAGGGGAAAGCAGGTTTATATACACAACCTGTTGATTGATATGCAAATAAAGTGAAGACAAATTTTTGGAAGTCGAAAAAGGAACAAAAGTCAGACAAGTCAAGACAAGATGATGCAAATTAGTTTGAAAGCTCCTGTTATACAGGACAGGAGCTTAAGTGTGCTCCCTTTCCTAGACACAAAAACTATCGTAGAGGAAGATGGTAACCTCCGTTTCGAAGTGTACAGGAAACCAACCCACACTGATCAGTACCTGGCCTTTGATTCCCACCACCCTTTGGAACACAAACTAGCAGTGATCAAAACCCTCTTCCATCGTGCAGACAACATTGTCACTTCAGACCAAGCCAAAACGGACGAACATAGACACCTGCGAGGTGCCCTGGCTAAATGTGGCTACCAAAACTGGACTTTCAACAAAGCGCTCAAACCTTCAGATCAGTCTAAGAAAACCCAGAAGTGCAAACCTTTGACCAACAAAAACAAGGCCAACATCACTATTCCGTATGTCCAAGGAGTATCTGAGAAACTCCGACGGATCTTCCAAAACTTCAACATAGCCACTAACTTCAAACCTCACTCAACCCTCAGACAAAGACTGGTACACCCTAAGGACCGACCTCACAAGGGTACCAAGGCGAATGTTATTTACAGACTCAAATGTGAGGAGCCCAATTGTAACAACACCTACATCGGAGAGACAAGTCGACCGCTTAAAGTAAGGTACAAAGAACATTGCCGACCTAGTGCCAACGGCTACTCCTCAGCTATTTTCCACCACCTACAACACAACCAGGGTCACTCTTTCAAACTCGAGTCCACGGATGTCTTAGACCGCGAAACACGCTGGTGGGAACGGGGTGTTAAAGAGGCAATATATGAAAGAATGTACAACCCCACCCTCAACAGGGAAGGGGGGCTACGGGTCGATCTTTCCGGCACTTGGGATTTGGCACTCCCAGCCCCAAAATCATATCCAGTTGCTTGAGTAACTGTTTTTTGGCAAATTGCTCATAATTATTATTTGTACAATTTAATATGGCAAGTTGATACTCTAAGCAATAAGTCTAAAGCCTATGTTATTCTGTAACGTTACAAGGAAACATTGTCTACATTAACTTAGTATTGTAATAACAGCAATATTATGATTATGATCTTATGCGATCTTATTTAAGCGCCATGGTACTTGGACATATAGATATTGTGTCAGACCATAATTATAACACCAGTAAAGTGAAAGAGAGGTTTCTAATTAAACAGACTCCCTTTTGAATTTCTAAACATTGTGGGCAAATTCTCAATGTGGTAATGTTAGTTACAAACGATCTATTTTGAATTGACAAAAGTAACTTCTCTAAGGTACGTAGGTGAAGTCCGTCGTGATGATTTTGAAATAGATTAGAAGCCGTTGTGCTTTTTTCTTGACTCCGGACGAGAGAAAAGTGTACTTTAAATTCACAATCTTTTCATATATCCCGAAATATTTGGAGTTAATGATATGCGTATATGTGCATCGTGACATCCGTTTCCAACTTGATCGTCACTGTCTATGTCTGATGTATACGCGCAAACTCCGGGGCCTGATTCAAGCTCTTTCCTCGGACCGTTGAACTCCCCTATGGAGAGCGCCCCAAACTGCGACAGATCGCACGCTTCTAAAGAATTACAACAGAGACGGTGCCACCCCACTTCGTTTCAACCCTCTGTTTACACAGGTTGCTGGAGTTCAAGCAAACCAGTCTGGTAACAATGGACAATTCCGAATTTCAATTAGTCAAAATGGCGCTCAACCTGCGCAGGAAGCGACAGTGGATAAAACTGTGTTCAGTCTTCCTCGTCGCCGTCGTTTTGTGCTCTTTAAAATATGCTGGCGTGTTAATCTTCCGGCGGTCTAGGTACATTGCAAGGGAAGGCTCAGACGTGTCGATACGGAGTCCAACACTAAGGTTTTCAAGTGAAAACGGGGGAACAGGTCGATACCTGGTGAGGGAGGCGGGGCACGTCTGGCCCAAACCACGACAACAGGTGTCCACAGCGGACGTGTTTGTCCTCAGAAGGTGGGAGCCAGCGATCGGTGGTGGTCATGGTGGCGGTAGATGCTAGAAATGCATAATTTGTTACCGATATCTAACTTACCGTTCTAAGGTGCTGTGTTATGATTATTGTGTTGAACGTTGTTTACCTGAAACTGAAGTGGACCGTGTCTGAAAACAGGATGTGCTGTTTGGAAGGGCGGGCGAAAAACGTGGCAGATGGTATTTAAAGAAGACAACAATTTCCCCCCAACAACCTCTCCTTGGAGAGTAAGGATGTTTCAGAAACAAGAACGCGAAAACAGAGAAACGCACTATTACAACGCAATACTAGTAAATATCAGACATGTTGTTGAAGAATTTCAAGGCAGCCCCACAAACAGTTCATTTTCCTGACCTCTGACCTTTCAAACTCTGTTACATTTTCTTAAGGAAGCTATTTATTGGAGCTCTCGATTATTGACCTGGAACTGAAAAAATTACGTTTTTGGATTACGATTTTGGTCTGATTATTTCGTTATTATTCGTTTATTCAGTAGTTCTCAGTCTCTATACTCTAAGATTTTGACAAATAAACTTTTAAAAAGTAGTAATGGATCAATGAAGGTGGGGTGCCTGGGATGCATTTACATATACAGAGTGTAAAGCAAACTAACACAGAAAACATCATTTAAGACAGACCAAGGCAAATGCATACTTTGTGTGTTATGGATACAGGGGCACTTTCAACTTCACCTATGCACCTGGGTCACAGCATTGTGAAATACTGGATCTGGCCTTTGAGCGGTATACTGAAATCATCTTCAGTATTGGTGAAGCTGCCACAAGTAGGAGGTGTGATGCTGACACAACCTGTCCACGAGAACTCAATGTGCTCGTGGTCAGCATTAAGGAGCCTTGTGAGGGGGCTTCTCCACACCTGGACTCCAAGGAAAACTGTAAGAACTTCAGACAAGAAATGGCATCAATAGGAATTGCAATGTAGAAGATTGACTATTGTGGATAAGCTAGTAAACCAAGACATATTTACTGTTATGTTGGCTCATTACAACATTTGTTCAATTTCAGAGTTTAATCTCTGCAGATATCAGGTTATGCATTTTCTGCATGCAGAACTTCAAAGCCATTAAGTTGTAGATAAAAACACAAAGTAAGCAGTACCTTACAGCATTTAAGAAAAAAAAGTTTTAGGTATAGCAGTTTCTGAACCAGTATGTCCATGATGTACAAGTTTAGCAAGATACTAGTGCACTAGTACAAGTAACATGTATTTTACATGCATTTTCCTTCTTGGGGATATTGAAAAAAGAGATGTTGAAGACTGTTGTACTGTCTGTGTTCTAGATGAACTGACAGTGTCCAGAGAGGGTGTCAAATTAAAGGCTGATTCTGTCTGGGGTGCCCTTAGAGGTCAGTGGAGCTTGATTATGTTCTTGTTCATTATGTTGTTGTCAATTTAAAAAAATGACTACACTACATTTCTGCTTATAAATATCTATGTATGCATATGGCGGTGACCCTTCATACAACAAAGTTCAAATTTGATGGTTTACATCATCGACTTGTTTTATTCTTTCAAAACTAAAAAAAAATTCTTTAAAATGCAATGACAGCTTATTTATAGTTTTTGATTTTTCAAAACTGGCTTACATGAAATTAGAAAGTCATGAGGCTGAAACTGATTTCATTAATCATGTAGAATATTAACTAATTTTTCCAGGTTTGGAGACATTTTCCCAGCTGATATACAGAGGTGAACATGATTTGGTAAGTTCACAGGGTGTGAAATACCTAAAATGCAAGCCTTATTGTAATGAATGATGTGTAAGGAATGTCATGTAACTACTGAGTGAGCAACATACATGCAACATACAGGCCACTTGTGAGAGCTGTCATACCTCTCAGACAGAGGATTGTAATGATCAATGGGATTGCTGCAGTTTGACTGTTCTGAAGGTTAGGAGAGATCTGTAACATTTATGCATATGAAATTGTACTGTATACTGTATAATGTAATTCACACAATGTTAATGCAACATTTCTTAAATGCTTAGTATTACAGATGTGTTAACTTTGTATTCCCCCAGTATATCACATCAATGAGGGTTTTCACATTTTTCAGTACACAGTGAACAGGACAGATATCCAAGACTTCCCCAGGTTTCCACACAGAGGTGTCTTACTGGACACATCCAGGCACTTTGTACCGGTCAAGTACATCCTGCAGAACCTGGTATGGTACTTCATAACATTTCTGTGGTTAGGGGCAAATGATTAGCCAGAGGCAGAATGGTACCGGGGTAATACAGATGGTAAATGTCAGTTTAAAACAGTAGAACATCACCATCAGCACATTACTAACAATTACTGAAGAATCACTGCTAAACAAATGAAACATTCTTTTTCCCCAGGATGCAATGGCCTTCAACAAATTCAATGTGTTCCACTGGCACATAGTGGATGATCCTTCCTTCCCATATGAGAGTGTTACCTTCCCTGAACTTAGTAAAAAGGTATGCTCTCAATGTACATCAGTCTCCACAAACAAAATCCCTTTCATGTCAAACTCTTCTAAATGAAAAGTATGAACATCATCTTAACTTTTTAGTATCAAGAAATGTATTTTTGTATTGTCTGCAGGGGGCATTCCATCCTGACACACATGTGTACACTCAGAAGGATGTGAGAACTATCCTGGAATATGCCAGACTCAGGGGGATAAGAGTCATGCCAGAGTTTGACACACCAGGTACTTTAGACCACTTTTGGTACACATGTAGAATCCCCGTGATCAACAGTGCCATGTAGCAAGATGGTCAGGAAGTGCAGGACAGATGGTGGCTAAAAAAATACTCACCATCAGTTATGTACAATGTACATGTACATGTACAAAGCTATATTGATGATGAGAAATCAAACAATACCTCCTCCATAATCATGACCTGAGGCTTTCATGTAATTAACATATTCCCATCATATATATTATCAATTCAAGTTCTGCTGCAGTACCAAGGTAATAAAAGATTGCCAAACTCCTGTCTTATATTCTAGGTCACACCCTGTCCTGGCGCCATGGGCAGCCTGGCCTACTGACTACATGTTACACAAAAAGTGGTAAGCACAGAGGTGCCTTTAACCCTGTCCATGAAGACACCTATCAGTTCATGGGTAAACTGCTAAAGGAACTCAAGGATGTTTTCCCTGACCAGTTAGTGCATCTGGGTGGAGACGAGGTCAATTTTAATTGTTGGTAAGGAAAACTTAGCAGTATAACACATACTTACAACTCATTTTTACAGTAACTATGCAAATATTTATGTTACTTTTTAGACATGAGGAAGTTTTTTCACCTGACCCTATGATGTTAAGAACAAAGACCATTTTATTGTATATATTAAAAGCATCTATGACAATTCCACATAGGGAGGATCAAAATCATGTTGACTGACCACATGATTGCTAAATTTTATGTATCAGCTCAGTGGTTTATCATCAGTGTTATCATGACATGATGTGTTAAGGTGAATGTTGAAAGAATGTAATATCATATTTGTTTTGCAGGAATAATCATACAGACATTGCAAAGTTTATGGAGAAACAGGGATTTCATTACTATGCCAAGCTTCAGTCCTACTATATACAGAGGTGAGCAGAGTAAAAGTAAAACGTTGATCCATTTCATAAAATGTTGATCTTCATGAACAGGCCAGAGTTTGTCCATCTTGTTTCTTTTTTTGTGCAAGCTGATAGACGAATTAATTTCATGATATAGATAAAGGTTACTGCATTACAGTTGCCTGATGACTATGTGAGTTAAGGAACTAATGGCTTGGCCACTGACACACAATCATGAGAAACAAGGCTGATGATTCTAGTATTTAATATATAAAGTCTTAACAATGACTCTCATTTTGTTTCTAATTGTTTTAGGATGATACAGATTGTGGAATCATTGGGTAAGGAATCAGCAGTATGGGAGGATGTCATTTGTTCTGGTTCAAACAATGATCCTTCCTTTCACTGTCAAGTAAGTACTGTAAACTGAAAGAATATTGTCACTATGTCCTGTTGTGTAAATGTACATGATAAGTTATTGCATTCATGGTGTAAATAATTTTCATATTCTAAAACTGAAAAAAAGGTTCTGATTGCTATTTTGAATAGATCACTATGTTCAATGAAACTTAAAAAAGTTTTTTTTTCAGCCTGAGGGGAGTGTACCAAAGAACACAGTTATACAGGTGTGGAAGCGTGGTAACTGGGCTGGGAAGATGGCACAGGTGACCCAACGAGGTTTAAGAACCATCCTGTCAGCCTGTTGGTACCTGGATTTAATCAGTACTGGGGGAAGACTGGCCTCCCTACTACAGATGTGATCCTCATGCCTTCAGTGGTGAGACTTGACCCAGTCTTCTAATTTGAACATGTTTACTGGTCACTGGTGAGTTGTGGGGTCTGTATTATTTGTCAACAAACAGCTGGATAGCAGGCAATGTTTTGGAATATCTAAACTTGGTGACTGTAACACACATGGATAATTTCCATTGTTTCACTTGTGTGCTTCAACACTTTTTCTGGAGCAGCTCCAGCAGATCCTAGAAGCCGTTGGTGCTTGATGAATTATCCATCCTTCTCTACAGGGACAAAGGCTCAGAAGGACCTGGTGCTTGGAGGAGAGGCATGCCTTTGGGGGGAGTTTGTGGACTGGACTAACCTGCTTTCCCGGCTATGGCCCAGGGCTAGTGTGATAGCTGAGAGGCTGTGGAGTTCTGAGGACACCACTGATATGGATGATGCTTCGGTTAGGCTAGGTGAACACAGATGTCGCATGGTTAGGTATGTCATTTTAAACTTTTCCTTGGCTTTAAAATCTGTCATTTGAAGACACCATAGAGAGTAACAGTAAAAATCTTTTAAGAACTCTTCTAACATACATGTAAAATGGCTCCATTCATCATCTCAGTCAAAAACAATCAATTTTGAAGTTCTCTGTACTACATTGTCTATCCCACTCATACTTTTTGTCTCAACTGGTATGTATCAAAATGACATAATCACTTGGATAATATGTGATGTTGACATGTTCTGTTTAGGAGAGGCATCCCAGCACAGCCCCTCCATCCCAGTGCTTGTCCTTTTGTACCCGTCTGAGGCAGCCATGGACAACTGGACAGAATCTGAAAAACATATCTTTTAAAAGTTAATTTCTGGATGATTTGTGAGATGACGTCAATAGTTATGAAATGGTTTATGTAAACTTTGTGTTCCCACAGAAATTTGTAAAGACTTCAATCAATAAGTTAAGTTAGAGTATGTACGTTTCAACACTTCTATTTGTATATTATGAAAATATTCTGCAACTTTGTTAGGTTGATGTATTAAGAAGAAAAAACATATTAAGATATATCAGGGTAGCTATAACACTCTCATTTGGGTGATCATTTTGTCTTGACACCAATTTTAAGCAACGGATGATTGTATTCTACCTCAGGCATATATTAATCAACAGAAAGAGCCATGTTCATGAACTGTCCCATATTTGCCAATTTCAAGTCCAAAGTCATGCATTTATATGGTACTACAGAACAATCCATATGGATTGACCACTGGCTACAGCAATGCAATGCAATGGGAGAATTTTGCTCTAGGTTTATCTGCATGCCCATAGAACATCCCACGCATAGCTTCAAACTATAATGCAATCCGTCAAAAACTTCCTCCGAGTACAACTGTGCCAGCAGGTATACAATTCCCTATTAGTCATTGAATTTGCCTGGCTTTTTATAGTCCACAAATCTCAATTGGACGTGCAGGGACTGTGCTATGGGGCACGTTGGCCTGTATATGACACAGAAAGCATTACGATGGAAAGACTTTATGTCCCAATTGAAAAAAAAAATTCCTAAAAGGATATAAAACAAGTTGAATGATAATAGTGCCTGGGGGAAATAAAATGGCTGTCACGAGTAGAGGATGCTGTATAATTTCCCTGGTAGACCCAGCTATAAGAAATGCTTGGTAAGTTCTAGATTTAGTATTCTGCTAAAGGAAGTTTTTTTTTCCAATTTTGGGTTGGGATCCTTGAAGGTGCACTCTGGCTCAACATGCACTGTATTTCAATGTACAACCTTCACACTGCACTTATGATACAATATGTAGATTAGATATTGGACTGGGTACTCGTGTAGCTTTCATGTCCATGATTCTTTTAAGTCTTAACATCAATGACACATGAATGACACCACACAGACTTGGCAGAACAACACAATGGGTTTGTTTAATGGAATCCAGGTGTAACCACATGCATGATTGTATGCTGATCTTACAAAAACCCAAGTGTCAAAGCCTTTTTTGTAAGTACTATAATACAGCCCACCACAATAAATAGTTACAGCAAAAGTAATGGGAATACCAGAAACTTTGTAAGTGAACGAACGTGTAGGGACTAGAAGGAAGCACTTGCTTGGATGCGCTTTCAACAGTGGAAAATGATTCCCTAGGAGAGGGTCGACAAGCAAGCTTGCCGACAAGATATAAGTACAAAGACTAGTCGTCATTCCAGTATGGCAGATACACGTACCATGTTCCTAAGGTGGCGTATGACTTGCAACTATAGAAGAGCAATGTCATACCCACCTGAACATGGCAGTGCATGGTGGAAGGTGTTGTATAGAGCTGTGTAGGCCATTGAGAGGATGTATACTTAGCATCTCTTTTACCAGCAAATCAAACCAATTAGAGAACTGCTAGGTGTTAAGACTAGCCCCAAAAATCAGTCCATGCAGATGTTCCAATTTTTATCTTTGCCTTCTGTGAGAAGGGACAATAAAATTGAAGATGGTGCCTACTATCGAAGCTGTAGGCTACTCTTCAAAGGCTAACAGTCTCCAGAGTCCAGACTCGTCTTCATTGATGCCAAGATATACAGGTCCCCAAGGCCAACTGGATTAAGTTTTCAGTCAGTGTGAGGTAGAAGTTAGTACAGAATCCTGTACAGAGGAACCACATTCTCACAGTGGAAATATCCAGGCAAGTCAAGAACAGCTTTAGAATAAAGGCAACAAACTTAAAGTGTTGTACATAGCAGCAAATAAACTTAACTACTGATATTAAAACAGGTCACATGCTTGAGCTAGTGTTTCTTTGAGAAGTGGCTATTCCTTGCAACCTACTTTCAAGGATGAATACATTATTGTTGGTATAAAATGAACCAGAATCTATACAATGCTTAAGTGATTAACAGTGGGTTGTATATTTGCTACTCATTATCAATGAAGTACAGGTATGCACAGCAAAGGAACTCAGTGGTCCAGCACTTTGAAAAACTAAAAAAAATCTTTTAACAGAATATAAGAACAAACTCTGTGGTAAAGCACTACAAGACTGTGATCACTCCTGTATTTCAACCTGACATACACGTGTACAGAACTTGATAACAGTTCACATAACCACTGAATAACACTTCTTCATAGCCAGGGTAATTGGTTAGACCTGTTTTCTTTAAGTAGTCACATAAGTACAAAGCACTGAGGACTGTACACATGCATTCGTACGGCACAAGACACAATTTTTTTTATAAGAAGTTACCTGCCTATTTCTCTCTTTCCTCATCTACGTGGAATGCTCTTGAGACCCACAGAGTGACCAATGTCCTTGCTTAAATACAAATATGCTATCTAAGCGCACCACCACAACACCACATATTACATACAAATCTGAAAACAATGTCCCTACAAGCAACCAAAGGAGGAGTCCCCTTTACACAGCCTGTGGCTGCTTCTTCGGGCTTCACTAAAATTAAAAAGTAAAAAATCAGCAAAAGTGAACAAAATTAAAACTCTTACAGTCGATTAGTTGTGGACAATAGCTACACTTCACCTGATATATTTTGTGATATGAAGAACTACATACATCACTGAATGCCTTTCCCAAAACAATGGTAATACTAACTACACCACTATAGGATCCAAATGTGGGTTATGGGTTACTCCAAACTGATCTATAGCATGCATTTATCTAGTACCTGTGCTAAAACTGCACCAGTCCCAGGGTTAGTTTCTTCAGTTATCAGGAAATTACTTCAGTTCTTTTGCTTTGATCAACAAGTTACCACACAAAGGCAGTTCAAACATCATTATTGCGTTTTCTTGAATTCAATTATTTCCGAAACAGAATTTAGGGAGGGGACTTCAAAAACAAACTCTGGGACTGACTTTTCTCATCAACACTCCTTTGTACACAAGACTAAAGCTGTCTTACAAATTATCACTGAAGCACTTTGGAAGCAATTGTTATTCATTTTCCTTTCCTATTATTGTGAATTTGATACATTTACACTTGATGGAAGCTGGGTTGTGTGTTTTTCTTTTTGCCGATTTATCAGTTACATTACAAAATGTCTGACAGTCATGATTCTCAGCCAATCGTCAACATCCTGTGCTTCGTTGACTCGGAAACTGCTTGGATACAGGTAAGTAGTGTCTGTGATACCACAACAAACTGGATTTCTGCTGATAAAATTGGGAGCTGCTATGTTTGATCAATTACATGTACATCCCGCAGGCTAACACGGTGCCTACTGCTGCGACTGCTCGAAGTACTTGTACGTGGGGTTCTCATAGCCATTCTGCTGCATCTTACTGACGTGACGCTCCTCTGGGGTCATGCTGGGGTCGACCTCCACCACCGCATGGTTCACACCTGTGGAACAACAGAGAATCTTAGAAAGACTGACTTTCTTTCTTCTGGACTACTATAATTTACAATACACATTCAAGTCATTCTCATTTGGTGTTGCCACTGCCCTTTATTTGGCATCCCACCTAATGTCAAAATGACAACAGAATACACATGAACACTTCTGACCTGGTTGGCGCATGGGGGCATGCTTCTTGCGCAGGACGATGAGGGCCACGATGATGATGACAGCAATGATGGCAGCAGCCACAGTGATGGAGAGGGTGGTGAGGTTGGTGATGTTGCTCATGTGCTTGTTCCACTGGCTCTTCTTCACCTGCAATAACAACAACAAGAGTTAGAGCCAGCTCAAGGACGTAATATTTGATGGGAGTTGTAACAAAGCACAGTACTAGTCATACATCAACAGTGATCACATGCAAGCAAGCAATTGCTGGTATACCAATGAGGGCTAGGATAAACACACTTCACAGTTAAAATTATTATTTCCTCTAACCCTCCATTACAACTGCACTGGTTTCATTACTTTTTTAACACAAGCCCATGGTACATGACTTACAAAAGATGCTGCCTGTGGAGGTCTGTCAGCCTTGGATGCAGCAAACTTCTGCAGGTGCTGTGGGGTCACGAGAACCTTCTTCTCAGCCTGGCCCTCTCCCTCAGCATCTTCATCTTCCTCATCATCTCCAAAATAATCCACCTTGGCAGGCTTGTCATCATCTGTGGAATACAGGTCACATGTTTCAGTCTCCTACAGGCATCTATAGCAAAGTTTTCTCAAAGAACTTTGGAGTAGTAGATGATGGTTCATGCCTGTGTCCACTGGACCATGTGCGAAACCCCATTCTTCATTGAGCTATACATCTAAGTTAACAGCATGAAGTCTGAGTCAGTACTGACCGTCCTTAAGGATGTCGTTGATGCGCTGGTCCTCCAGGTCAGGAATGTCCTGCTCTACCTCCACAGGCAGGATGCCGATGGGGACGAGTGGCTCCGGCCTCTGGTACACGGGAAGGTCCTCAGGGTTGATGATCTGCCGGTCAGCCTCCAGGTCCTGCTTGGCTCCAGTCAGCAGTGGGTCTGCGCCATGAACAACAAAGGGACTTAAGTACACATACACATGTGTACATGTACACTTGTATCTGTATTATACACTATACAAGTTGTTACAACTATAGCAATACATGTACATGTAACTTTATTACTTAGAGGTGACCATGCATTGATATGCTTTCCTTGTCTGCAATTTCAAAGTACATGTATGATGTATTAGTAAGTTAAAATACTGCCTTGTGGGGAAAAGATGCTGTTATTACATGGGCTGCAGGGATGTTTCATCCAGTAAACTGGGTGAACAAATATTACAGATTAATATACCATCATGTGTGGGAGCTACATGTATTAGCAACACTTAAGCCATGCTTCATTATAGCACATATCACAAATACTCGTGTACTGCTGATCATTACTGAATATAATCATTCTAATATTACAAACAACATAAATCAGCATATCTATTCAGTATGCAGGAGCACAAGATGAGCACATGCACCATCAGTCAAGGGTACATACAAACTGAACAGTCACAAGCATGTGACAGCCACTTTAAATAGATGCTGCTTGTCAGCATGATAATGATAAACAAGCAAGATAAAACACAACAAAGAGCAGCATATTTCTGAGAATATTCAAGCTTTACCTTTTCAGTTAAGTGGCCAAAAGGATTGTGGGCTGATTCTTATCATTTTCATATCATACATGATGTATATTGTCATCTAATACTAGTAACATGTTATCCCTTTTCCTCTTTAACTTTCATGGCAAGTTACAAGACTATTATTGTTGTGCCATATTCGGTAGTTAATGAGTTTTGTTGTGTGCAACCATAAAAATAATGTATGTTCTTGTACCCTTTTCTAAATCATGGCAACTTGAGTAAAATGGTCATCCTAAGAGGATGGATGAAAACAAATCGCTTGCTAGCATGCATTAGGAAGCATCATCAACTCTAAGTAAATTGATCTTTGAAATAATGTCTGTGCAGCTAACTGAAACAGGCCCCGGACTGAATGTTAGTATGCAACACATGTAACAAAGGGGAAATGATGGTCTATGCTGCAGGCAAAACATCAGTTAGTGCTTCTGCTGGACTGGCTGTGACAACACAGCACAGGAACAACCACAGATAGATGACGCTGCTGTACATCACTTCCATCACTTGTCAGGAATACCTGTTAGTCGCACTACAACAAAGGGAAGAACTATCAAGACACAGAAAGTAAATGAGTGTCTCTACTGAACACTGATCACAGGGGAGCTTAATGCCAACGTCTAGAGTTGATGGAGATGGTCTTCGGGGTTAAAAGAAAACGTCAGATGTACAAAGGGAAACGTCTTTTTTTTTCCAGACACAACAAGCATGGTAGCATGCCAGGGTCTAATCAAGACCACCTCCCTTTGGTTCAGACCATCCTTTAAAAATCAATACAAAATCACAGATAATGGGACAATCTGGGCCTGGGTGATTTTTGGTCAGACTGTTCACTGGCACACATCAGATCCAAAAGTACCACTTTGGAATTTTCTTTACGTACAAAGCAGTAAACAAAAATGTTACATACTTATTTAGGGTAGTAGCAAACCCTTACAAACAGAGATTTATTGTAGCATTTGAGAGTTAGTGGCCTTGTAGATTCATTTGGCGTGTTTATGCGGATCAGGGACATTCTGTATACATGCCCTCAAGCACCATGTATACAGCATACATGTGCATTGCACACTGAGGCAATGTTGTAATAATAATAACAATGGGTTAGTGAAAGCAGCATTAAGCGTGCTGGATGGTTCAGTAGAGACTGGTTCATTTACCGCTCTTTGGTGTTTTATTGTCTTTGGTGTTCTCTGTATCTTCCTCCTTCTCAGAGGACTTGGGTTTCTTGGGGGTCTCCTTCAGTGGCTTGTCTGGCAAGGTGACATCTTTAGAGCAAAGGCAGGTAATCACATCAATCTACATCCATGTACAAGAATGATAACATGGTCTGCCATCATGAACCTGTGAAGACTTTCTTTATAGTAAGAGATACCTGAAGAGCACCCTGTTTATCGTACAAGAAATCAGTACAACACAACTGACCTTGACAAGTATTGGATATTCGAAGTGTGGGTTAATGGGAAAAAAAACAGCAATGTGAGGTGCCTTGTAGCTGTACTGGCATTATTGGCAAATATTCTAGAGACTTCGTGGCACCGAAGAAAAAAAAATGGGCGTGTCTGTTATCAGGAGAATAATGTTAACTTAACAGGACTGTTTATGTACAAGAAAATTATCCCTTTGGATCATTCTTATTCCTATGGATGAAGGGTATAGATAAGACAGCAACAGACAAAATTAAGGAAGGTCAAAAATAACAAGCCATTTAAGAATCAAAACCAGTCTGAAAAGACATCAACAGAATCAAAACTGCATGCCCTGATCGCAACAGGTCAGTAACTACCAAATTGTATCCAGTAGTGAATGACCCTGAGGATTATGAGGAAACAGCTACCACCTGGACCATCATTAAACAAACTACATCACTGCACATCACGACACAACACGGGGGGTGCATTACCACTAAGAGTTGTGGAGTCATCATCCTCGGGAAGCTGTGAACCTAAGATTGCCATGATTTTCTCATCTATCACAGCCTGACTTTTGTCGGATGGTAGAGCGGTGCTGTCCAGTATTTCACTGATTTTGTCATCTATCTCCTGAATGCGGGATGCTTCATGAGGGAGGGAAAGAACAATGTGGGGAGAAAACACAGGTGAGCAAAGGAAATGACACCAAGCAGATGGAAGAGAACACAGGACATTCATGAACAGGTGACTTCACTGACATGAAGATGTGGACCATGAGTATGACTAAATAGATACTGGTGCTGCATTGCGTGTTTACTGTGGAGGGGGAAGTCTTACATCTCCTCCGGTGGTGATGTTTGTACTACAACTGTCATTGGCTGCCTAACATTTAATGGTGCCTTACATGTTGCAATCTCCATTACTCTAGAAATGACCTTGTTTATGACTCTGATCTAACTTTGGTCGGAGCCAAGGATTCACCAAGATGACCTAGCTGTGTGCCATTACAGACTGGGGATGCAATTACCATCAAGGTCAGACGAGGTCTGTCCATCAGGGGTCCCGGGGCTTGGAGTATTGCCATCGGGGTAATAGGATGAGTCATACTCATAGTCATACTCCTCATCTAGGTACATCATGGAAGCAGTGGGAGGGGAGGAAACAACATGAATGAACATGAGGAAGTCATGAAGCTCACAATTTGTGGTTGATTACACCCTCTTGATTTAGTTAACCTTGCCACTGAAACACTTGTGTTGTAAATATGATGTACAAGGGAACTGTTTCAAAATGTTAAAGATGCTGATAATATTTGGAGATTAAAGTTGAAAGAGGACAAATTTCCAAAATGACAGACGAAAAACGGGAAACAAATTCTTCAAAGATCTTCTGCTACATGGTTGACTACACAAACAACATAATTGAAACTGATCCATTCTATGTTAATATCACCATGCCATTATATGTAATCAAGACTTGTCCAAATTCTGTATGCAATACAACCACAACCTGTGAAGCAATCACAATGACACAGAAAGGGGAGGGGATAATGGAGACCTGCAGAAGGGGTGCCTCCTCCTTTCCAGGTCAAAGACAGTGGAATAATCAATATTATATTGAGGACAGTTATTGAGCAGATGGGATCTGTGATACTAAATGGAATACAGACGATGACTCAAACATTATTGTGGCAATGTAAATAAAATGTTGTTTCAGGTTAACTTAAATTTTTTGTCGCATGTTTTATAATGCGACAATGTTGTTTTGAACTACTCTTTGCTACAATGGAAATCTGCACCACATACCAGCCAAGTACAATCAATCAAAACCTGGTGAACTGATTGGAGGCTGGAAGTCTAATCACAGCCTCTTTGAAAACTACCACCCACGCACTTGAAGCAGCTATGATTTAGCGAGTTTTCAATTTCTGAGTGGCTGAGGCATTTCTCCAGAGAAGATGCTAGGATACAAATGAGTCTCCGGAGTCCTGACACAGGTCTGGATCACCTCCACAACAAGAAATGGGGGAAATCAGCACTGGTATCTTGGTGCTGTAGATGTTTGGCACAATGCCTGTCTTCTTCAAGAGCCTACACAATTTTGCTCCTAAGCCAGGATAGTGAGTGAGTGAGTGGATAGCTCCAGAGGTGAATTCTATTCTATATAAACACAAATGGACCAAGTGTGGAGGAAAAGTGCCCACCATCCTTGGAGGATGAGATTTTGTCCTTTGTTGAAGGCTGCATGAAGGCTTGCACAAAGTCCGTCTTCTGAAACTTCTCTTGAACATACACTTCTACAGAGGGTTGAAGAGACAGCAGTTTTGAGTAAGATACTGCATAAACTCACAGGCAGCAGTCAGACGGAGATATGTCTGTGCCTCATGGGAGTACATGCATTATTGAGAAATTGCATGCACGGAAGACAGAGCTGTTGGATCGATTCACATACCTATGTGAAATGGTTATAAAATGAAGGTAGGAAATAGTATTCTAAGACAAGAAAGCATATCTGGACTTAAGAAGGCCGAAGTCTACGTCAGTTGGGCATGCAAATATCTTAGACTCTTAAACCTTTAATCAAACAGACAACAAAACATGGAAGTACACAAATTAGCTGTGTTCAGGAGTAGTAAAGGTCTTGCTGAAAAGCATGATGGTGAAGTACATTACCGGAATAAATTTCATTTGCACTACATTCAACGTTACAGGCTAGAAATTAGCACAAGACACGCAGAACGTCAGGGACATACTGGCCGTCATCCAAATTTGCAGTCAGACACCCTCTGGATGATTCATCCTGAGACAACTGCTGAATTTGGAATGTGGGTGAGGTGACAGGAGCAGTGTCTTTGATATCTAATGAAGCTCAAGGGATCTGACACTTCACTTCTGACAGGGCACACTGTAAGCCATTGCACATAACAACACCACAACTGAAGAATCCCTTGGGTGGATGATGCCAATAAATAAAAATGAAGTCATAAAATTACGTCCCATAAAACACAGATGAGTAATGAACGTGAAGGAAGGATTATTGTGAATGCTTCCTTCAACTACAAAGTCAACTCCGTTATATGTGTGGGTGTGAAAAAAAACATTAATCCTCTCTTTGCTATGGTGCATCTCAATTTAGGATCACCCAGGTCTGGCTAGGATCCCCTGGGGCTACAAAACTGGCCAGAACATGACAGAGTTCAACACTGCTACATTAAAGTTTTATGCCTTCATCAATTTTCAGGCAGCGGGAGGTTATTCCCTGTTTGCTGTTGTATGGTCTCAAGTCCAAGTTCAGCTGAAAGTCATGTCTAATTGCATCTAGCAGAGTTTTATTACTTTCTATATACGAGATAGCCTTTATGTACTTTGAGAAAAGATATCTGCCAGGTCAGACTTTTCAGGTTAGATAGAAAAATAGCTACATTCTGTAGACAATGACTCAGCAAAAGGGGAAAATTTATTACAGGGCGAGTCCTTGACAAATTACTTATCCATGTGGTAATGACAGAACCCAACAAAGGTACTGTTGCTATTGCAAAGTGTTCTAAAGCAGAAATTGGATTATCATGCCTATGTAGAGTTGGGTGGGGAGGGAAGGTCATCCAGTAGAATTATACACCAGTCAATGCAGCCCTGTACAAGTTGTGTCTTTCAGCATCAATGAAACTGTTTATCTTTTGCTATTTTCTTAACAACGTGCAACATTCTCCTTGACTCATTTAAATTTGATTGGACACTTTCAATCTTATGTAGACCAAGCTCTTTTCTGAAGAAAATAATACAAGTTTACTCTAGTAGTCACCATACAGCACCATCTCTAACACATAATAAATCATTAAGTCCACTACTAATGGTGGCTTTGAAATTTCTGACCAGGGCAATAGAACACATGCAGCACGCTGGTGCATGGTGTGTCAAAGTTTCTTTTAGATGGTTAATCAATAGAAGGTGTTAAAAGTTGGCCAACTCACCCAGCTCTGGCATGATCTTCTTGGCAATGCTGGGCAGCCTCCACAGCAGCTGAATGCTCTGGTTGATACGCTCATCAATCACTCTGCAGGGGAAATGAAATGGAAATTGCAATTTCTCTTGTTTTGGGCAAAAGTGTGGAACAAATTTACCCTGTGTCCATCTGATGTAACAAAACATGAAAGATGTGCTGGTCCTGGTGTTACCACACAGTTAAAACACTTGCTACTGGCCCTCTATTTCCTTACACAATATTGAGCCTATCAGAACTTTTTGTTTTGGACCAGTTTCATAATTTTACTTCTGGTATTTCCTGAGCTATATTTAACACATCATTTCATGACCTCATTGACTGTGGCTTTGCTCTATGTTACCTTTATTTATTCTTATGGCATATAGCATCAAGGTATTTCTTAGTGATGGAGAAACCATTCTAAAGCTGTCACTGCCAGTTTGTATGTTAGATAAAATCTTCCTCCACTCTGCATTGTTAATGGAAGCTTACAGTACAAAACTGGTACATGTGACTTTCAGCCAGGCTGTGATAGAATGTCCATTTCCTCCCAGAGGCCATTTGTTCTACCTGGCCTGTGGCTGGCTGACATTCTATTGATTTTTGCCCCCAGCTTGGGGGAGGCCCATACACCACCAGGGGCAAAAATCTATCAGGTATGCTGGCTGATGGAAGGTGACTTAGCACATAGGGGAATTATTTGGCAATAACGGGGCACTCTACTGCTGCTTTGTGCCAGATTAATGTTTCTTTTTTCCTTTCCTGCCACCTCTAATAAGTAACTCACAGACTGTTCTCACTATGTCTACCTTCTGGTGATAACCTTGCAGTAAAATCTACAAACATTTGCAATTACAAAAGGCTATTAAAAACTTTGTGTGGAAATTCATATTGGCATTTTAGGGTGACGTTTACATTAAAGTGTTTGTTGTAAGAGCTTCAAGATCAGAAGGGGATAATGTTATACTATTTTACAGGAAGGATTCTTCCAGAAAGACAAAATGACCCATATTTTGGGACATTACACACATCGTGGGTGTGAATGCTCTTCGATTTCAATCATTTTCCAAAATGATTTTCATAAACTTTTAAGAGATCTTGAACAGTTTGCCTTCAAGGGAATGCAAGAGTAATTTTGTTTTTGTACAGATAGTATGCGATAACAATAAATGTTCAGCAACAGACTGAACATTACGTCTTTATCGCTTCATTTCATAAAACTGTTCCAGCCCAAAGACATCAGACAATATCTGAGAATGAATAACTTAGTTATAGTCAGACAAATGACAAGGCTTGGGTCTGAACATGGCTGGAATAAACTGCTAAGGAAATCAATTGATGGTCCAAGATCAAATATGGTCACACACACTATTACTGGTAATGTGAGGCAGGCCAATCCATTAGTCTGTATTGACTAAAAAGAAGTAACTAATGAGCAGTAGGAGGGAGGGAGTCTAGGGGACAGTCTGAATATTTGCATTAGATGGCAAAATTCCTGGGGTCAGGTTTTCCTGCTGACGTCATGCTGCATATGATGCAGTATATCTAGCTTTTCACTTCATCTGATATCACAACACTTGTGTGGTGAATGATGTGCACATGACATGGGGGATTACAAGTCTTTAAGTCCAGCAAATGGAAACAATTTCCTGTCTGGCACAGCTTGTGCGACAAACTGGCATCTCGTGATAGTACACAAGGAGCTACAGCAAGTTTGGTGATGTATGGTGCTGTCTGTTTACTATACGTTCCTGACCACACCCCCTACAGTCTGCAGGGCAAAATACTGCGTAACAAAACACAGATGAGGCTAGAGTGACACATGTAGTAAAGGTCCTGTATTATAAAGCACTCCAAGCAGATCAATGCCAGTATTTGCATGACAGATTGGCCATTCTGCTGACATGGACCATACGCCACATTTCCCTCAGGTATCGGACTCTGTTGCCTGTTCCACTGACCATTCCTGGCAGATATAAACTACCTGCCAGGATGACAATTTACAGACCCTTCACTTTTCAAGTTTATATGTAAACTTACATGTAGTACTGTACAGGTAGTACAGTCCAAACAGTCTGATTCAGTGCCTTATTGCTGGTACTCTTAATGAGCATGAGATAGGTCTTTTGCATAACCCACAGTTAATTTCAGAAGACAGTGAAATGCCTTCAAACCTTTTATGATTTCTGGTGTTACCCAAAGATTTCCATGATTGGTCCAACCTACATGTACTGTAGCTACACAAGGTTTAAATGTTACTTTTATAACGTTCTACCCCACTTTCCTTCAAGTCCAGGTTCCCAGTAAAATTCAAAATTGGCAGAAAGTTGCTCGTAAAGAACAACTGGCTTTATTAGATTTTCAGAAGATTGGGTTTTATCAGTCTGGTATGACGCAGAAGAGCTAAAAATGGCTTTATATAAGGGATGACTAACAATGACATACTGATTGTCATGGTGACCATATAATTTGTATGCTATACATGTGCATTTAACAATATTTTAAAAATATCTGTGTTTTAAAACATGATAGCTATCTGGTAATAGAAGTAAAACTTCATAGTCTGCTGATCTACATTGTATTTTACCTTGTGCACTTAACCTTCTACATGCTTTAAAAGCATCAAATAAATAGATCACCGAAATCACCAGTAAATTTTCTTCATGTTATCTGATCTTCAAGGTTTAATTTTACATGAGGATACAGGTCATAGGATGATACCAGCAGTATTGAAACCCCAGGGACCTTAATTAAGCATCACAGCAGACTGCCCTAATTCCTGCACATTTCTGCCCAAAGGTTTCATTTCTGCTGAGACAATTTCCTTCCCCACAAGGCTCCGAGGTGAAGTAGGCAATCTTCTTCACACATGCACCCTGCTGCAGGTCAACACAGCTAATGCCTCCTCTGCATGAAAAATGTATCCACCTGGACCCCTGATATAAGATGGATATTATCTAATGCACCCTGCATAAGACAGATGTATGTGTGGTTGCACTTGAGAGAAGGCAAGCAATCTTCAACTGACCCAGGGGAATATGTATGAAAAGCATGATAAAATTCATTTGCTAGACCCGCTGGTCTTCTCTTGGCCTTGTGCACACAAAACATCATATACTGTTGTCTGAATTGTAAATAGTCATGACAAATACAAATGGTTAAAATTGTTGCACTTTGACTGTTAGGTTTAATCCATGTAAATGTGCTAACAAAATCTCATGAACTCTGATGGTTCTACTTCTATCCATTCTGAAACACTCGTTTCCATGGCAGTATCATGATACATGACACAGATTCCAGGTTAACTGCATCTTTTACCCACATTAGCTGCAGCTAGAGGTATGACCCACCACCCAAATAGGTCAACATTGCTGTTAACATAAGGCCTTGGAAATTCCATGTGTCCCACAGGAGTTGACCTAGGAATTTAGCTCAAATCACAAGACCCTGAGAATATCTGAACAATTATCACTAGCCTGGACATGAAAAATATTTTCTCCCAGCATTTAAACAAAAATATCTTGACCTTCGCCTTGTTTATCAGCAGGATTCACTGATTTCAGGTGATCTGTTTCAAGTACTAAAATCAGTAAATTCATTTTGTCAACTAGAAAGGCCAATATTTGCTTTGGAGCAAATACAGCGATGGGTTCACCACATTTTACGACATGGCAGGGAATGAATGAGAAACACAAGGGAAAACAATGATTTACATTGATATAACGATAATATGAAGTAACATACAACTAAAACAACAGTTGGATAGCTATTCCCTACTTTATTGGTTAGGATTTTTAATTGCATAATGCAAACTGTTGATTTTCAAAAAAAAAAAAACGTTCATGCCCCGCATTCCAATGCTGGAGCAGAAAAGCTTGAAATACCTACCAAAACACTTGAATAAAGACATACTGTCAGTATGGAAATGCTCTGTGCAGGTGTTAATCAAGTTAAATCCCAACAGCCAATCAGCAAAAAAATGCTCTGTGCAGGTGGAAATGCTCTGTGCAGGTGTTAATCAAGTTAAATCCCAACAGCCAATCAGCATGAAGTATAGAGGAAAGCTGCATGCCTATTGGTTGATGCCCTGCATTCCATTGTGATGACTCATGCCCAGACGTGGTAAACACGGCACACTAACACAGTAATACATTTGCTATAACACAGCCAAAAAACTCAAATAAAACCATTCTAAAAGCCTGTATCACAAAATTTAAAAAACGCCTAGGGGTATTTGCCCACTGTACCTCCATACCAAATTTCAGGACCTTAGGCCCTAAAATGAAGAAGCTGAATCCATTTAAAAAATGGCAGAAGAAGAAGAAGAAGAAACATCAGAAAAAGCAATATGGGTTCACCACCACTTGTGAGGCAGAACATTATTATGGGTTCACCACACCACGAAGTGGTGGTGAACCCATAATAATGTTCTGCCTCATCTAATTGAAAATCTAGGTGTACCAGAAAGTAATTGTGAGCTATACTAAAATCCAACTAAGAACATGTCAGGCTTGTAAAAAAAAAGAGTGGCATGCTGTAATATATGTAGTTTGGTATGCCAAAAACCAGTATGACTTTGTGTTATGTTGAAATTATGTCTACTTGTGGTTTACTTAGGAAGATAACATGGTTTATTCCAAACGACTGCAAGTACTAGATGAAAAAGCATCATGACTGTATTTACTGACCTGAGGTGCTGGATAAGTGACGGCTTCATGTCAGCAGTCTTCTCCGGCATGGTCTCGCGCACATGTTCAAAGTGGCGCATGCTGTGCAGGCGGTCCTTCTGCTCAGCATGGATGTAGGCTTTCAGAGCACGCAGGATCTTATGGGCCTGCAGGTACAAATGGGAATGCGGGCCAAAGGTTCAGAGCTGTTAAACTTTTATTATGTAAGCATTATCGCCACAAACTGTGTCTATGGAAAGTTGTGACCTTGTAACTCCTAAACCTAACATCAAGCAGCTAATGATTCCATACTTTTACTGGCAGCAGCAATCCTGTAACCTGTGAGTCAACTATATACAATGGAAATTCTGTCCTGTTCACCAAACTCGCATATAATAATACAGTTTGCTGTGAGTGGCAGGACTACCAGCCATCAGGCTTGTTAGCAGCATTGCATTAAGTGGAAGTCAAGAGGCCGTGCAGTTCCATGGAATTTAAAGAACTTGAGCTGGGTGCTGATAAGCTGATCCACCTGTCAAGTGGTCCTTAAAATTTTCATCATTTTATAAAACGCTGGCATTTTTCAAACCCTACCAGTACCACAGGCTGATAAGAATGTCTAGTTCTAATCTCTGCTGCAAAACTCATCCAAAACCGCAGAGTGGGAGACATAGATGTATGCTTCAACAGAAGTGCTACTCCAGCACTAATCCCCCAGGGAACAAAACCTTTGGAAGCAGGCCAAGTGCAAAGAGGTCTGCAGTCTCAAGAGATGTTCAAACATGGGACAAAAAGGGCCCATTGATTTTAATCATTTGTTGTTAGGTTTTTGTGGTCCAGCTTGCTAAAAAAATATAATTCATCAAGTTTGTCAGAGCAAGTCAGAATATGTGATCTAGGTGATGAGAAATCATTACCAGGGATGTCTTAATCCTAAGGTTGACCAACTCAAAATAAAGGACTATAACTAAACATTTGCTCCTATTTTGTTATATAAAGCACAAAATGAGGGTAATCTTCATAACAAGAGATGAAAGGAAACCTGCATGGATATTTTTAGTCCAACAATTATATAAAACCCTTCAATGTGTTTTGAACATCACAGGGCGAAAATGGGGCACCATATTCCTGGTATTGATTTGCATGCGGAGCAACTCATTCCTCGTAATGCCTGGCCTATATTGAACCAGGAACCAGCCAAGCTGAAATCACAGGGGATAACACTAATCATGCCTCTCAGCCTGCCCTCCACTTTAGCCCTTGCTAAGTAACCACACTGCATGAACAAGCAGACAATGTATCACAGCAGCAAATCACCCTATCTGGGCACCTTTACCAAATGCAATGGATCTCAGAATTGCAAACAGCTTGTCTTCTTCTGCACAGTAAGCCCATGGAGATCACTTCTGAGAATTTTATGAAACAAGTTGCATGTGGCATTGCTGATGCTATATATCCACACAAGTATTCTCCCTGCCATTGCATGGCCATGCAATTCTTCATAAATTTTGACCTTTACCACTGACAAACCCACTGCAGCTAGCTACTTCATACGTGACAAGGGTACAAATGTGCCTCAAAGGATTTTCAACCTTCCCTGTAGCTTTCCTGGCTTTTCTACGACCACTTTGATGTGGTCAAATTGGAATTTTCCATGAGCAATGCCAATTTTGAGAGGTGCACAGCAAATCACATCAATTTTGCCGAAAATGTCAGTTCTACATTTACTTCTCATTCATGTTTCCTTATTTTATATGACTTGCCATGACGAAACAAAAATTGCACTAGCTGTAAACCACAGCTTACTGGAAAATCACTTCTCTATGTGTTAAATATTGCTGCGTTGTGCTAGCTTACATGAGGCGGGTTCTCTCCCAGGGCATCCATGTAATCTTCCATGGCTACACGCTTCTTGTTGTTGAGCATGGTCTCCACGCGCTGCTGATGGGTCTGCAGCAGCTGCTCCCGCTCACTCTGACCCTCCTGCTCAAGGGCATTCACAGTCACCTGGAAGCGCTGAGAGACCACACAATTTTTACAAAATTAGTTTGACAATGGTGTTTCACATGCAACATACACTTATTTCTGGTAGTTGTAGGTTCCCTGTTCGGGTAATTAAGTATCATCATAATTTTGCATTTCTCTTACCTCCATCATCTCCTTCTTCATGAGCTCAGCCCCGTTAGGGTCCTTGCTCTTCAGCTCCTGGTAACGCTCCTCTGCCTCCTCCCACTGCTTCATCACCTGCACAAACATAACAGACTCCATCTTCATGGCAACCTACACAGTACAACATATTCCACTTCTAACTTTACTCCAATATTGTGCCAGAGGACGTTAAACAAAAAGCTATTTTCCCTGAGCTTTGATTGGAGGTCCATGTGTGTGCCTGGGGAAAGTTGATAAAAAGTTACATTAAGCTGACTGTATTACTTCTGTCATGAACAAGGCATCATGAGATAAGACCCTGACCTTCTAGTCCTTCAGCATGACATTTAAATGTCACAATGGTAGTCACGTTCAGTACTGATATTAACAGCAATAGGGCAAGCTAAATTGGTTATGCTCAAAGGTTGTAATTTTTTTTGCATGCTCCTTATCATATATTATAAATTCTTCAAGTTCGTCCCTAGTTACAAAGATCTAGTGCTGTTTTACTGAAGTACAATGTTCTGACTGGCTAATGGTTTGAGAAATTTCAACATACCATCTACCTCTCATGCAAGTTTCAGTCACTCTAAAAGCATCATTCCCTTGGGATTTCTGAACTTATCCAGGCTAACCTGAGTCATGCGAAGACGGTGCTTCTCCTCCACACGTTTCCTGGCCTCCAGGAACATCTTGTGTTCATTGTCAGAGTCTTCCTCAAGGAAGTAGGGATCCACAGCCTTGGGAGTGGGGCTGGGAGGAACCTCCTCCTGGAAAATCTCTTCTGTGGGAACAATAAGAAAACACAACAATCTCAGCATCTAACACTAGTAACAGTACACAACAGGATCACAAAGCAGCATATTTCATGTGTATAAATCCATAAACTTTTCCAGTCAAGTTCTTATCTGATTGCTTTGCTTTATTACCTTTATGAAAAATGTTCAAAATCTGCACCTCATTTCATATCACAAAATGCCCACATCATGAAAGCTATATTTGGATCCCAAGGCACCCAACACCCAGCAGCCATCTAATATTTATAGTCAATGCAATCAGACTTGTTTGGCATTCATGATCAATCAGAGGCTGGTGGAAACGAAGACCTGTACCTTCCCTGTTGAGAATTTCCTACTTTCACACAAGGACACACAAACATACCAGACAGGTACAACTACAAGACTAAATTTATACAAAAGTTCAGCTGCTTATCTATAACCAATAAAAAAGCCCATTATGTTGTAATACTTTGAGGATAGGACTGCTTTTTGGAAGTGGTTGTAGTTGGTTTGGTAAAAATGGACAAGATAATTGCATAGAAGTTTATCCGGGGCTTGATGAACAACAGCCTGATGAGCTTTAATTGTGCACATCTTGAAAAACATGATTTAGTCAAAAAGCTGCCTCTTTAAGACATGGAATCTGCCTTGTATTTTATCCTGACGTTGGCTTCCCTAACTGATCCAATTATCAGTAACTGCTTTGGAGGACTGGCCTTAAATTTCTAACAGAGGTCACTTCTTTGACTTTTGGTGGATTTGCTTTAGTTTATTCTTACCCTGAACCCTGGTGGATGACTCCTGGCGGCATCTCTGATTTCAAAACAATTGGAGGACTGACGATATTCAGACTAACGATATGAATATTTTATGAATAATCCAGACAACTGGGACATACCCACAATTTGGACGAACAGTAGGCTTATTGACTAAACCATAAATGGAGCACGCCATCTTCTTAAGGTTAACATCTTTTCGTCTTCAATTTTGCCCCTTAACAATTTCAAATCTATGAAAAATATGCAAACACGTAGGGAAGTCAAAATGTGACAGAAATAGAAGTCTTTTGTAGAAACCAGTCCAGAAAATAAGATCTCAGCATTTGCAGGATATAAACAAGCGTATCAATACACTACAAATAACATCAAATATCATTGTTAAGCATCTTATTTTCCCAGTTTGCAGCTTAGAAAACAGGAAAAGAAAAAGGTTCTGCCAGAATATGAATATTTTACAGACTATCAACACCACAGGGACATGCATCTCCCCTTACGTAATCACAAAGCCATGACCTGGGGGTGACATAACAACAGCCCACCCCTACTGACAAGGATGAGCTATGAACAGCCTCTGCCACACTAAGATGAAGTGAGCTAGATGGAAGAGTACATAATGGACCAACACTGCTGCAAACCATTGTGCAAGTATGTGTGGAGTCCTGTCTAAAATCATCAATATGCCTAACATGTACCATCTGATCTTATCTAACACAATTTGCCCACAGTGCCTCAAAGCAAACCTTGGCCAAATTTATCAAGTTAAAACAAGACCTCTGTATAGAAAACTCAACAGTGGACTCTTATGTCAAGTTTGTAAAGCCTTTCAGGCCTTGTCCATGTAACACATAATGCTTGTAATATGATTTACCTTCACAAAGGCGGCCATTGCCAATGTACCCAGACCTACACTCGCAGGTGTAGGCAGCACCGCTCTGTGGGATGCAGTCAGCAAAGTCAGAGCACTCGTGGCTGCCATCCTCACATGGGTTGGACACAACTGTGAGCAGACAAGTACATGTACAACATTAGGTTAGGTTTTTACATGACATCTTTGTTCTGGTGGTACAATGTAGACACTTTATTCACACTTGTAAAAAGATAAAAATTGACACTTTTGACATTAAAAATTTGATTATATCAATTATATACTGCCAAATGCTGTTCTTAAAAGTAACAACTGTGGTGAATGAACAACAGATCATCCATGCATACTGCAAAGGACAGTTACAGGTCATTGCACTCTGGAAAAACAACCCTTGTTGTTTGTCACACACAGGACTAAGCCTGTGGCTTATGCAACCCTGTCACCCAATACCAGGTACAGTTGCTAGCTAAGCAGTTTACCCTTGCTTTTGTCTGGCTTCATACAAACACAAGGTCACATGAATAGGAAACCAAGGTTGTGGCAAGATTGGACATGCAGACATTGTCAGCTTGCAAGATTTTGTTTCACAAAGAGAGGTTTTGTTTCAGGCACTTTAGAGCTATCTTTGAAATCAAGTTGCTAAGACCCACAAGTCCTGTTTAAATTAACTTTCTACAGACTCTGGGAACACAATAAGGAAGGCTTGTGTGCCCTATCTTCCTTTTCAGGTGTGTTTTTGTCTGTACTTCTGGCTGGTAAATGAATTTTCAAATACAAACTACCTGCAGCTCCTACTTGAGTAATGTTATCACACAACTTTTTTTTACACTGGATAGGTAAGCAAAGCTATGCTATACCAATGTAGAGTAAGGAACATTGATTAAAGAGACAACTATATAATCAATATTCTTCAATCTTAAATGGTCAATAGGAATAGAGAAAAAGTAGACTGTTGTAACTTGCTGGCAGTAAGCTGATGATATACAAGTACAGGTTACCTTCTTTGACAGGCTCCACATCCTGAAGGGACACCTGCTGCTGAACAGGCTTGGTGGGACAGCACACAAACTCCACACCAGTGAACAGGTCCACTCCACAAGGCTTCAGCATGGCAAAGTTGTGCAGATCAAAACCGGACTTGTCACATGCCTCCTTTGCAGAGTCACGCCACTGAAAATAAGAGAACATACTGATTTCCCGATTTCACAATTTTATTTCAATATCACTTTTGGGAGGAGACTGACTTTTCTACAAAGAGCCAGATTATAGCTTTCTCCACTCTACTTACCTTAAAGAAGGTTGTACAGACAGAACTGTTGTGAATATGGGAGAACTTGCACTTGGTGGGGACCATCAAAGCATCACTCTCAAATCTGCCAACTAAGAAACAAACAGGAGTCAGTTACATCATAACTAACAAAAACAGTAAATAATAGGTGAGAATCATACAAGAGCTATTGGTAGAGAATCGCATTGCCACACATTTAAGGTTCAGAGTTCTATTCATGAAAGTAAGCCGGCTACATTGTTTCATTAGCTAAGTCGAAGCATGTTTATAATGTAACTTAAATTATTATGAAGTAAACCTGCTAACGCTTTCAGGAAGGCTTATGCCTATTACAAATGCAACTGGGCAAAAATCACATAGAATCCTTAGAGTAAAGAAGACTAGTTCTTACCCAGGCATCTGAAGGGCCTGACTTTGTGGGGATGTCCTCCACAAGGGGCAGTGGAACCAGGCTTGCACCAGTTCTCAATCTTGATCTCTTTGGTGTGCTCTTCAATGTTGGTGATTTCCAGGTTAGGGTACATCTGGATAAAATTCACAGGAAACCATGAGATATGTTCAACAAAATTGCAGCAGACATAAGAAATCAACTTTGTCGAGTTTCCAAATATAATCTGTAGTTTGTATCAACTCAGCAAAAGGACAAAACAGTCATTGAAAAATCCATGAATCTGTAACAGTAACACACTAGTACTTACCAACTTGCAGTAGTCCAAGATGTCCTGTGGCTTGTCCTTGTAGCCATGCTTGCCAGTTGGGTCTGTCTCCCACTTGCCAGAGTCCAAGTTGATGTGCTGGTTCATCTTGTCCTTGACCATGGCAACCATGGGGATGGGGTCGGGCTTAGCCGAATCATATGTGGCTGCTAGGGCCTGCAGGGACAAACAACACTTGTGAGGCTCTCAGAGAGACTGCAAATTTTCAATGAAAAATCCTTGTTGGTTACAATTGACTAGAAATATTCTTGGTCTATGGAAATCCATACATGCATTGGAGAAAGCACTATTGGACAGGCAACTAACATGACTTTTGTATGGTAAAATATTGACGATTGAGCAATTTTTCTGAACAAGGTGACAAACTGGTATGAGACTCCTGCAACAATGTACCTTTGTCCAAGACTTGGTTTAAAAAACATATAACCTTTAATCATCTTTTACCTTTTTTTGCTTCCATTATCTACAGGTATACCCTATAATTAAATAAATAATTGCAGGTGTCCCAGGGGAACTTAATGCCTTGAAGGAACAAAATTTGCAGTGCTGCAGTTCTGTCCCATTAGGTCAGAAATGTGGCTCAACTGGATACCCTACCTACTCCTGATTGGCCAGGAGGTACAATTCCCACGGGTGAAGACATAGCCACTAGTAATGTTGGCACTGGGAAATTGGCTCAATGGTTGGGCTAGTGCAGATCGAGGTGTTCTGGCTGACATTTCATATACTGTTCATGTAGCCCTTTCACCTTTCTGGATGGCTCACGTACAGATCAGGAGGCCATTCGTGTAATGACTAGGATGACAATCATTAAAGATCACCCTTCAGAGATCAGTCTGATCTTTATTCACCCCATTCTGATCTTTAATACATGCCTTGAATGGTTACATTGGTGACATTTCGTGTTCTTACGAACGTAACCTATTCTGCTCTAGATTGCCACTGAATGCCATATCAGAGCTGAATTTATCATTTGATGGGTTTTGCCTATGCTGACATACTGCATTTAAATTGAACTAGGCATGTCCTCAGACCATGTAAGAAAAAACATACCTCGTGGATGCCTCCACATGGTCTTTTACTCATTCAGACAATTTTTCTGATGACTTATGTTGGAAAATGAGGATTTCTGGTTGTGGACATTAAATACACTACCACAGCTTGTCTGGGATGAAATTCTGCCATCCCGACTGTGTCACACGGTGGTCATGACACCAGCAGTAACAGCCAATCACAGGTTCCAACTCATAAAAGAACTTTTGGCCGTAGTACCTAGTTAACATGGCAGCAGTGACATGAGCTAATGGACTCGTAAATTTCATCTGAACTGGAGCACCATTTCACCTGTAAATGTCCTGGAGCTGGCCAGCTATTGTTAACTTTATTGCCTTTTGCAATATAGGGGCCTGTACTTGGGTGATAGAAATAGGGGTTTTACATTTAGTTGAGACATACCAGTTTCATGATGAACATGGCTTGCTTCCAAAGCGTGAATTATCTATGCCTTTTTATACATGTACATATAAGTTTTGACTGATGCTGAATGGTAAAAATTGCCCAGTTCTTCTTGTTCACATTAGCCCATCAGGCAACATAAAAGCAATTTTGCTTGTTCATTGCAAGGCAGCTTGCATACAAAAAAACAATGATTATGTACCTTACAATTACAATCACAATTCTGAGAATACAATCTTACTAAGTTACTACAAAGCAAGAATGTTTGCTTACTCTTGTGGAATATCTCAATTGACACAAAATGTTACTGTGAATACCAATTTATCAACATACACCAGATAAGACTGTATGCAAAATGTGTGCCCCATAATACATGCAACTTAAACTCCTGGTAGTACCAGTAGCAATCCTAATCTCCAGACATATTAGAGATGCTGTGCATACAAATTGATTTTATCATGATAGATCACAACATAAGACAAAAGGCTCTTTGTATTAATCATCCAAGTTTACAGGATCATCATTCTAAAAGAAGACATTTAAGATCTGCACTTATTTAACTGATACTAGAAGTTTATCTTCATTTAGTACATTTGTACCTGTTCAACTTAAGCAGGCTTGAGAGGGTAGATAATGTATATGCACGCTGATATTTTCTGCTGAGTTTATGAATATGGTACACAATGCATTTACTTGTGGGTATTTTACTTAAAACTGTCACAAAGCCTAATTTACATGATCGCAATGGCAAAAATTACAACTCAGCATAAATGTGAACATCTAGTTGTATTCTAGCATACGATATCTAATTGGAAGTGTCATTAACTCATAACAAGCATGTGGCTAGGACCAGAGTAAGCCAGTAGCTAAAGGAGCTGACATACTGACAGTGACAGATGCTAGATGGACAGGGAGGGTATTTATATAGTACATGTAGTTTCTCCAGACTTGTTACATGACAGCTACTGTACCAGTCAATGTCAGTCAACAAACCAAAACCACATTTCTCAACACATCACAAAAACGTGGGAAATGTTCTTACCTGATCACTTCTCCTGTATGCGAAAACATATTGTGACCATAATGACCTGATCACTTTCACTTGTAAATTGACTTTTGCTAGATGAGACAATCCAATATTTAATTTTCTCTAGCCACCATGTTTGTACTGGTCCTTTTCAAATCCACCTCAGGGTTCTCACCAGGATTTTTTCACAGCGTAGGGGTCAGGTATAGAAGGGCAACTTTCTGTGGCGCTAGTCGCGCACCGAGTTCCAAAAACATGGGTCTGATATTGTCCTCAAAAAATTTTGTAACTCATATTAACCACTTAAGACACTATTTATTGTTTATTGGGGGACAGATTTTGTTTTCCCTATGTTATAGCTTCATTCTTAAGTTATATTTTCATTTTTTTAAAGATTAATGAAGCTTCTGCCCCCCAAAACCACCCCTACGCTGGTTGAAACACAGTGTAGGGGGCTAAATCACAGCGTAGGGGGTCAAAATCACAGCGTAGGGGGCCCCTACGCTCAAACAGCCTGGTGAGAACTATGCACCTCATTTAGATAGTGAGCACTTAAGACATGACATGTCAAATCATATTAGCACAACCCATCAGTTTGATCAAATGGACAATCATCAGACGGACTGGACAATTGCATAGATAACCATATCAACTTGGTATAGGTCTGAAATATGGTGAATTTGTTAGCCTTCATACTTGTTACTTTCTTCATACAAACTAATTGGGCTGTCTACCACACTACTGTTACATTCTGCCATATTTGGTGGATAACAAGACCCGAAAATAAAGATTTCCCCCTGTGAAGGTTTGCATTTGTTGAATGCCTGGGTTACAAAAGCATAGCAAGCTGGGAAGCCTGTACCAACTGTGGGAAATTTGGGGGAACACTTGCGGAAATACCTCCTGGAAGGTCACAACTTTGTCAACAGCTGAACACATTCCACATGGCTACCATAGACAGTATGGTGGGGAATATAACAAAACTACCCTAAGATAAGCTGCTTTTATAGTTAATTCTACAAACTAATTTACAATACTGTCAAATTAACACTGCACTAAATAATTAAATCGACAATATACATAGCACTGCCTATGGACAGAACCATCATTTTCAATATCTCTAGGCAGGCCTATTTTACATGTATACCTGATTAAAATCAAACCACCAGATCACATTCAGCTTATCACGACAGTCTATTCATTAGACTTGTTCTTCTTATCACAGGGGAAAGAAGATAAACACTACTGTATTTCCTAAATGTCTTCTAACAAGCATCACTGGAGGAATGACCTTTTAACCAACATCTGCATCCTGCTACAAGCATCAATGTTGACTGCAAATAACCTTTAGAAGTTGGTTTCTCTTTCAATTTACAACAAGGGTCAAGCTTGCTGAAGAGAGGCTCACTTTGAACAAGAGCACTCTTTGTGTATCATGTAAGTTGTAACATTTCTATAAAACTTTGAAAAGAAAGAAGAAAACTAAAGTAATTTAAGCAAATCTAACCAATCCATTGCATCCCTTCTTCACATCAGATTCAGAATAACACAATGTGACCACCACGTTTGAAACAATTGAGGTAACTAATATATAGACTTCAGCCATGCTACAGGCTTTTGGTCTGAAATCATTAGCACACTGGGCCCATACAAAAGTACCTACAGCCATTGCACATGGCAAGTAATTGATCAGGGATAAAGATAGTTGGAAAGTACAATATTGTTGCCGCAATCTCGAAACATAATCAGAGATCAGTCAATATCCCCTTGTCTTAGAGGACGTGAACTTGGGGTAATATTGGATGGCCATCTCACAAGAATCAGACAGTTGAATGGAAATACACAAGAACAAATTGATTTTCCTTTCAAGATGCAAGCAGGCGGTATGACCAAATAATAAGTTGTCACCCAGTGATGAATGTGTCAGGTACTCTTCGTCCATACTGTAGCTATATCACTATCAGTATATGCTATCACTTCTACCGCTGATACAGAAGAAAACCAAGGCAAGTTTTTTACTACTAGTACCAGTACAGGTGCAATCAAGCTGCTTGATTTAGCTGGATATATAAAAGTGTATCTAAAAATGAAGCAGAATTCTAACTGGTAATTCTACTTCACCAATTATACAACTGTAGCATCTAGAATGTACATTCTGAATCGTATCACTCATCAGACATTGCTTTAGCTTCATGCTACTAGGGAACTGTCATCTGAGGTGGTGAACCTTGTCTGATGTCATGGGTCAAAAGGTTGACTATTGCTATGGATATGCAAGTAGACCCACTCTGTCCATAGTGTCATTACTGATCCATAGAAACACATCTCTGGGAAACCTGAGAGGCACTGTACATAACACATGCATCACCTCACACCATTCTGATTGGATGCTGGTGTTAATAGAGGGTTCAATATAGGCTGGGGAATATTGCTTTTTTTATGACTACAACATGTCCTAATTTCTCTCTTTGTTTTTGCCTTTAGCAATTTGAATTTCAATTAGGGTCATTCATGTTAATGTAAGAGTGAGATCAAATGACATGAAAAAAGATGAGCTACCTGATTTGAACTTTCCTTTTTTTATTTTTATTTTTTCTTATTTGAATTGGGATACTAGTATTCATATTGGTTGACCTTTATGACAAATATTATGACTAACATACAAAACTACCAGGGTTCTCTGTATTTGCCTATTAGTTATGACAAATATGCTAAACTTATGGAATTCAATATTTGCCTGGTGGTTACAATAAATAAAATGTCAGGCTATTGGGGTTCTGTAATTGCCTACTGGTTATAGAAATATGCCAAACTCCAGGGCTTCTATACATGATATAGCTTATCATGTCAAAGCAGAAGAGAGGATGAAATATAACTAATCTTTAATCAAACATTCTGCTGTAATGTAGGTAATAGGAAGTGCAACTAATTCAAAAGCAAACACTCGCCTTTGTAATGACGCCATACGATGAGCATTCAAGCGAGCACAAAATGACTAATATCAAAAGCTTGGACACCTGACAATAAATGGGCACAGAAAGAGTCTATTTCCTGCCCCACATCCCCACTTTCCTCCAAGTTGTGGGTTGGGAGGCTGCAAAAGATTCAAACAAGATACTAGTACCACATCTGAAGACAATTGATTGCTCAGACCATAATAAGCATTTTATTGCCCCCTGAGTGAATTATTTATACACGACTGCCCCCTATGCAATGGCGGACCAGATCTGATTTGACACTGCCATTTGTTCTGGCTGGTCCCCCTTACTCCACCCGCACTGCCAGCAAGCTTGCCTGAGGCACTGCACAAGATTAGTGCGCACCTTTCCACAAGAATGTCCAAAATGTTTAGGGACTTCCTCAGTTCTGGGACTACAACATATGAGGAACTACATTTCTTATGTGCCTTCTTGTATTACACAAATATTAAGATCCTTTTCTATCTTTTAGGGCAAGGCTGTGGCTTAAAATTCTACTTTGACGGGCACAACACCTGTGAAAAACACCAAAAATCCTCAGTGGAAGGACAACTTTACGTAAACGTCCAGCACACTAGTATAAATTTGGTCTGTCTAAATACTGACAGAGTTGGTATCAAATACCATCAGATGTAGGTTAACTTGTGTATAGTTTGTTTATAGACCCAGAATCTTGTTTAACGTTCTCTTGTGGGGCCAAAGTTCGGTTAAACCTCGGATATTTTGTGAGAACGTGTTAGCCAAATCAGATCTTCTCCACAGCCACAGATGACACAGACAGCGCACAAACCAGTCTGACGGGTCATAAATATGCATCAACGCAGTCTTTCCCGGGCAAACCACTCATTCTCCCTCACTTTTTCGTCTTACTCTTTAACTCCATAGTTTTTTCACATATGTTTCCTCGGTTTGAAACACCGGGAGCGTGTGGTTAAACCGAGTTTTGCGGGAAAATACTCGAGCGGTAGTACACGGCAGCCATATTCGCTTGGGCTGGCACTACAAAAGAAAACAAATAGCACATCGCCGTCTGGAAGAAAATGGCCCCAAAAATACGAGATTTTGCTGCCTCTTACCTCAATGTACGTCCCACAGGCCACAGACAGAATTCCCACAAATAGTAGGCTCCATAAACTTGCTCTAAACGCCATTTTTGATGGTGGAATTGCCGAAAAATCACTGGTGTTCCGGCGATCTCGTTTCTCTCCCTCCCTGACAGGAAAGGACGGCCTAAATTCTTGATGACGACACGGCCCAGGTACAATGTTACACCACTGCTGATTGGCTAAGATTCTGTGCAGACCAAACGGGCAAATGTGTACTGCAATTTGATTGGTTGAGTTTTCCCAGGTGCCAGATTCTTTCGCAAGGCATGCTGGGACGTTGGTGTTGCAACCTACACAAAAATGGAAAGGTGAGCTGAGTTGTTGTCTGAGTAGATAGCCTGCCAGGTGTGTCAGGTATCCCCAGGCAGGTGTGACGCGACGTTTACACCAATGGGAACAATGGGAAACTTCTCAAAACAGGAAGGGAAGTGTCTGGTTACTTACGTCGGGCGGATGGCATCATTTCTATGAAATCACACCCAATCTGACTCTGTTCTTGATTTTTAACTTGTTTAGATGACTCATTCAACATTTTTTTTTAGGAAAACAATTGTATGCTAGTCATGCCCTAAACACCCTTGTTTTTGCAACAAAAGCATGGAATGGTCCCCAGGGGTTTGATGGTGTAAAGGCTAAATGAGCAGTGTGTGATGATTTGACAGTATGGGGTCTCAGTAAAGTCATCAATTACTACATCTGCACTCTGTTTTATTATGGACAGCATAACATAACAAACATATGTATGGTGATGAGTGTTTTATTGCTGTGTTTGTAAAAATTCTAACCTGACATCAGAAAAGAAGAATTTTCAGTCTCTGAATTCCTCTCTGATGTGTTACTTAGTTATTAAGAACTGCTTGAAACATCAGTTATCTTGTAGGAATCAGGATGTAGTACCACCTCAATATTATAATGTAAATGCACATCGTAAAGCAGATACTAGTGATAAATTGTATAACTATTATATCTTAATGACATTTTCTAAAATAACCTTATAAGAAACATTATATCTTCTTTTTTGCGGCTTTATTAAAAACAAAGTAAATCTTCGAATGTTTATATCAAACATGATAATATAAAAATCATCACAATCTGCTAATGTTAACGTTACATACTGAATGAGCCAGTCCATGTTACCCATGGTGCCCTCTGACCAGTAGGAAATTTGAATACTTAGTAAGTAGCATTTTGTAATCCAAACATGGTGTGGATATGACATTTACAGCCACCTAGTCATTACCTCAAGGTACTATTTTCATTACCTAGTCCATTTATGCCTTGCAGGGACCTGTGCACTGCGCTACAGGTGGCTGCATCCACTGACACTGATCATGCTGTGATAAGAAGACTGACAATAGGTTTGTGATTGCCCATGTTTTTTCCCCATTGCATGTTTCACTGTACCATATGGTTGCATTATGTGCGCGTTGTAAAAGGTGATAACAATTCTCCATGACTCACTGCCATGTGCAACTATGTGTAATGGAATAAGTTTCCTCTTTAATACTGCCCATTGACATTTACTAGCTCGGTAGTAACATTATTTTTATTGAAAGAATTTTGTTCAAAACAGGTCTTTTATATGTAATATGTAATGTTATACTATTAATAGTAAAGCAGGCATAATTGATTTTACAGGAAAGCACCATTTCTGATATTTCCTATTGTTTGAACATTATGCCTTGCTACATGGCCTCAAAATCTTCATCAAAATGTTCTTTTTTTCACAGATTAATATAACGTTATAGGATCTATGGTAGATGAAGTCATTACATGGTTTATTTTCCAGTCTTATGCAGGAGCTTGTAAACTGCCCTAAAATCATTCCAGATCCAGAGTTTGGACAGGAGATACAGATTTGTCAATGAGTGTTTGCATTAACTGCCCCTTGATTAGACTATCAGTTCCAAAGATGGAGAATTGTTGATGTCAGAGATCATTAAACAGATGGAACAGTGGTAAGTAGTAAATAGGTGTGGGTAAATCATTATTCAAATCTAACATGCTTCCTAATATGACTCAGGTTCGTACCATATGTTTCTAAAAAAGAGATTCCCTATAGTGAATTATTCTGCAACTGCATGCTTTTGGATAAGATATCAATGACAGTGAACCATCAATTCAGATTAGTAATTGGCTTATACTGTAGTTATATAAAAATATTATCATGAATATTATTGTTGGCTACTAAGTATTTCATTTATAGCCTATCACATATCAAAAATGCAGGTCATGGTCTCCCCACATTCTTGATGACAAGGCCTTGCAGTAGTGGTCAAGTATAATGTGTAAAAACCGTACAGAGTAAGCATGTAGTGGGTTCTCTTAGTAGTGATCTAGTAGGTGTAAATTCAGCTTTACTATGTTGACGAGATAGTTGCCATGGGAACAGAGTGGCTGGTGATAATTTACAACCCATAAAGTTCAGGACCAAACAAGATCTTGTTCTGGATCTCTCACTGGTTTAAAGTTTTGAAGATGATGTGGAGAAAGAACATGATGGGGCTTGGAACATTATCTTTGTTTCTTCTATCTTTGTTATCTTCTTAGGGATGCTTAGAGATTATTAGAACTTGGTTTCTCTGACAGGTGGTAAGTTACTTGTAAGCTCAAGGAAGGAATTTTTTAAGAATCATCATGAATCTTTTGTACTCCTAGCTTCCAGAGTTTCCAGATAAGTCAGCTGCTACAATATATTAGATCAAATCGTATGGTAAGGAACACCCATTTTTACAGTAATAATAATTTCTGATGTTCATAAATCTGTCATTCTTGCTGCTCATGTTGTAAGTGGCAGCAGGTGCACGGTTACGTTACAGTATTTACACAGCTTAAATTTTTATTTGGTGAGGATAATTGAGTTTGCACATCTGAACAATATTCTAAGACCAAGGTAGAAAGTTGTCCTTGTTATCAAATCTGGGCATTAGCTCTGTCTGAGCTGACAATATGCAGAGCTGACTCAGTGCATGGTTCAGAATTAATGGCCCAGCTCCAAGAAATGTAAATGCTGCTGCCCCTGTTGACACTGGTAAGCTTTATCCTTCCAATGCCCTGTCAGTTGACTGTAGGTTCCTGATCAGGGTGTAGGTTTGATATTCATGTGGACTGATGAATGTTAAGCTAAACATTTTTGCTGACTATCTCCTCTTCTTTGTTAATTAAGGTTAAAACCTACATCTTCCTGTAATGCAATACCTATAATTTGTAGTCTGGGAAAAAGTTGAGTACAATTAACCTTCAGCCTCAGGATTCTCAGGTACCAAAGTCAGAGTGTCAGGATACCCTTGAAGGATCATACTTACGGTTGATATATGCGAAAGCTAAGTAATAAAGATTATGAGACACTCCCAGGGGCAATGGATTTAACTCAAAGAAAATATACAGAGTCATTACCTCTATATGTTACAAGTTTAGATACTCATTCTAGTTTGCTGGTGTTAAGGAGTGACAACTGAAAAGAAAAAAAAAACAAAAAACTATGATTCAACCCTCATCATCATTGTATCCAGACATAACATATACAGAAACAACATGATGTATGTATACAGAAATAACATGCACACAGAAGACATCTGTCAGAACTGGACTGAGACAAAACAGAACCCATGTCTATGTTGTCATTTGGTATCATATGCTGGATCTAGTTTAATTAGACTGAAATGTTTGTTGCCTAGCCTGATTGGTGAACTCCCTTGTTCAAAAGTTCAGCTTTTATATTGAATCCTTTGACAGAATGTATTTACTACCAAATTTTAATGTTATAGTCTCACACTGTTTATAGAACTTTCGAAATTGTGCACCTGCTACCTGAAAAAGTCACATGATTATGGTTGGCAGGACCCAGCATGAATCAAACTGCAACCTCATTTCAGCCTGTACGTTCTGGCATTTCATAGCAAGAATATTGAGTGGCTGGATCAGAAAAGCCATGTGCAGGCAGGAAGTGTGATGCAGGTACATGTATAATCAGAAATTGGTTTGCCATTCAGGTCACAGTTTTATCTCCCCACAGGTGGCTGCAGAGATGTGTGGGGACAGCTATAGATCTCAGGTTAAAAGCTGAGGATATGGTCAATGCCAAATGTGTCAGTAGCATACAAATGTACCTTTCAATAGATGACTTTGATTAACACGGTATATTATGATACCCGTATGTGGCATGACTAATCTTTGGAAGGATTTAATCTGTATCATGGATGCCCACAACAACACAAATTGGAATTTATGATTCATGGAAGCTATATGGTACAGTTTCCATAGCCTGGGTATCAATATAGTGTAACCTCAGGAAGATGGGACCCAAGCTAATAGTTTCCTAAACTTAAAGGCATGATTAGAGCAGGAATTGTTCCGTACGAATGCTCACAGCTTGAGGCATAGTATGTTACACAGTGTCAGTGGTATAAGCAACTGTTCCCCTTGATCATGCATGATATTGTACAATTAGTCCATATTGTACTATTTGATGCCATAGTCTTCTGGAATACAATACAATGTACAATATTTTGGTTTGCTGTTTTGAACATCACTGGTTGATGCACTATACATATGGCATTACTTGTGTTTTGAGTTTTAACTACAGCATGAATTATACCCTAAAGCACTCCAGGGAATCTTTTCCAAGTTACCGGTATACATTTTCGGTTATTCATGCAGCTACACAGTGTTAGCAAACCACCAACCTATATATTCTACAGTTTAAAACAGGTCCAGGATATGACTGTATGTAATACACACCCATTGAGCAATAGTGGACCAGGATTTCAGTTATTTTGCAAATAAACAATTACAATGTAGAAGAGTCATGAAATGGAAACGTGGACTTGAAGCCATGAAGTAAGGATAATACTATAATAGGGAGTGTGTTACAACTGCCTTAGAGCGTCAAGTGACAGATTCCTGATGCCTTGCTTTTCAAGGAAGCGCTATCTACTTTTGATCAGCTCAGACTCTATGGTGTTATATGCAGGTGAGCATGATTGAAATGCAGTATATATATGAGTATAATGTTCATCATCAGAATTTCCAGTGCTGAATATGATGAGTCATTCTGTACTTAAGTACTTGGCAAGGATGATTGTATGTGTGTGTACCTGATGTTGCATTGGCTCCATACTTTCCATAATTCTTAACAATGCTGATAGCAAATCTATAAACAGATGCAGTCACAACAAAATTTTCCATTTTACAGTCGTGTACATGTTTTACTCAGAATCATCGATTTCAAGAATTACAATTTTATGTAATTACTATGGTAAGCTTCATGGACCAATAATAAATCATCCCCTAACCATAAAGACAAGGGTGTGGTAAGGAGAAAAGCTCAACCACTCCACTGTTAATTAGACATACTTTTACAAGAACTCTTACATTAAGCAAGGGCGATACTATATGAGGGGTCAATGTTGAAACCTAATTACCTAGCAGCCAGACAAATTGACTACAGCTTTATGATTTATTTATGTTACAAAGCATTTTGCAACCCATCAGTCTAAAAATTGCAAAGAGCTAAATTCCTGTCCAAACCACAGATTCTGAAGTCAAAACAACAAACTGTCTCTTTCAAATCAACCAAAAATGGTCCTTCCAGTACTAACAATACCAGACTAAGTGACACGTTCAAAGCAAATCCAACCATCAACTTTAACTTAAGTAAAAACTAGGCTGAACTTGAATGTGGAAATTTATTGATCAATATTGTATGATTGTCTGTATTAACATATAGAACATTACATAATTGTGGCATGGTGATGTATTATGGTAAACCATGGTGTTGATGGTATTGATGGATGGATTCATGATAAGTCATGAGATATGCATTAGAACACATTATTGTACATTCAATCTTCCAGCTTCCAAATTTTTATAAATACGAGTACTTGTAGTTCTATCTCACCTATATTACGGCATCTTTTTTCCCCTGCTTTGTCATGTTCAATCTATTTATTAAATTGTTTCTTTGCAAATGCATTAAAATGTATTAGATAGCATGATGGTAAAAGCTAGTGATGCATGTAATTGAAAATTTATGCAGCACAAATCTGCATCTCAAATTGATGTTCAGGCATAATCTTTTTCCTTGTATATAATATACAAGGCACAGAGCCACTGATTAATGTGATAAGTTCATATATAGACATGACAAATACTTGGATTATAGATATTGCAATTCACAAGTCCTTTGACACCTTGCCCATATAATTTCCTTTGAATACATGTATAGAATTTTAACAGTTTCAAGGGAGAAATATGGAGTCATTGCTATGCTGCCAGGATACCATTGTCTGACTGTTTATAGGATATTATGTGTAACATCTAAAAGCACTCCCTCAGCCTCTCCAACCTAACCAGTTCATCCCTTCATTATGTCACACTGTCATTTTGGGCAAATAAACTTGGGGGGGGGGGTGTTCAGACAGCTGGAGGTAAAACCCAGGACTTTACTGTTGTTGTACTTGAGCACCTCCAGGAGAGCCTACCAAGACCCTTTAATACCCCTGGTGAAATCTGCTCTCATATTATTGGAACATTACCAACAGTACATGGATTAATAAGCATGAGGCATCACTTGAATTTGGATGAGGGTCCCTTTTACCAATTTTTACTTAAAAACAAAAAGATTGTATAACAACAACAGTCACTGCTTTATTCACATGATCTGATGGTATACATTTTGCCTTTAAATATTAATCATAGTATTGGATGGCATTACAGAGGGAATCAGTATGATAAGGTGCAAATTGGGCCTCAGAGTTGGGGATGAGGTTAGGTTAACTGTATCCCTGATTGCATACTAACCATTACAGGAAACTATGGTCTGATTACAAATCAGCAAACATGTCTACTGGGGAAGACAATTAAGGCAGAATGAGTGTTCACGATAATCATATGTGGGGATTACATAGTTTGTGCTAGCAAGTCTCTTAGTAGTAAAAACTTTATAACTGATCATCTT